ATGAACACTAAAAGTTTACATTAACATTCACCAACAAAGAGATCACGGTTGAGAACCACAAAATTTCTTCTGTTTTATTTTAGGATATTGAAAACCAAGTAAAAGAATGTTGTGAAACTACTGCTGACTTATTAAATACTAGCTGGGAAAGACAAAATCAAATATTAAATGCAAATCAATCTGATGAAGTAAGTTGTAGATTATATTCGAAATATGATAGGTTGGTATTATGTGATTGTTAACATTATTTGATTCCTGTTTAGTAACCATCATTTTGTCTCCTGTAGTCCTGAATAATCATTATATTTTATAGATTATACTTTGATATATATATTCATCAAAGCAAATTTACATGTGAATTTGTGGTCTTGAGTGCTGTCTTCCTTTAAACTATGAGATTAAAATCGCTTCATATCTTTCTTTCTACGAACTAATTCTTTCTTCCTGTACTATGTTCTTATATGCAATCTTTCTTTTATATATCACCGACCACTGAATTAACTACTTCTTGTTGTGCTAATGAGGTATGGCAACTTGGACCGATGCACATATGTGCCTGGTCCTGCTTTATAGCTGACTGACTGACTGGCTGACGTGTGAATCCATACAAACTCGAGAAGGTAGTTATTCAGGATGGACCAAAAACAATTAATCTCTATGGTTTTTGGAACATAATCTTGTGTTTTAGATGCAACTCCTTGTCTTCAGGTCAAGTTAATCTTGACTTACAATATGTTTGTTCTCAGGAAGTGTACAGACTTGAAATAATTGCCCTGATTTTGAAGAAAAAAACTGATTTCATATCAGATAGTTGATATAAAACTGTAATTTTATAGAATTATTATCCTGGAAATCTTACGCAATACCATATTTACTTGTGAAATACCGAAACCAAATAACAAGATATATCTGAAACTATAGCTTTATTATGGGAATCAAGTTGACCATTGTAAATTTATGAATCTCTAATTGTTGATTGTACGTTGGTGTTAGGTGCTCCCCAGAACTACAAACAGTCGAAAACGACAATACATTGTTCAGATAATTAAACAAGGATTAATTTATAAGTGAGAATATCACCTATTAGTTTAAATGAATTAAGCACTTTATTTAGAAGTGATATGCAGTTGATCGAATTAAGGTTCAATTAAACGCTAAGCGTGGACAGATTACTAACCATTTAATATGTGATTCTTTTCCAATTATTGGTTTGTACCCTGAACGTATTGAGTTACGTCTGCTTGTAATTGTGTTGGGTAAAGTATTATCTAGTCTGTATTCTAGTTTTCTATTTTTGATCACGAGTCGTGTATCCTATATGACGTGATTCAGTCCATGTATAGCGTATCGATCGAATATTCAATCTAGTGATAGGAGAATTTCAGATTATAGTTCGACAATCATACTACAGTAATATATTATGAAAATAAGAAAGTGTTTTAATTCTTTTGTTATACCAGGAATAAAGTGAGCCTTTTAAACTGAACAAGACTCTAACTATTAGCATACATAATTAAAATCAAATGATAAAGGAAGTATTAGATTAATCATGGGAAATCGAAAGTTAGCAGAGGGATTTTGATATCCATTTCAATCTTGTTTCATTTCTGATGGAGTTTTGTTCTCTGAGTTGGATGGTTTGGTTCTTCTGAACGACATCATCAGCACAAACGTCTACCTTCTTTACGACCAAACCATCCAGTTCAGAGACCAAAACTTCATCAAAACCACCCACCTGAGCTACAGATCTTTTTCATCATCTCAAAATCTTGTCTCAACCATCAACCAATGAGAACAGTTAAGACGATCAAGATTAGCAAATAAAAAAGTGGAATTATGAAGAGATGGAAGATAGCGAATATAATCCAGAATTGTATAAATAACTAAAAATAAGTAATCAAGACTAGTTTATCATAAAAGTGATAGTTAAATTAGAACAAACATCCAGGAAGAATTATTTCAATTGAAGGAGTTCCTCTGGTTTTTGTAAAGGACGATGAAGAAAGCTATAGCACGATTGAGACTGGCTTAAATTTCCGGTCGCGTCTATTAACGTCCCAAACCGGTGTTTTGTATTGTCTCTAGGACCCCAATCAGGAAGTCTTAATGCACTAGCAAACGTTAATCTAATGCAACTTTCTTTATACTCCGCATTCATGTCATAAATTAATTACCTCTTCACTTTTTCCGCTCAGTCATTGACGTAGATCAGAATTTACATTGATCTGTTCCAACTTGTCATTTTAAACGTCTTCGTATCCTCTTTCGACGTACAATTTATTAAACTGAATATTGTAAATATATATATCTACCAGTCTCGCGAGTGAACGCTTAATCTCAAAACCACTGAACCGGCTTCCGACAGTGTTAATGTCTAACTTCAACCAATCCAGTAAATTGAGCTACACATCCAGCATTGTCATCAATGAGTTACTATCTCACAATAAACCCGGTTGAACTCCACTGGTCACTGCTTCTCACTAAAACTCCTGGAACTACCTCTCAAATCCAGTCACTAGTGAGCATATGTTGATTAGTATGAGAAGGGGTTTTTGTGGATTGTAAAGTAATTTCAATGGTTGAGATCATCAGTCAATTGAAGCTAGACCACCATGGAAACCTGGAAGCACTAGACGACTGTTTCATCCTATCGTGGGACTCCTCAGCAGTGCGCATCCATGATCCCACTTTGCGAGATTCGAATCCAGGACCTATATTAATTGTAGTAGAATAGCATGAATTTATCTAATTTTGTTTGGTTCTCATCAGCTGCTTACAATCTGTGATATTTAAGAACCTAATTATGAAATGGGTTTAAATTACTTACATGAAAGTGTGTAGTTGGAAGTCACATTAAAGACATATTACTGTAGTATAGCAAGGCTATAAATAAATTTATTAAACTGAATATTGTAAATATATATACCTTATGTGGAAGAACATTCTACAACATTGATTGTGACAACAGTCCAAACGACCAGAATACAAGTGATTACATAATGAGTAAACAGTGATGGAATAACATGAGTAAAGCTCAGTGAATAAAATAGGATTACTAATGTGGAAGAGTAAAAACGATGTTTAGATGCAACGAAGGAATATTTGTCACCAAAAGCAAGGCAAGATTAATAACCATTTCCTTTTGAACACACTAGTCAGGATTTTGACGCCTGATAGCAACGGCTTCAAAAGACTGGAGCCTGAATGTTTATTAGTCACCTTGAAATATTGCAAGTTATCTACCTGATGTCCTTTATCCAGGAGATACTTGGTAATTACACTGTTTAAACTCTTTCTCTCTCTTGTTCTGAGGCTTTTTGGAACATTCTCAAAAATTTAAAATATACCCTTCTTTCTGTTCGGCTAGTGTCGCTGCTTTGACAGGCACATATAAATTCATGAGTACAGTTGGCGTTAATATGAAAGGGCTACTTGTCAACCTTTGATTAAGTTATTAAACATGTTGTTTTATACAGAATTAAAGTTTGACTGCCGGGTAAGTTCTGGCTAGTGCAGTGTTCAGCCTCCTGCTGATTGTGTTTGCGACATCATCATCTTTAAAGTTGAAATTTATAGATTTTGGTTTTTTATTGACCGTAATCACTTCTGTCTTGTTTTCTTTAGGTTTTTTATATTTGTCAATAAATTTCTGTGGGTAATAATTGTCTCTTAAGCATTTCTCAGAGTTCATCAATTCTTCTTCCAGTTTGTTGGTGGTACATATCCTTTCTACCCTATAAAATTATGTTTTAACCAATGCTTCCTTGTAACTGATTGGACAAAAACTATTGAAATTCAGGTAAAGGCCATTCCAAGTACTTTTTCGATAAACCAAACGTTGAACTGTCCCCTCTCCCCTACGTTTATGGCAACATGAAGAAAGTGGAACATGCCATTCTGTTCGTTTTCCATAGTAAACTGTATATTAAGAGTTCTAACAGGCGAATTGTATTCTGTTTATTCTTGCAGACAATAAACATGTTATCAACATATCTAGAGTATTCCGCTGTCTCACATTATCACTCGTTCAAATACCGTGTATCTGCCATAAATGGATCTAATAGACTACCCATTGTTAAGCCACCCAACGTAATATAATGAATTGATGATATTCTATTAGGAATCTTTGTTCGTGCTCTTTTCAATATGTATTATTATTATGATTATTTCAGCATTTATTGAACTTGGAAATATCTGATTTAGACTGTAAATGGAATCAAGTTGATCATGAATATATTCAACGTATAAATGAAATTAATCATTTAGAAAATCAATTATATTCAATTGAAAATAAACGGATTAATCAAGTTGAGTGAGATATAATTATCATTAATAATAATATATTTTACTACTACGACCACTACTATATATATATTTCAGTAGTATATTCTTCTTTATTATTTATTTATTTCAACACGTAGATATTGGTACAAGGAGGCACCAAATACATATCCACCACACAAATCTCATTCGATATGTATGAAGGCTGTGATACTGCCCGGGTGCCCAAACCGAAACAGGTGGTTTTCTTAGGGGACCACTTCCCGAGCCTTCGACCTGAAGGTCTGATCCACAAGGTAGTGGAGCATCGTGAGGTGATGCAGTCCCATGGTAACCGGTGACCAACGATTGTTCATACGTCATTCGTTCCCTAAGGATACTGGACCCCATTTGCACCATTGGTTTGGAATCCGGTTAAAGCGCCGGACATTCGCTTTTCGTCCTCTCATTTTCGTAAACAACACCCCCGTCACGAGAAGGCAGTGAGCAGGAATTCCCTGGCAGAGGCTATATACGCGTGGCCATGTGAAAGCATTTGGAGAGGGAGAGCGGACTCTCCACACTCTCGGCCGTACCAGGGCATTCGCAGGGCATTCTTTTACTTTATTATGAAGCGATAACTTAAAAATGTCTTTTAGCCAATTGATTGCAGCTTTCAATTACAATTCATTAATTATAGTTTGAGTAGATTGATAATATGTCAGAAAGAGAAGAGATAGGGAAATTATTAAGCTTGAAAATCAGTTTATACAATCGTCTACTTATAATCGATTTGTAGTGTAAACTAGAAAAATACTTATTTGATAGTTAGTTGGTTCATGACATTTTTCTGTAACTAAGTAAATAAAACAGAATAAATGGAATGTGGTCAGCAGTGGAATCTAGGACGAGTGTTTCCTTCCATTTGGGATTCATCATCTGGATCTATCTTCGTCTTGGTGAATTGATGCTATTTCCGGAACTTGAACCTAGTGTCTTTCTCATCAAACACCCGTTGTACAAGTAAGTGGTTGTTTGGAATCAGTAGTCGAGTGAATAATTTGTTAAGGTCCAAGTCCTAGATTGATTATCAATTCGCTCTCGGATACAGGTTGATCCACTTGACGAATCCCAAATAGAACGAAATGACACACTTTCTGGATTCCACTGCTGACCAAATCCTATCTATTTCATATTGACTTCTGTCATAACGATTATATCGAAGCGATCCGCACAGGATGCACATATTCCAAATAATAATGATTAAATTTCAGTCAAAATATAAACAACTGGATAATTTGAACCGTTACCAATGAAGACAATTTACCAATAGTTGTGTTACTCAGCTTCATGTCAAAAATGCCACAGTATTATGGGAAAGGTGTTTGATGGACTAGTTTTATATTATCAAAATGAGTGAATACTATCCCGATCAATTAGTGACTATACTATTATAAATTGTGACTGAGTGCTAACTACTCACAATACCAGATTATTGATTCAAACTCTGGAATAGACGGTAATCAAGGACAAAATCCTTAATCAAAAGGTAAGGCTTTCTTACATAATAAAATAACACCATTCATAAACACCATTTCACTCCTAACGAAACTGAAGTCTATGAGTTAAGACTCTGTTCTATAACAATGTTAACACATCGCGAAATAAGTTATTACTTTCCTACACCTAATACCCCTCGTAGACGAGCAAAGGCTGACCACCAGCTGTAGGAATGCTGCACTTACTTTTCCAATCCATGCCTTTACGTCTGCATCCAATACTCTTTGTTCACCGATGATGCTGTTCTGGTACGTGAAAGTTTCCAACTCTTTCAAAGTTTCCCCATCAAGTGTGATTGGGTTGGTGTTGTTCGTGTTACAAGTGAAGATATTGGTTTTTCTCTTGTGCACGTTGAAGTTTGCTGCTGCAGAGGCTTCCGCTACACTAGTTGTTTTGATTTGCATTTGTTGGTGTGTATGGAACAGAAGAGCTTGGTCATTTGATAAGTCCAGATCGTCTATCCGCATCCAAGCTGTCGATTGTATTCTGTGCTTCAACTCAGATGTGGAGGTCTTCACAATCCAGTCGACTATCAGAAGAAAGAGAAAGAGCGAGAGTAAGCAGCCTTGTCTGACTCCGGCCCTCGCTTGGGATGTATCTGTCATCTGTAATCCATGCATCACTTCGCAATGTAGTGGTTTGTACTAATGATGTCGATGAATATCAGTAGTGTGTATAATCGATAGAATGTGAAATGTCTAGCGGTAGAACGTTAAAAAGTTTGAAGAAAAGAGAACCAGAACACAGAATGATTGGTGTGGAAACAAAACAACAATGAAGTCTGAGACAATCGATTGACATTTTACAAATGAAGTATTTATTGTATGGTTCTCAGATTCTGTAATTTCTTATTCAAATACATTCGACTGTCCCCTTCCTGTGTCCTCGTTCACTACCATATCAACACTGTTATCATTATATCTTAGTATAACTGGTTTCTTCAATGTTTTCTCTTTGTTTTTTTTGTTGTCCTTGTTTAGATAAAACAGGAATTTCATGAATTGACAGATTATTTAAGTAAATATTCACATTTAACACCAAATGAATTACAAATTGTATTACAGAAAGAAATATTTGTGAGTTTGTTGTTAGGCATTGAAATTGATTTGAATTACGTAATAAGTACAATTTGTTTCTATATAATATCAAGTTAAACATTGAAAGCTTGTATGTATATGATGTAAGAGATCGAATCTCATTGAGGATTATGTTAAGCTTTGTAGGAATAAAAATATAGTTTGTTGACACTTATCTACAGAGATAGAACATCAACATTTATGAATATGGTTTAAGTATATGTAGATATTTTCAATAGTTGAGATTATGAATTAATTGAAACTAGACCACTATGGAAAACCTGGAAGTACTGGACGGCCTTTTCGTCCCAGTATGGAACTCTTCAACAGTGCACATCCACAATCCTGGATCAAACGGACTCGAATCCAGGATCTTCAGTTTCGCGCGCACCCTGGGTCTGAATCCTGAGGAGCAGGATCGTGGATGTGCACTGCTGAGGAGTTTCATAATAGGGTGAAATAGCCGTCCAGTGCTTCCAGGCTTTCAATGGCGATCTCACATCAATCAATTCATGATCTCAATCAAAAACTTAATAATCTCCACAACCCTATACTAATTATAAAATTTTATTTAATTACCATTAAGGAATAAACAATATGTTATTTGATACTATCAAGTTTCACTAATTAGCTAGTGAGTTATTAATAATCAAGTTGAATATCAATAGGATATGTCTGTTTAGTAATTTGATAAGCCGCATTCTACAACACTTACTTCAGTCAGTCAGCTACAACGTAGGACCAGGCACATATATGCATCGGTCCAAGTTGCAATACCTCACTCATTAGTACAACAAGATGAACACCGGATTCATAGGAGTGGTTAAGTCAATGGTGGTAATATATAAACGAAAGATTGCATGTAAGGATATAGTACAGGAAGAAAGAATTAGTTCATAGAAAGAAAGATATGAAGCGATTTTAATCTCATAATTTAAGGGGAGATAGTGAGTGTATACACCGACGCCATTGTGATCGATTCGGAGCCATGACATCCAAAGTCTCCAAACATTGGTTATGATAATCACGCGGACCCCAAGCAAGTAGTCTGCATCTCCCAACATGGCTCAGACTAGAAATTAGTGTCTTCAAGCACTGACGCCACGTTTTGGTTTGACCACCCCTAATTTTCTCCCAACCATTCCCAACACTAATCAGCATTGCGCGTCGCGGTTTTCGGTGTTCAGACATACGTAACACGTGAACCAACCATCTCAGTCGATGAAGATTCACAACCTCATCAACTGATTTACCATCATCACTCCGTAATACCCTGTGCCTAACCTCACTATTATTTACCCGGTGGTCCCAGCAGACGCCAGCAATATTTCCGAGGCATCTGTGGTCAAATACTAGTAGCTTACGAGTGTCATCTACTCTTAATGGCCATGCTTCAGTGCCGTAAATTAAAATAGAACGAACTGCCGCGCAGTATACTCGTCCTTTATTTGATAGAAGGATATCTCGCATTCTTCATAGGTGACGTAAGTTGGTAAAAGCCAAACGAGCTTTTCGAATCCGTGCAACTACTTCCTAACTCCTAGACAATTTCCACTCTTGAACCCAGAACATAAAAACAAAATTTAGAAAGAATAGAATAAGATGTTTACAAAGGTGATTAGAAATGATAATCTTAATTACTCTTTTTTCGGTTATTTCTGATTGATTCTCATTGGTTTTAATTCATTTATTTCATGTAAGCTTTAGAAGGAGTTATATCACTTTGTTTTATTCAACTTGTTCTGTTTTGAATATATATCAAGTTTTCCTTATAGTTCATCTTCTTGATATGTTAATGATCGAATGTTGTATGATATCTTCCATTATTGATTGTATTATGGTAGTTCAACTCTTTCTATATTTGCAATCATCGTTTGTTCATAGTAAACCTTAATTATGAAAATTTAACAGTACAAAAAATAAGGGTATTTATAGGACCGTGTATGACTCTAGTGTGCACCACACAAGTCAGTTGATTTGTGTGAGGGCTGTGATACGGCACAAGTGCCCAAACCGAACCAGGTGGTTTTCTTAGGCGGCCACAACCGGAGCCTTTGATCTAAAGGTTTAGTCCACAAGACATTGGAGCAACGTAGGAAGATGCAATTCAATGACAAACAATAGGTTTATATGTCACTTGTATCCTTAAGATCTTGGAGCCCATGTGAACCATTGGTTTGGAATGAGAGTCTTCCAACTCCCCCAGATGAGTCCACCATATATTCATCAACCCAGTTAAAGCGCTGGACATTCTAGGAGCTTTTAGAATGCATTCTAAAATTCATAACAAATTTGATCATTGCCTAATTAGGATAACGAAAACATGATCAGTGATTTTCTATATTTATAATGGGAATTTCTCGAAAAAAAACACTGAGGAGTTTTTTGGCGAGACTCTAATTTATGGACGACCTTTGAACGAATCTTTAGTAACCTTGAGAAATATTAGCCAATCAGCAAACAGTCAGTATAGAGTAAAAATATATTATACAAAGACAAAGAAAGAAAGTGAATACACTTCTTATACATGGTTTAGAAGCTTGTCAAGGTTAGAAAGAGGTTCAGAGGTTCTAAAATTGTATTGCATGCAGTAGAGGAAATCATCTATATGTCTACAGAATAGTCGGCCTCTGGGTCCGTGATAAAGTCTCAAAAACTCTTTCAGCTTCGACCACATAGCTTCAACATTGTTAAAGTGCACTCCGGTTGTTGAGTGCACAAAATGCCACTTTCGGATAACGACACTATACACATAATCAAGCCTATGTAAGAGTCTGTACGCTCTCCAATCATCCGTATATATTGTAGTACCTGGCTGCAGCCAGTGTTACTGGTGCTTTTATTATCTAGTTCGCAATAATTTCGTAATTTACCTCAGTTAGGAATTATATATGGGGTTTTCATCACGAACTGACATCAGCTATAATGCCAGAAATTTATTTAGCCAAATGGATGAAACTGTTATGCCTCAAAGGGACTGCCGATTATATGACAGTGACTTATCGATCGGATCAAGGATTCAGAGACTCAATAGTCTATTCTGGTCCGTTGTCCCCAACTCTGCTAACTCGATCAAAAAGTCTGGGTAAGGTGTAGAAAGTGTATTCTACAGACAAACAGCAGATAACAAGTCGGGCAGGCAGATCAGATCAAGCATACAAGTCAAGCGTATTTATACAATTATTTACAATCGATATTGTCATAGAAAATTTTTAAACATTAAATCAATGAGTTCATTAATTGACCTATTTGCGCATTTAATCGATAGTTCATCAATTGACCTATTTGCGCATTTAATCGATAGTTCATCAATTGACTGCTATTCAAACATTTAATCGATCAGTTCATCAATTGACCCCAATACAAATATTTAAACGTTTAATCAATAAGTTGATCGATGCGATAAAATTCAAAATATGAGTTTGGGGATCTATCGTCCCCAACAGAAACGCTTTCGTGCCCAAGTTCGACATTTGTTATCTTATACCTGATTGATTCGTCCACATATTATAGTCTCGCCGTTTTATTTGTTATAGCCGCTCAATTATCACGTTTTGTACAAAATTCCCTGTGAACCGATCGTACATTAGCATGAAGCACTGAAGTTGGCGCCGTAACCTTGAAATCTCTAAAATGCTTCTGATTGGCACGTCCATAAATTAGAGTCTCACCATTTTCTTTTAACGAATGAACTTGTTCGAGTCCTAAATGAATGTTCCCTATTATAAAATCTTATAATTAGACGTAAAGACCATCCAGTTCTTCCATATTTTCAATGATTATTTAGATTAGATCGTTTCATATATTTAATCATTTAAAATACATAAATATTTATTTTTTAATTATTGTCAATTCAATTCAATATTTAGACAATTGATATTGAATTATTGGAAAATCGTCGTGAATTAGCTAATCTAATTAAAAATCTTCATCTTGCTGAATTAATGCATCATCGTTTTACTAATCTTACATGGTCTGAACAACGTAATCGTTGGCAAATCATAAATATCAATGAAGCTATACATAATTTTCGGTAAAATAAATGTGATTATCCATTTTTCCTGTTGTTGTTATTGTTGTTGATGATGATGACATTCTTGTTGAAATGATAGATAATAATTGTAGTTGAAAAGTAGGGGTTTTCAATATGTTGTTATATGGTGTATGCTACTTAAATCGACATAAGTAGTATATGATGTTAGTCGTGAACAGAATGTCTGGCAGCAGAGAGACAAGAGAATCGAACAGTAACGAATGGAAACAAAATGCAATTTGTATGAAAATGCAAGAACAATCAAGTCTGAGTCATTTTGAGACAATTGATGGACTAGATGGTGATTGGAGGTAGTCGACAGGAAACCCGCGTCCAGGGTTTCCTGTCGACTACCTCCAATCACCATTTAATCTCAATATATAGTGCCCGCAGTGTCGAGTCACCTAGACTGGTGGCCACATTGCAACATGATCGATAGCATTCGATCTGCACTAAATGAGGACTTGACACACATGACATTGGTCACCACCCAGTGATCAATCAATTGTGATTACAATTGATGGACATTTTGCAAATTACGTCTTTACTATTTGATTGTTAGATTTTATTAACAAGTCCTGCAATTTTGTGTCAAATACATTCGATTGTCCCCACTGGTGTTTGTGTTCACTACAGTTATATGTACTGTAAGTTGACTAGTTTTGTTATGAAACTAATGGTATTTTTTGGAAAAAAACAAACAATAAGAGCTTCATGATTAAATCATTCATCTCAATAAATACAATGTCCATTCAAAACAATATGCATGTTAATAATTACTTGTAAGCGATTTTTTGCATCCACGATCCGCCCAGCGAGATTCGAACCCAGGAACTATAAGTTTCACACTGAACGCCTAACATCTAGACCACTGAGTCGGCATCTAACGGTATTAATGTCTAACTTCAGCGATAGGTCCTGGGTTCGAATCCCGCGGGGCGGGATCGTGGATGTGCACTGCTGGAGAGTACCATACTGGGACCAAACGGCCATCCAGTGCTTCCAGATTTTCCATTGTGGTCTAGCTTCAAATGACCCATGAATTCAACTAATAAATTGCTATAATATCCACAAAAACCCTTCTCATACTAATCAACATATGCTCACTATTGGCTGGCTTCAAGAGGTATTACCCGGAACTCTAGTGAGAAGCAGTGACCAGTGGATTTCAACCAGGTATATTAGTTCCTTGGGCGAATCGCTACATGTATTGTCTGTAGTTAAACATTGATTATATGTCAAATGGTAGTCAACTCTTGAACATACATTCCATTCAATTTGAGACTTGAACAAATTAGTTGATATGATTTTGGATCTTGGTCTGTTGAGTTAGTTGAAACTTTGTACTACTCCTCTGGTTGGTATAGGAGTATATTGAAAGAAAGCTAGGAGCGGCTAAATCGAAATATGGCATCAATCTGTGAAATCATCGATTGTTCATCTGACCTAATATTAGTAAATGCAGTCAACCGGTTTAAGATTTGTATGATTATTGTGACAAACGGTTCGTCAACCTCAGGTGATATATCTCAAGATTTAAGAGGTACTTTAGGTTCGATGTATGGTCAGGTCATAGATTCATTCTACTGAAGTTTCTCACACTAGGATGAAAAAGCGATACAATGTTGTTCAGTTTCCTAAATTACCCTGATTAAGATTAGTTCGTGATGAATACCATCCACAAATAATTAATAGTGTTATTTTATCATTATTGTTATTATTATTATTACAGAATTTGTCTTAATGATGAGAAATTCCGGTATCCTAATGATGTCAAAATAAAGATAAATGATTTAACAACAAACATAACTGAATTTGAAAAGCGAAAAGATAATCTGATCAATGAATTATGGTAAGAATCTTATTCTATGAAATATTTAAATATTTGAAGCGATTATGAGTTCACCTAGTCTGTGAACGGAACAAAGACTCTGTGACTAAAGACCAATAAGTTAGCTATTTTGATGCGTCCCAGCCTCGATAACTAGAGAGAGAAGTCGAGGATCAGAATGGGGAAATATATTCTGCAAGCAGCCAGAAGTATGAGCATTAACAGCAGGCACAAATCAAACGTATATATATAAAGCATAAAATTGTGATTGGGAAGCGTTACAAAATAGCGTACTAAAAGATACAACGGACCAATAGCGTTTAAGATTCTCCTAAGTGGGAAATACCACATCAAGATGAAAATGAGCGCTTTTGGAGCAAAAACAAGAAATTCAAATTTTTAAAATAAAATTACAAAAATAAGGTATTTACCAAGTGAGTTCTGGGATCTAACATCCCCAACAGGTTACAGGTTATAATCATCCATCATTTCATCTTCAAATGATAATCATATCTAACTGTGATAGTGGGGTATTGGGAAATTCAGTCGATGTACATTTGTGTCATGTTCTATGTTGTGTTTGACTAACTGATTGACTAAATATGTCATCAGACATCATAAAAGATGATCATATTCGAAACTAAATACTGTTATATCTTGTAGCTTTATGTTCTATTAATATATAAACGTAATGATAATGCCAATTAAAGAACAGTAATTTATCGACCGGAACAATGACGCATAAAACCGTACCAGCAGTCTAGAGTCCTTGTCGGTCTTGCTTCCCGCCTAGCCCTAACTGTTAAGTTCAGAACACCAATCTCAGCCTCTACGATCTTAATCATGTATTTCAAACATACTGGGTTTATATTTGAAACAAACAGACCATATAGTACCACAAAATAGAAAATACACATGTGTACAAGATTTAGCCAAAAGTGGCTGTGAATGTGGTAGACTGTAATTAATAGAGTAAGCATAACTCTCGAACGGTAAATCGTATAATCATAGTGTATAGATCGATATAAAGTTTATAATAAGAGGAACAAGAATATGAATAGTTTACCTACTTAACAATTATATAATAAGAATTTATGTATAGTATTAGTCTAGAAATGGATCCCATCAGTTACCATTCACTATTCTCGTTGGGATATAACAAATACGTGAATAGTTTTAATAATAAAGTTTCATTCATGAGAAGAATATCAGGTAGTACAGAGGTGTCATTCATAAATAAGTTTTCATATTTACTTAAGTACATATTTCTACATTCTGGTTTTGTCATAAATACAGTGACGTCACTAGAACTCCAGGAAATACGTTTTGGAGACTGTCACTAGTGAGCATATGATGATTATAATCAGAGAGGGTTTTTGGATATTATAGTAATTTAATTTGGATACACACTGGTAAGAAGTCCTACAATAGGACGAAACCGCCATTCAGTGCTTCCATATTTTCCATGGTGGTCTAGCTTCAATTGACTCATGATTTCAACTGTTGAAATTACTACAATCTCCATAAAACCCATTGTGATACTAATCAACATATGCTCACTAGTGACTAGCTGCAAGAAATATATCCCGGAGTTCTAGTGAGAAGCAGTGACCAGTGGAGTTCAACCGGGTCAGTTGTGAGGTAGCAACTCACTGATGACAATGGTGGATGTGTCGCTCAATTTCGTGGATTAGTCGAAGTTAGACATTAACACCATTGAATGCCTTCCGGCTCAGTGGTCTAGCTGGTTAAGCGCCTGGTGCGAGATTGATAAGTTTTGGGTTCGAATCCTGTGAGGCGGGGTCGTGGATGCACATTGCTGGGGGGTCCCACAACAGGACGAAACGGCCGTCCAGTGCTTCCAGGCTTTCCATGGTGGTCTAGCTTCAATTGGCTCATGAATTCAACTATTAAATTACCACAATCTCCATGAAACTCTCTTTCTGATTAAAATTATTTGTTATTACTAATCATCTTACAGATTACTAAATATTTTCAGTAATTTTCTATCTAGTGAAAATTTGGTACCATCAAATAATATGGAAGAATTTCTAGAAAATTGGGATATTAAAATTAAACAGTTATTTACTGAATGGGGTATGTTACCTTTCAATTCCTCCTTAGTTCTCATTGAATTTTATCGATCAAATTACAATATAGTTACTAGTCTAAGTCACTCAACATATCATGCAGTATGTTAAGATGTAAGGTGGTGATTAGAAATAATCAACAAGAAATCCTGCTCGATCTAAATTTCATACTATTTGCCACTCGTCAGTAAAGTGTAATTGTCATTTGAAAGGTGTTGGTGATCTCTGGTGAATTTGATACTAGACTTGACAAACATGACAGTGGTTACCAAATAGAGACTGGCCAATTGTGAAAAATTATTCCTGAAGGAGGTCAGTCACGGCCCAAATAGCTCAACGATAATGTTTCAGGCTGTGAAGCTGAGTGACACAGGATCAAGTTTGCTAGAGAGAGCCGATTCTCTCAAGATTATAGGTATACCTTAATGATGAATGCCGAACTAGCAAAAAACAAGGGTCCGAAATTTCTTGTCGGTTGCCTCAAACCACCTTACAGGACTGAATTTAGTTAGATAACTATTAAAAACCAACATACAAACATTTACATGGATGAGCATTACGACAAATTGACTAGGATTAGAGATGTAAGTCATTGAAAGCCAACCAAATGGTCTGTAGATTAAGTACTGCTCCCAAGATCTGGCAGCCCTAGGTTTGGTCCCCCCAGTGAAGCCACTGAATAGCTGTTTCAATTTTAATTTTGGGATTCCTCAACTGTACAAATCTGTAATTGGACCTGAAGGCTGATAACTTTAAACTGAAGGAACTAATGTTATTGTAAGTAATACATAAAGCTACTGTGTGACAAACTAATAAAATGTGTGTCGATGACCTTGTCTCGATACATTTAAACCAAGTGAAATCAAGTGACATTTAACTATGTTTGAATAAGTGGTCAACTATGATATTTTGAAACAGATTGTCTTGTGTCTAGCAAGTGTGGTATGAACGACGTTGGTTGATCGGACTTAGATGATTGATGTTAGTAGTTATTGGAAACATCACTCAATCATTGGCGACAGCTGTTGAAAAAGAGACGTGTGAATTCGAGGCATTGAGGTAATACACCATACAATCCAAATATTGAATGAGAGTTGTACTGCATATGATAGAAAAGTGAGGAAAGTTAGCAAAAGATATCGAATGAGAATGGACAGTGTAAGTGAAGATGTTTTAAATGACACAGCATATTTAGTTTATGAAAAGTGTAAACTAAAGTAAACTATCTTTATTATTTATTCTATAGATGAAATGAATCAAAACGCTTTGAATTCTATATACAAAGCTTATGAAGATAATTCACAACAGTGTATCGATCAAATCCAACATATGAAAGTAAGCTGTCAAGGCCTTTGTTTTCCTATAGAAACTTCAGAACATTTCAAATTTTTCAGAGGATAACATTAGGTTGCGATTGATTTTCTGTTGATCTAGTTAACACGCAACTTCAGGTTTCTTATGATGTATGACAGTGTGGTGTATGCTACTTATTTCAACATAAGTAGTGTAGAAGACTGATCAAAATTGAAATGCCTAGAAGTAGAAGGTTAGGAAGATCAAATCGAAGAGAACAGGAACAGAGAGCATTTGTTGTGGTAATGAAGCAACGATGAAGTTTGAGACAATTGATAGAGCATTTGCAAATGAAGTATTAAACGTATGGTTTTCACATTTCATGAAAGAACTCTGTAATTTAATGTTAAAATACAATTGGTTGTCCCCATTTGTGTTCTCGTCCATCACAACAGTACCTTTAGACTCTGTTATCTTGAAGTCTACAGTGTTTCTTTCTAGTTAAAGAGACTATTCATTCCATTTTTGGCATTTTTTTGAAGTAAGAATATTCATATCCTGCTTATGAGACATTTTTTCAGGAGTTAACTGAATTGTATGAATTTGAAGACTTCGTCTTAAGCCTTTCTAAGGGTACTGCCGGTTCTGAACCAGTATAAAGTGATAAGAGTTGAGAATAGGGTTAGTAACCCTATCCCATAAAAAAGAATCTTTTTAGAAAAAATCGCTAATCAGGAAGGTTAATCATTTAAACCATTGAAAGTCGAATGCTTCGAGGCTTAAGAAATTTATTTATATGCATAAGGATGTTTAGGACAGCAACTGATCAGTCTATTTTGGCTTATGTGCGTCCTATACGGATTGCTTCAATATTGTCATTAAATCACAAGCATTTTAAGCAGAGGTAGATGGTAGCTAGTAGTGGAATCAAGGATACTCGTTTCGTCTTTTTTAGGACTCGTCCTTAGTTGAGGGTAACTGCACCCCAGAGTGACTTAATATTAACTCTTGGACTCGAACGTAGTACGGTTTGATTCAAATGCTCACTGCACAAGTGAATGGCTGTGTTCTGATTTATCTTAACTGGCCAGTAATGCGTAATAACTGCCTAATTATTGAAGCGCTCCTATAAGAAGTTTACAACCTATCATGAAGGGAATTATTTTGTGTATTTTGGCATTTGTTTCAATGATATCATGACTCGACCGATGTTAGACCAACATTAAAAACCTGAAAGCATTAGACGGCCATTTCGTCCCTGTGTGGAACTTCTCAGTGGTCCGCATCAATGACCCCGCACGCCAGAATCAGACCCAGAATCTTCGGTCTCGCTTGCGAATTCTTGACGTCCAGACCACTGAACAGATATTTAACGGTGTTATTATCGCACATCACTCAATCCACGACATTGTGCAACCATCTTTACTGATAAATATTGAACATTCGTATTCGCTCTAGGGAAATGAGAAGTAATTTTATTGGATTTCATGCAACAAATATATAGTATGAGATGATAATTTGTGTTATAACAGCAAAAGATTAAAAAATGCCTGCGTATGAAAATGAATGACAGTTAGTTGCTATGGCTTGAAACTTAAATCTATATCACGTGCTAAATTTATTTATTATTTTGAACACATGAATATTGGTACAAGAGAGCGCCAATATATATGCGCCACACAAAACAATGAGAATTCGAAGAGAAGTAGAAAAAAAAACTAAGGAGCGCAAAAGAAAAAGAGAACAATGACGAAGAGATTGGAGTAAGGTAGTGTGGTAGTAACGACGGAACGAAAAGGTACAATCAGAAGAAATCTTTCAGGTAAAGGAGACACAACCACTTTTTATGAAGAAAGTAAAAGAAGGTTACAGCAGGATCGCCACTGGCTTCTATTCTGAGCCATATCTGATAACGTCTCTAGCCACTGTGTAGCACCATCTCTCGGACCCCAACCAGGGAGTCGTGAAGGACCAACACAAGCCAGTCCTTTGCAGCTTTCTTTCATGCCACGACACCATGTCATGCACTGACCACCTCTCCGCTTCTTCCAACCAGTCCCAGAGTCGGCAAATAATGCACGACGTGGAATTCTCTGGGACGACATTCGGAGAACATGTCCAAGCCACCGAAGTCGGTGTTTCAAGATGGTGACACCAATTGATTATCATCTCTGTGCCCGAACACACGATGCCGAACCTCTGCATTACTGACATGGTGTTGCCACTGAATGTCAGCAATCCTTCGGAGACAGCGATGATCGAACACAGAGAGTCGTCTAACGTCCTCAACTCGGAGAGGCCAGGTTTCACAAGCATAGAGCAAAACTGCTCTCACCGACGCGTTGTAGATCCGACCTTTTACAGCCAGACTAACATCACGAAGGCTTTCACGTGCATTGATCTCATCACTCACACCCCCACCAGCACTTATGCAGCTACCCAGATACACGAACTTCTCGACTACGTCTATCTGCTCACCATCCAGGGTGAGTACAGGATTGGAATCCTGCCAGTCTTGTAGAAGTACTTTGCACTTCGAAGGTGCAAAGCACATACCATACCTACGGACACTGATTGCCAACTGATTAAGTGCGGATTGCATGCCTTGGGCATTATCGCACAGTAAGACAATATCGTCCGCATACTCAAGGTCGAGAAGTCTTTCTCCAGGCAACAGATCCACACCACCATTACTTACATTCATCAGAGCTGTTTCCAGAATGTCATCGATGGCAAAGTTGAAGAGGAATGGTGAGATTGGGCAACCCTGCCTAACCCCACTGCTCGAATGGAACAATGGAGAGAGGTGGTTGTATGCCCTCACTCTGCCTGAGGTGTTTTTATATAGGGCTTTTAGGATGTTAATAAACTTCTCAGGCACACCCTTCTTCAATAGACAATCCCAGAGAACAGTCCTGTCCAACGAATCGAAGGCAGCCCTGATGTCAAGAAACACTACGATTGTTGGCCTTTGATAAGTATGGCGGTGTTCTAACATTTGGCGGAGGGTGAAGGAGCGGCAGTCTTGTACACAACCACGCCAGCGGTAGCTGATCGCGATGTGATCAATCTGAGTCCAGGCTTGAGATGCAGAGGGAGGACGCCAGGTGGCACATCGGCGATGACTGTGCCGAAAGTTGGTGCTAGCCAGAAACAGGTTGTGGTCTGTGCAGGGTTGCAGTAGACGGTCCTCGCTATTTGACCTGCGACCAACAAGTCCCCATCGGCCACTTAAACGACTCTCTTCTGTGCCTAGACACCCGACCTGAGCATTCAAGTCTCCGGCTAGTACTACAATATCTGTCGAACGCACTTTCTGGAGAAGAACTGATAACTGGTGGTAAAACTCATCCTTGATTGCATCCGGGCTGCAATCTGTCGGGGCATAGGCGGAGATGACGAAAAGACATCGTTTCTCACGCCGATTTCTTCTCACTTTGATGGAACTTTCTAATCTAACAGCACATAACCGACTGTTAATGGGGATCCAATCGACTAGTGCTGCCTCAGCTCTAGCGCTCAGTGCGACACCAACGCCTGCAAGACCAGACGAAGATGCCACAGGGTCCCCGGATAAGCGCACGTAAAACAAGCTTTTCGAAGCGACAGATGGAGATCGAATTTGTAGTACTTCGCCAGAGTCTTGAATACGGGTCTCGGATAGACAACAAACATCGATATTAAGACTTTCCAAAGACATAGCCAGCCCTATCTGTTGTCCGACCTGCATAAATGTGCGAACGTTGAAGGCAGCCAGTTTGAATGGTGCACGTGGATTCAGAAAAACTGCTTCAGTTCTCGTATTCGGTGGTAACATACAATTTTCAATCGGACAGTGACTCGAGAACGTTTAGATACAGTCGAATTTCCACCAAAGACGAGCCGCTGTATAAGTATAAAAGAGGGTGAATAATGTGGATAATAATAATAATAATAACAATAATAATAATAATAATGACAATAATAGTAATAATAATGATAGTATTAATAATGACAATAATTGTAATGATAATAATTTGAATCAATTGATTGTTGCTAAATTTAGTAATCATAATTCTGGTTAGAAATTTTTCTATCCCGCGTCTACGACTTCTTCTGTTGCTTAGTGTCCCAGACTTGACCAATTATACATTCTGACCAGTACAGTTTATCCTGTACCAATTCAGGCTGTACTCCGATTAGTCCACCACATGAAGACTTTTCGCTGTTCCCTGCCTTGGGCTCGAAGATGAGTCAAGAGTCAGTATCTACACATACATATTCCAACTATCCAATCCAATCAACTGACACAGTCAACTATTATAGCCTGCAACTAATTCAAACACCATTGAACAAAGATTCATTGCGATGCTATGAACTTGTGTTGAGAATTCTACACTGTAATTATTAATTCGAACCTGCAATCGCTGAACGATTGAACTACAACTCATCGAATGAAAGGTTGTACACTATTAACGAGACCTGAACATATCTAGTTTGAATTCTATCTAGATTTAAGTGTGTGGCTTTGTGTCGAAGAGTTCGAAGCTATCATTATTTCATTGACGTTTTTATCACATCCTTCACCTGTCTACTCACTAATATACAGAAGACAATTTGTCTCAACCTAGATCAAGGCCTTGGTACGATAGACTGACTGGATGAATTTGAGGCTAGAAACGCGTAAGTTCGAAATGAGACTAACTGCCTTGAATGAACGAACAAAAACTATTCCATCACCTGATTGGTTGACATCCGCGCGATCGAGAGAGAAAGACGAAACGACTGGAACACTACTCTTTTTATTCTCAATCCCGATTCACACATCGATTCGGTTCCGATTCAGATTAGTGCATAAAGATACATGAATAGTATAGATGATTAACATGACCACTACACGCAAACAATTAGGAAAATACAATTATATGCAAAACTGGGGATTACTTACTTACTTACTTATTTATGCCTGTTCCCACTAACACTCTCCATCCAACCCTGTCCTAGGCAATCCTTTCCAGCTCTTTCCGGTTGTTATTCATCCTTTTCTTATCTGCTTCCATCTCGCAACGTAGTGTGTTCTTCGACCTTCCTCTTTTCCGCTCCCCTTCACGATTCCAAGTTAGGGCTTGCCTCGTGATGTGGTTTGATGATTTCGTCAATGTATGTCCTATCCACTTCTAATATCTTTTCCTAATTTCCTCTTCAACTGGAAGCTGGTTTGTTCACTTCCATAGAAGTCTGTTACTGATAGTATCCGGCCAATGGATATTGATTAGGTTAAGAAAATAGAGTACTAAATGTTACATCTAAACTACAATAGATTTGGAACAGAAAACAATATGACAATGAACCATACATCAAACGAAAGCTTATGATCTGTAGAATAGATTAGGAACAAAAGTGAATGTTACTAATTTACATGGTTTGATCTAGATGAAATAACGTTCCCCCGCCCCCTCATTGTGTTTGTCATAACTTTATTGTTTCTCTGTTCTCATTCATTTTCTTTCAATACTTATGTTGTTTTCTTTTTTATGATAAATTTCTCTTTATTATTCATAAATAGAATCAAATGTTACATCGTAAACTGATCAACTCAATGGATGAAATTGAAAATTTAATTAAAGAAAATTGTATCACCATTTTAGGTGAATTACAAAGTCAATTTGAAAATAATTTAAATTATCTTGATGTAAGTAATGTTTTATCATATAATTCAATGACCACAATGGAAAACCTGGAAGTACTGGACGGCCGTTTCGTCCTAGTATGGGACTCTTCAGTAGTGCGCATCCACGATCCCGCACCCGCGAAATTCGAACTCAGGACCTAACAGTCTTGCGTCAGGCGCTTAACCAACGAAATGGCCGTCTAGTGCTTCCAGGTTTTTCATGGTGGTCTAGCTTCAATTGACTCATGATTTCAATCAGTGAAGTTTATAAAATCTCCACACAAACCCCTTCTGATAATTATTATCAATAGGAGGTTTTAATGGAGATGTTGGATACTGACTCAGTGATCTAGATGTTAAGTGTTCATGTGTGAAACCGATAGGTCCTGGGTTTGAATCCTGTGGATGGGATGATAGATGAGTACTGTTGAAGAGTCCGTACTAGGATGAAATGGTTATTCAGTACTTCTAGGTTTTCATTAGTGTTCTAGCTTTAATTGATTCATGAATTCAATGATTAAATTAATTATTATCTCCCTATACATATATACATTTTACCAGCTTATGATTTTGTAGAGATTACACAAATTTTTTAGTTATAAATCATTATTAGATTTTAGCTAAACCAGAAGATATTAGATAGTTGTTTTTCCCTTGTATAGAACTTTTCAGGAGTGCATATCAATGACTTCACATCCTAGAATTGAACCTAATACCTTTAATCTCACGTGTGAACACTCAGTCTTTCGATCATTGAACCAGGACCCAATGATGTTAATGTCCGATTTTAATCAGTTCATAATGTTGCGTAAATATCTTCCATTGCCTGAGGTGGATAACGGTCTCATATCCAATGTGGTTGATGTATAGTTAGATGGATTTGATACTTTGGACGCTAAGTATAAATAAAATATCGTAAGATTGTAAAATGTCTGAATACCTTTATGATGTTGGTTTATCGTCAATGAATTGACGTTAGAATCCAATTTTATATATGAACGAATATACATTAATGAACTGTACAAAATTGACTTAGTGTGTGGTGTGCTTGACTTTCAATCTCAATCTGTGTGTCGTATCAATATAGCTTATGTCATCTGTACTTGAACAAGTTGTTATTAATTGTGACCTGAGTGCCCTGTTAATGGATGAGTAATGATACCGCCAAATAGGGAGTAGTGACTTATCGATCAGACCAAGGACGCGGAAACACGTGCGAACGGCCTAGAGTTCTGATTGACCCTGCTTTCCGCCTAGCCCAGCCAGTTGAGTCCAGAACACCAATCTCAGCCTTTGTGATATGAGTTATGTATTTCAAACATACTGGGTTTATATACCAACCAGAAAGATCACAACGTAGCATAAAATAGAAAATAACATTTGTACAAAATTTGGCCAAATGTGGCTGTGAATGTGGGAAGCAGTGACTAATAGACAGGGCATAATTCAAGAATGGTAAAACGTATTATAATGGTTCATAGGTAGAAATAAAGTTTATAATAAGAGGAATATGAATAGTTTAGTTAATTAACAATTATTTGATAAAAGTATACGTATAGTATTGGTCCATAAATGGATCCCAAAGTTACCATTCATTATGCTCATCGGGACCTAACACAAGTGTACTAGTTATTACTTGTATAACCCAATTCCTCATATGTACTAATGAAGTAAAATTACACCGATATGCATATGTTAATCTATGGGAGTATAAACAAATCAACTATGTCAAGTGTATTGAAGATTTTCGTCATAAACTGGCTTCAGGTAAAAAACAACAACAACTGGAGAACAGTCGACACGTATTGTATTGTAGTTTCAGTTAAAGCGAAACTAATTATCTTATGATACCTTATATTGTCATGTTCAATTATAATCAAGATGATGAAAGCTGTATAAGCAATAGAAATATTCTGATCTGTTTTTAAAAGTATACCGTAGTAACTACGAATGGATCAACACACAAAAAGCTCACATGATAGTAATGTCTTGTAATTGGCTATAGAGTATACAATTACTTACAAAATAATTATCTTTTTTTTGTAATTATGATAAACTCCTACAGCTTAAATGAAAGTTTGTAGTTCACCATACATCTATCTACAAAAGATTCATTGAATGTATAACAGATTCTGTATAAGAGATAGCTCATGTATTGACAAGTCCGATTGCGGCAGCCTGCTTGAATATCTGAGCTACTTGTTCCTGCCATCTGAATATGTTAACAAGTTATTTGTTTTATTGTTTGTTTTAACACATTATTATGCCTATTAATCTCATAGCTTATTCAGGTACGTTTGTGTAAAGTTTAAGATCTTTCAGTATACAAGTTACAAAAGGGCCCAATCAGAGATATCGTGATAACTGACAATATATATTGGAAAAGAATGAACATTATTCAAATGTCAATTCATGAACTGCTAACATCTAACTGACGATCACTCAATATGTTATAGTCAGGATTGATCAAGAAATAAGAAATACTTTGCGCTGAGAATTCTATATTGTACCAAAAGTATAATACTGAATATAGCCACTAATAATAATAATAATAATAATAATAATAATAATAATAATAATAATAATAATATAATAATAATAATAATAATAAAAAATAAATAAATAACAAAAATAATAAATTCTCATGGTATTGTTTACATGAATCTTCCCATCGATGTTTAGGACTGGAATTGATCAGTCTCTTATTGGCATATGTGAATACTGCCTTAATTCACAAGCATTCTAAGCAAAGATGGATAGTGGATAGCAGTGGAATCCAGTTTTGACGTGCGTTTCTTCCTGTTTGGAACTCGTCAACTGGATGTACCTGCATCCTAGAATTGATGTTCACTCTGGCATAACTAGGTGAATAATGCGATAGCTTCCACCACATAAATCATTTATTTCAAGCATACTTGGTTTATATACAAACCAAACCAGACCGCATCATACCATAAAGTAGGAAATAACATTTGTACAAGACCAAGCCAAAAAGTGGTTATGATTGTGAGAGACTGTAATCGATTGAAAATAACCTGGGAATAGTAAATCGTACAGTAGTAGTCAATAGGTCAAATAAAGAAATACGAATACATGTGTAGTCTGGTTATTTAATAATTATACAATAAGAATATATATGTATAATAACAGTTCTTAAGTAGACCCTAACAGTTATCATTTACTTATTCTTCGTCCGGATATAACAAATATAATGATTATAAGCAAGGATGAATAGTGGCTAGCAGTGGAATCCAGGACGTGCGTTTCGTCCTGTTTGGGACTCAATAGCTAAATGAATAACGAGATAGTGTTTGGAGCGTACGGTACTAGGTTCGAATCCCGGAGTGAACATCAACTCAGATGCAGGTATATCCAGCTGACGAGTCTCAAATAGGACGAGATGCACATCAAACTGGATTCTACTGCTAGCCACTATTCTATTTTGCTTAATGATAATAATAATACTTATTAACTATAGAATTCTATATAAGAGATAGAACAGACTCATCTATAGACACTCGATGCCTATTATAATTAACATAGCGGTTATATATATTTGAATAGTTGCATTCATGAAGCTAGACCACCATGGAAAACCTTGAAGCACTGGATGGCCGTTTCGTCCTAGTATGGTACTACTCAGCAGTGCGCGCACACGACCTCGCCTCGTGGGATTAGAACCCTGGACCTATCAGTTATATATTTACAATGAAGTTTTTTTAATAATAATATTCAATATACTCACTAATAGAACTTGTTTTATCCTTTTCTCCTTATTAGCATTGTTTCTCATGGTGTTTATCTATATGGTTAAATGAATGTATTCCATTATTATTCAAATTTAGTCAAATCCTAATTCAATTATGGCAATTCTATGCTCATCTACCTATTGTTCATTTAAAAAATGAATTAAATTTTAATTTACTTAATATAAAACAAGTAGTATATGATGAAATTTTAAAAAAAGATGAATTGATTAATTCATTAATTGATTTATTAAGACAAAGTTCAACAGAACAAATAATTAATGAAAAATTACAAGAAGTAATTAATTTATTCAATGAAATTAGTGTAAAGTGAGTATGTTGTTTTTATGTGTGTGTGTGTGTGTAGGTGTATGGATATTATAATAATGTTTTAAGAGTTGAATATATATGAGTCAATTGAAGGTAGGACATCATGGAAAAGCTGGAAGCATTGGACGGCCATTTCGTCCTAATATGGGACTTCTTAGTGATGCTCATTCACAATCACGGCCTGCGAGATTCCAACCCAGGAACTATAATTCTCACGCGCGAACGCTTAACCACTATACTATTGAGCTGGCTGGCATCCAACGATTTTAATGTCTAACTTGAACTAATCCACGAAATTGAGCGACACATCCATCATTGGGTTCAGTGAGTTACTATCTCACAACAGACCCAATTGAACTTCACTGATCACTGCTTCTCACTAGAACTCCAGGATATACCTCTTGGAGACCGTCGGTACTGAGTATATGACGATTACAATCAGAGAGGGATTTTGTGAATGTTATATTAATTTTAGTAGTTGAATTCATGAGTCAATTAAAGCTAGATCACTATCAAAAATCTGGAAGCAATGGATGGCTGTTTTGTCTTGTAGTATGAGACTGCTCTCAGTAATGTGTATCCACGGCGACGGTGCATTTTCATGGATTGGTTGAATTTAGACATTGACACTATTGGATACCGAATGGCTCAGTGATCTAGAGGTTAAAAGTTTGCTTGATAGACCCATAGGTCCTGGGTTCGAATCTCACGAGACGGTATCGTGGAAACGCATTGCTGACTCCCATACTAGGACGAAAGGGCTGTCCAATGCTTTCAGGTTTTTAATGGTGGTCTAACTTTAATTGACCCACGAATTCAAGTATTAAATTTTTTTGATACTTGATTTTTAATAAATCTCAAATAGAATAATGATTATTGAGTAAATTTCTGAAGGTGGATAACAGTAGATTCATCAGTTGGGAGATCCTACATTCTATTATTGATCTACCCATTTGAATTCGAATTAAGTGTCTTTCTTCCCAATCGAAAAAGCATTACTCACTGAGCTATTAACTTCACATAAGCACTGACTTGTAAAGGGTTTTTATTTCATTTTTTTCATAGTGTATACATCAACACTGGGTTGCAGGTATTTATTTATTTATTTAAACACATAAACATTGATAGAAGGAGGCACCAAATACATATGCGCTACATAAATCATTCGATTTATGTGAGGGCTGTCATAGTGCCCGGGTGCACAAATCGGTGCAGGTGGTTTTCTTAGGGAGCCACACCCGGAGCCTTTGACTTAAAGGTGTGATCTACAAGGTAGTGGAGCAATGTCCGGAGATGTAGTCCCATGTTAGCCAGTTTTCAACAATAGGTTCGTACGTCATTTGTTCCCTCAGGATCCTGGAGCCAATGTGAACTATAGGTTTGGAATGAGGGTTTTCCGACTCCCTTAAATGGTCCTCCATATCTACCAGCCGGATAGAAGCTCCTGACATTCGCTTTTCTTCCTCTTAATATCGTAAACAACACCCGTAGTGCGATACTTCCCTTGTAGTGGTTATATGCACGTGGCCATGTGAGAGCATTTGGATAGAGAGAGCAGACTCTCCCCACCCTCGGCCGTACCGGGCGAAATGCTGGTCCTGAATTCTACTCCCAGCCACAATTCATCTATTCTTAAACAACTTGTTGCAAGATGACTCAGTCAGTCAGCTACAACGTAGGATCAGGCATATATATGCATCGGTCCAAGTTGCCACACCTCATTAGCACAAGATGAACAGCGAATTCTTTAAAGTATTTACTTCAGTGGTAGTATAAAAACATTTTGTATAAGGATACGATACGGTAAGAAAGAATCAGTTCATAAAAAGTAAGACACAAAGTAATTTTAATCTCACGGTTTAAGGGAAGACAGAGAGTGCATACACTGACGCCATTGTGATCGATTCTGAGTCATATCACCTTTGGTCTCCTACCATTGGTTAAGATAGTCGCGTGGACTCCAACCAAGTAGTCTGAATCTACCAACATGTCTCAGACCAGAAGTTAGTGACTTCAAGAACTGATTCCACGTTTTGGTCAGTTTGGCCACTCCCAACTTTTTTCAACTATCCTCAACACTAGTCAAGATGACTTAACATAGGTAAGAGTAGATATTTTACACCACTAATCTATTACTTCTCAATTAATGTGTTGTGTTTGAGTCGTCGCAATTGTTGTGCCGGAAAAGGCCCTGATCACTTATACTCGGAACGAGGGACCTCGGCAATTCCCACGATGCGAAAGTAAGAACACAAGACTGGTATAAGTGATGATTTAGTAGCCCCAAACACGACGACGAACGATGATCAAAATAGTCTGAAATACACTTGTTTATATATTGATTGTACACCCCTTTTTGATTAATAATTAGGATTAAATCACATACTCAGTTTTAACAAACCACTTACTGAGCATAGTTCATGTTAATGGAACACAAGAATATCGTATATTATACAGAAGAAAATATCATACGACAAAAGAAAACAATTACTACAGTAAATGATCATCACATTGAATTAGACGGGAACTAATGTTGAATAAAACTCATAATGAGTAAATCAATCGAGGAATTGATTTTTCTTTCCATCATATCATAATGACAGATCTAGAAATTGGGTTATGTTTATACATTTATGAACGTAGTGTGGTTGAATATAGTTAACAGGAAACTTTACTTGATCTAGGTTTCACGCTAGTTAGAACTTGTCAGAAAGGCGTACCTATAATTTTGAGGGAACTGATGTTTCCTGTCGGATATAAACCTTCATCGTTCAGCTTCCGAATCTTCAACGTTACCACTGAGCTATTCAAACTGCGAATGATGATTTTTAAATGATTTACCTCCATTATTGAATCAATTCATTATAGACTCCACTGTGACATGTTTACTTTGTCCAAATCAAAACAACAATCTACGCTTGATTAGCTACACTGTAAATAATGACCGACATCTTAACATCTTTTAATCCAAAGGGTACTCCTACCCAAAGATCCAATCAAAAGACGGTGACAATAATAAAAAAAACTTAACTATTTATTAGTCTCATTTTGTTTCTACTGCTTTTGACTCAAAAACCCATAGGGATTATATTTACTGGATTATTGATTATAATAAACCACAAATTAGAGATCATAACATGTATACAATCAAACTGTAAGTGGCCGATAGGTTCATAGTTAATGAACGATAATTTAAGAACGGTAGAACACATAATGACTTACTTACTTACTTATCTACGCCTGTTACCCCTTGTGGAGGAGCATAGACCATCCACCAGCACTCTTCATTAACACCAGCCAAATTAAACAGAACACATAATTACAGTTAATTTAAGTATAAATAATAGTAATACATCATGTATAGATGATTACACAGAACCCTTTAATAATTGAATACTTCTTTCTTTCTTTCTTTCTGTTTTTTTTTCCCGAATGTATAAAGTTACAAATCACTGTATGATAAACAATTACAATTTCTAGATACATATGTAAAACAAATAACCACTGTTATCGATTTATGCGAAACTGCTATTTGCCGATTTTTCGGTGTAACCCATTGTACAAAACAACAATCTTTACATTTGGAAGTAAGTATTATTAGTTATTATTATTATTATTTTCTTTATTGATAATATTCAATTATTTCTATTTAGGTAATGCATACTACTTATGCTAACAAATACAAGTAGTGAGCATCCACGATCCCGCTCGCGGGATTCGAACCCAGGGCCGTCGGTCTCGCACGCGAACGCTTAACCTACTGGACCACTAAGCCGGCATCCAATGGTGAAAGTGTCTAAAATTAACTAGTCCACGAAATTGCGCGACCGTCTTCCATTGTACTGAGGTAGATACCTGTCTTTACCCGACATGGATTAGCTCCACTGGTCACGGCTTCTCACTAGAACTCTGAGAATTCCCTCACGAAGCTAGTCACTAGTGAGCACATGTTAATTACTAGTATAGGGGTTGTGGAGATGATTAAGTTTTTGATTGAGATCATGAACCGATTGATGTTAGACCACCTTTGGAAACCTGGAAGCAGTGGACGGCCGTTTGTGGGACTCCTCAGCAGCGCGCATCCCACAACCCCTCTATACTAGTAAATATAAGTAGTATGTAACGGTGATCGGAATTTGAATGCTTGTTAATAGAATATTGAATTGAAAAGGATAGAAGAGGAAGCAGACAGCAATTGTAACAACAATAGAAAAGATAAACCATAGGAAGATATGTAAATAATGTATGATTTTCATATTTTATAAAGCTACTCTGTAGTGTTTGGATTGATCTTTCCCATCTGAGTTCACGTTCACTACATATATATTGATAATAATATATTCATAAAGACGAGTAGATCAAGATATGATATCATTCCATTTGTATGAGCTATATTGATAGATGGATAGTACCTAGTCTAGACCGACTTTGAAATCAGGTAATATGACTTTTAATTGGAGAAATGAAGTTGATGTCTACTCCTAGAAATTTTCTATTTCTGGAATTCATATCTGTTTGCAGAATTATATGCTTTGTTTCTAAAACTTTTTTTGGGTACTGTCCCTGATACTTCAGAGAATGAGAACATAGGCAGGGGACAATCGAATGTATTTGAATACAAAATCTAAGAACCATATAGTAAATAGTTCATATGCAAAATATTTATCAATTGTCTCAGACATGATTGTTCTTTCGTTTTAACACTAATCATTTTCTGTTCCGGTTCTCTTTCTTCAATGTTCTTAACCTTCTACCGTCAGGCATTTCACTTTGAATTGTTGATACATACTACTTATATCTGTCGACATCAGTAGTATACACTACAGTATCATAATCAGGATCGAGAATGTGACTGTTCGGTTTCCGCGTAAAATTCAACAAAGCATGTCTTTATAATAAGTAGTAAAATGGTCTTTGCATATTGTACCTGATATCAATTGGTGATGAAAATGTCAACTGAAAATAAACTCTTAATGTTTAATTCATTAATGGATATTTAGAGATCTCATTGAACCCTCTTTAAGAGTTCCAAATATGGACAATTTATATTCATTAGAATGAGTTGATACCTTTCTTTTCTTTTGAAGAAGACTATTGTAGATTTATCAAATATGTACAATTTGTTATACTTGGTAATATTATTATTTTCGTTTTATTAAACTACACACTTTATGAAAGATGCTTTCCGATTGGCTAAGAACTGATATAAATATCATGGGGGTAAATATGAAAATGCAACACCGACAATCTACTATAATGAAAATAATGATCATGACATTTTTATAGACTCGAGGATATGGAAAGCAAGACAATCACTGAGACTCAAGAACAGAAGAACAGATGAGCAAAACACTTTGAGGAACTCTTTAAAAACCCACCGGACATCGAAGCAGCACACACAGACCTTCTTATAGATTTTAGTCAACCGGTGATAGAAGAAATCAGGATGGCCATCAGACAAATCAAGAATGGGAAAGCAACAGTTCCTGACAATATATCAACTGAAGCACTGAAGGCAGATATAGAAGCGACTGCAAACATGTTTCATACTCTATTCAAGAAGATTTAGGAGGAAGAACAAGGGCCATAAACATACTGGAAAGAAGGACACTTCATCAAGATACCAAAGAAAGGAGATCTGAGCAATGTGAGAACTACACAGGCATCACACTACTGTCAGTATCAGGAAAATGTTGCAACAGTGTTGCTGAACAGGATGAACGATTTTATAAAAGGTACTTTCTATTTGGCTACTAATACTACTACTACATACTACTTATATCTATCGACATCGATAACACACACACACACACCACGAAATGATATTAGGCTATTTTGGTAAATTAACTCATAATCCCTTTGTTTCTCTTTTTTTGTTTCTTATTCATTCTAGAAAAAAATAAATCGTCAAACACCAATCAATAACATAGTTACACTTGGATTTGAAAAATATATTTGTATACAACAACAACAACCATCACCATCAGCACTACAACAACCACAACACCATCACCATTACCACCACAGCAACAACCATCACCACAACCACCACCATCACCATCACCGCCACAACAAGAACAATTCGATGGAAATGTTTCTAAATTAAATCCTATTTTCTATTATATAAAACATCATGATATTGCTATAGATGATTTAATTAAATTTTTACAATCAGAAATGAAATCTAATTCTACATTGAATATATTTATTGATTATTTAATTAAAAATATTCAATTAACCGGTATTATCACTGGTAATGAAATGAATCATTTGAATGAAATCAATAATAATTTATCAATTAAATTCATTAAAAAATCAATAAAATCAGATCATACAAAACATAATGATACTCAATTATTGATTATCAATAATAATAATAATAATAATAATGAAAATAAACCAATTACTGTAAATAATTATGTAACCGATTATATTCAACCAATTAAAATTGAAAAATGTTTAAATCTAATCAAACATGTTAAAGCAATCGTTCGTATAGTAAGAGAATTTCTATTAGTTTTTTGTATAAAAACAAATGTGATTTCATCATTTCAATAATTGAAATCATGAGTTAATTGAAGATAGACCACAGTGGAAAACCTGGAAGTTTTGGACGATCGTTTTGTCTTAATATGGGACAGTTCAGCAGTACGCATCCACGATCCCACCACCTCACGTGATTCGAACCCAGGACATATCAGTTTCGCACGCGAGCGCCTAACCATTAGACTACTGAGCTGGCATTCTGAGTTCGAGGCGGGACCGTGGATGCGTACTTCTGAGGAGTCCATATTAGGATGAAATGGCCATCTAGTGTTTCCAGGTTTTCCATAGTCGTCTAGCTTCAATTGACCCGTGATTTCAACTGTTGAAATTGCTAAAATCTCCACAAAACCCTTTCTGATTTAATTATTTGTTGAATTGATAAGTTATAAATTACTTGGCGCTGGGGTTCAGAGTGATCAGGAATGTGTCTGATCCCGGGGTGGAGGTTCACTATTGTATCTTGGTGGGTTAAAATTCAGGATGAACAGTAATAGGGTGAATACGGGTGTGTAGCTTTGTCAGTAATAAAAATTTGTAAATTAGACCATTAATAAAAATCTGGAAATACTAAATGAACGTTTTGTCCTAATATGGGACTATTCATCAGTGCGTATCTACGATCTCGCATACGGGACTCAAATCCAGGATATATCGGTCTCGCACATGAACACCTAACCTATAGACCATTAAGCCGGCATCCTATGGTGTTATTGTCTAAATTCAATCAGTTCACGATATTGCACAACTATCTTCAATTGTCTGAGGTAGATACATGTCTCTTCCCAACACGGATTGGACTCAACTACTCATGGCTTCCACTAGAACTCCATGAAATCCATCTTGAAGCCAGTCACTATTGAGCACATGATAATTATTATTAAAATGGGGATTTGTGAGAGTTGTAGTGAGTTCAATTGTCGGGTAATGACAAGTGTCTACCTCAGACAATGGGTGAATTGTTGTGCAAGATCATGGATCGATTGAATTTAGACGGTGACACTACCTGATGCAGGCTCAGTAGGCTATAGGTTAGGCGTTCGCATGCGGGATCGTAGACGCACACTACTGACGAGTTCAATGCTTGGACGAAACGGTCGTCCAATACTTCCAGTTTCTCAACGATGGTCTAGCTTACATCGACTCATGAAGTCAACTATTAAAATCACTACAACCTTCACAAATCCCCAGTCTAATTTATTCATTTGTCAAGCAATTTCGATATGTTCATTTGAATCAAAGGCATCTGATTATAGTGTCCGGTTATTGGTGATTCACCTTATACTAATCTGACCAATAGCACAGTGATCGTGAAAAATAGCCGAAGGCTTCAATACCTATTTGTTCATACATCATATTTGCCATCTGTGATCAATCACAATTCAAAGTCAACAAGTAGATCTACCTTGTGTTATTGGATTTACATAGTGAACAGACCATAACACACTAAATATAAGAAATCATAAGTTGTGTGCAGGAAAGCCATAAGGGATATAAAATGACGTAATAAATGAATGATTATTTAAGGAGTGATCAATTTCTACGTAGAATACTTCTGAAAGTTCCATCTGTCCCATTTATTTAGTCTGATCTAACAAAGTGTACAGCTATTTTGTCTTATTTTATAGAACTCTTCAATAATAGTCACAAGCATAACCTACAGAACCAGTGGCATGTACAACACTTTTAGGTCACTGTGTTGGAATACAACTTCAAATCAATTTGCATCAAGCCCTATGTCTGATTTAAGATCGTGAACTCAAATCCCTAGTTTTCCCGTTACAATATGTGTAGATATACATATAGTCTATTTTACTAATTACCCAATGATATTGATATGCATCAGTAAAGATAAGTGATTGACTAACAAGCGTAGACAAACACTCAGTTTACTAAATACTGTGATAATATAATGGCGTGAATTCTTTTCTACTAGTGATTCGTATTCCAATTTCATTGTGAACTTGTGTTGTGTGGTTTCTGATTCTGATATTGATATATAAGCTTCCTAAAAACAAGCAAAACCGCTTTCTTGAATGAAAAGGGAACTTTTCTGGGTAAACCAAACTGAGAAATATATGCACATTTATATATCTATCCCTTAGAATGTTAAATAACATATTCAACCATTGGTTGGTTTCTGGTTTATTAAGAAAGTCTTGGCTAATTGAGTAATCTTTTTGTTTGATGGATATATGAATGGCTAAACGTAGCGGAATTCTATTCGTTATATGAACTAGTAGTAATTGTGTTAAGTAAACTATTATGTGGTTTCCAATTTTTGATCATAAATCCTGTATGTGTATAACTTGATCCAGCCTGTGCTTAGTGTATCGAGTCGTAGTATTATACACCCATTATTCTATAGTCGTGGAATGCGAAAGTATTATACTTGTTTGTTTCTTGAAATCATGAACCGATCATTGTTAGAATACCATTGAGAACCTGACAGCACTGAACGGTCATTTTGTCGTAGTATGGGTTTTGTCAGCATCGCACATCCATGACGCTGCACGTGGTAGTCTGACCCGGGACCTTCTGTTCTATTCACAAACGCTTGACGCTCAGACCAGTAAACCAGCTAGTGCTAGTGTTTAACTTCAATCAGCCCACGAAATTCAGCGACTATCTTCGATTGTTTTTTGGTAGGTAATTGCTTTACACCAGACATGGTCGAATTCCGCTATTCATATCTTCTCACTAGAACTCGGGAAATTTTCTCTCGAATCTAGTGACCATTATTTTTGTTTGTGTTTTTTTGTAATAGAAAATATTAGAATATTTGGAACAATGGAAGAATACAACCATATTAGCCGTAAAAGAGGAAGTTATAGTTAGAAAAACTGAAATAGACGATGAATATCAACTGCAACTCAAACTGCATGAACCACGTATTCGTCGGGTGAAAGAAGTAATTCAACTTTTAAAAGAAAATTAACTAATAAATGTGTTTTTCTATACATTAATAGCACGATCAGTATCCCTACTGATTTACTTACTTATGTCTGATACCCTTTGAATAGCATAGGCCACCGACTAGGATTCTACAACCTACTCTGTCCTGAGTTCCCCTTTACAGTTTTTTTTAAAGTACTGTCAATATCTTTTTATATCGCAAAGCCCAACCAAGGATATTATGTGAGCTTTCAACTTCCCGTAATCACCTACAGTGTACATTATAAATTCGCAAGTTGATTACCAGGAAGGTTCGCCTGTGAGAACACTTTGTGCCTCAAATTACACACATCTTGATCATTAAGACGTTTACCATAAGAATGGTAAGCGAAATTCTTAATGTGGAAGGAAGCCGTACCACATATGAGCAGTGGCCGCACAGTTTCAAACTCAGCATCCGTTAACCTGCGCATCCATGAATTATTTTGGTACCTCAGGGAATTGCACTCGTGATTGTGATGCACATTCCTACACACAACAGTCCAGTACCCGTCTATAATCGTACAAAACATGAATGCCGGACATTGCGTGTTCATGGAAGCCCTTCGTGAAAAAAATTATAAATACATTAACCAAATTACCTCCTCCGTCTAATCCTCTGTGACGAACCGCTAGACCTTATACGCCCATTTCTCCAACACATAAATTTAATATACGAATTCTGATCTCTGCCCGTATGCGAATCTCTCACTACATAATGATTGTAAGTCGATCTTTCGAAAGTTGCGGTAGCAGCCTTTAACGCTTCAACTGATGGGAACGCAACGAAAAACAACGTTGTCAAAAACACTTCTCCGTTTCCGTGACGTCAGAAACACTAGCGCTTGTACTTGACAAGTTACTCTCCTCCATAATGACGATTAAAATGTACTTCGTCGACAATTACTGATATTTTATAACAATTTTCAAGACATAACTAACCAATTAAAACGAAATTTAAAACTAGCCATTTCATTGGACGAAAAAAGGGGTTAAAAATATTGTAATTTGGGGGTGGAAAAAATTTTTCAGTGGGGTGGGGGGATTTTAAAAAAGAATTTTCAAAAATTGCGGGGTGGATAATAAAACTCATCTGCCTCAATTTCTGGAGCACTATGTTCTTTAGTCTGCTTCATTCCAGTCACTATGATGATTCCAAGTTAGGACTTGCTTTGTGGTTCATTTTGATTATTTCAGCGATGTGCGTTCTATCCACTTCGTCTTTATTGACTACTCTACGAATGTTTGTGAGTAGTTTTTTTTTTAAACTGGCGTGATTAAGGTATCAATTTTGGTGCGTTATTACACTATAAACTATTGTAGTGAACGAGAATACAAGTTGAGACAATCGAATGTGTTGGAATACGAAATTAAAGAGTATCTTAGTAAAATCTGAGGACCATATATAGTAAATACTTTATTGGCAAAATGTCAGTCAATCGTCTTAGACTTCATTGTTCTTTCGTTTCTACATCAATCATTCTCTGTTCTCGGTCGTCTCTTTTCTTTAATCTTCTTAATCTTCTGCCTCCAGGCATTTCACTTTCAAATGATGATATATACTCCTTATATCTGCTGACATCAGTAGCACACATCACATTATGATTGTATACAATGCAGATAATTAGCTCTGATCAAGTTGTGTAAAGTTTCGGCTTCTAACCAATAAGTTTCGTGTTCGAATCCTGTCATACCTATTCTAGTTTAGGCAACTAGATATTACTATTAATCCTCATACAATTAGAAAGATCATCAAAGTCTTACTACCCCCATGATTTGATATGATTCTATTTGATGCATAAGTTACACATGAATTAAAAGTGGTGTTACAAATGGAAATGTCACAATCAGGTTACTCGTGTATTGAGTAGCGACATGAGACTGAATCTTTTAGAAAATGTCACTTTTTAAAAGGCTATAAATAACACTTGGTACTGAGTGCTGATCACCACAGAACGTAGGCTTAATATATCCTCATGATCGCTTACAACCATATACATATAGAAAGAGACTGTAAGTAATGGAATAGATAATACGAAGATGAAGGCTTTTTACTCAAATACTATTAGTCGACTGAGAGCTTGTGGTGAGCTGTTCATCCAAGTTGTCAACAAAAATAGGTAGTAGTAGCAGTAATAATAATAGTGATACTAATTCTGAACATGTTCCGAAAGTTTAACTTTTACAATATTCGTCTTGTTTTAACACAAATGACTTATTGAGTGACTGAAATAGAACTCCAATTTAGTTTTTGATACTCAGCTATACACAATAATGAGATTAAGATAGTGTTATAAGAAGATAAAGATCGTCAGGACTATGCGAACATGTACCGAAATGGATGGTGGCTAGCAGTGGAACCTAGAACGCACGTTTCATCCTGTTTGTGACTCGTCGCCTAAATGTATCTTCACAGATTGAAATCATGAGTCAGTTGAAGCTAGACCACCATTGAAAACCTGGAAGCACTGGACGGCCGTTTCGTCCTAGTATGGGACTCCTCAGCAGTGCGCATCCACGAAGTTAGACATTAACACCGTTGGATGCCGGCTCAGTGGTCTAATGGTTAAGTGCTCGCGCGCGAAGCCAGTAGGTCCTGGGTTCGAGCCCCGCGTGGTGCGGGATCGTGGATGCGCACTGCTGAGGAGTCCCATACTAGGACGAAACGGCCGTCCAGTGCTTCCAGGTTTTCAATGGTGGTCTAGCTTCAACTGACTCATGATTTCAATCTGTGAAAATTTCTACAAATCTCCACAAACCCCTTCTGATAAATGTATCTTCATCTCAAAACTCGAACCCAGTACAGTTCACTTCAAATGCCATCACATTATATACTTAGTTACTGAGTCTAGATAGCCACTAAATTGTACAACCGGGTGAAGTTAAATTCTCTATTTATAATACTTGTGACTTAAGACAATATCAAGGCCAATAAGATACTGACCATTGGTTATAAATATACATAAAATCAAGTGACTTAATAAGAGTAGAAAATATAAATACATCATCCTCTATTGCTAAACACATCGTTGAAACAGGCTATAAAATTGATCTTACCTCAACTTTTGTGGTTTTGTACAAAAAAATGTTTTAATGGCGTATATACTAAGGTTTATTGTAGCCTTGACCCTATGAAAATTGAAAACCTTTCTATATTTTAATGGCCTGATATCTGACCCCGATTAGATCGTATGATGATTGTTGTCTAAATATACATGTCACCAACCCTCGTATATATAATTTATCGACTTAATTTGTGTTAGAGAATAATGGAACAAAATAAGTAAAATACGAGAATGAAGTTTGATTACGTATTTTACGTACACTAGTTGATATGAACGGATAATCAGGGAAACGAAGCGAATAATGCGAAGAGGAGAGAGCGAAGCGAAACGAAATGACGCGTAGTGGAGAAGACGATTGAGCCAACTCTATTCTATCAAGTGTGCCTCAATATTTATATTCAAACAAGTATAAATTACAAATACACTATGAAAAGGGTAAGTAATTAACACACATATGATCACATAAAAACAGTCTGGGTTAATTGGCAAATAAGTGACAGGGTAAAAATATGGCTTGAGAAGAATGAATAGATTGGTCTGTCCAGAGGTTAGAATAACTTATTTAGGCTTGGCATAGTACCATCCACTACAATATGTTCAAAAAAACAGTTTGTTCTCACCATCAACTTACCTTGGTAATATTGTTTTACTATCCAGAGTGGTGAGTTTCACAAATACATTCTTTATCATCTTTGTTTTCTTTCACCTTTCATTTGTCTAGTTGACCTTGTATAAATGATGTTAACAAGTATGTGCGTGACCAATTGTTTGAAATGTATTCCGCTAATCTAACATCACATTGTTCTGATAAACTTTATCTTCTTATATTGCACTATTCAAATTTATCAATTGAATTAATTGTTTTCAATGGTGATATCGACCTATCAACTTTTATGAGTATAAGGTAGTAAAGTTTGTCGAGTTTTATTTGAAATAATAAACGGAACGATATTAGACCACCATTGAAAACCACGTGAGGGATCATGGATGCGCATTACTGAGGAGTCCCACACTAGAACGAAACGACCGTCCAGTCAGTCAGTCAGCTACAACGTACGAGCAGGCACATATATGCATCAGTACAAGTTGCAATACCTCACTCATTACCACAACAAGGTAAACATCAAACTCATAGAAGTAGTTAATTCACTGATAGTAATATATAAAAGAAAGATTGCATATAAGGAAGAAAAATTAGTTCGTAGAAAGAAAGGTGTAAAGTAATTTTAATCTCACGATTTAAGGGAAGACAGTGAGTGTATACACCTATACCATTGTGACCGATTCTGAGCCATGTCACCAAGAGTCTCCAACCATTGGTTACGATAGTCGCGCGGACCCCAACCAAGTAGTGTGCATCTACCAACATGGCTCAGACTAGAAGTTAGTGACTTCAAACACTGATGCCACGTTTTGGTTTGGCCGCCCCTAACTTTCTTCCAGCCATCCCGAACACCGGTTAGCATTGCACGTCGTGGTAATCGGTGTTCAGGCATACGTAACACGTGGCCCAACCATCTCAGTTGATCAAGATTCACAACCTCATCAACTGATTTACCATCATCACTCCCTAATACCCTGTGTCTAATCTCACTATTACTTACCCGGTAATCCCAGCAGATGCGAGCAATATTTCTAAGGCATCTGTGATCAAATACTAGTAGCTTACGAGTGTCTTCTACTCTTAATGGCCATGTTTCACTGCCGTAAATTAAAACAGAACGGACTGCCGCGCAGTATACTCGTCCTTTATTTGATAGAAGGATATCTCGCCTTCTTCATAGGTGACGTAAGTTGGTAAAAACCAACTGAGCTTTTCGAATCCGTGCTGAGATTTCGTCAGACATCAATCCATTAGGGCTGATCAAACTTCCAAGATAAGTGAAATTGTCGACGCGTTCAACTACTTCACTCCAATGCTTCCAAGTTTTAAATGATGGTGTCTAGTATCAATTCATTTATTATATCTTTTCTTATATTGAATATTTTCTTTTCTTTATAGGATGTAGCAAATGTAAGATTAACTGAATTAGTTTTTCATCAAACACGTATTGAACGACATATAACCTCAGTGAATTTAATATTAAATGAAATGAAAATTAATTCAACTAAAAGTTTAATTGAAACATTAAATAAATCTGAAGAACAAATGAATGAAGCAATTCAACAATCAATTGATTCAACTATTAGTAAAGCAACAAAATCATCAACGTAAGTAGTAAATTCAATCATAATTAATCGGGTCTTTTTCCCATAGCAGGAAAAAGAAATTGGATTAAAGGTGGTCTTAGTGACCTGAGAGCGTGACTGCAGTGCTCAAGGGACAACTGCTTGAGGTCGGTCACACACGACCTTTTTATGAGTGATTTTCGTGTTAGCTCCGTACTTGTTGAGACCTTACCGCCGGAAACGGATATCCGTGGGATAAGGTGAGGTGTGCATTTTTAGGGTCAACCTTTTCCAAACCCACCCCTCCTTGTGGAAAGGCAGCATCGCTGTCATGCTGGTTGTCTGAAGGAAACACCTTACTGCCATCATAACTCTGTACAGTCAGCAGTACGACTTCGCCTTAGGACCTTGGGTTTGTTGCTTTTAGTTTTATCGCTCTTCAATCAACCTGTCTGGCATAGTAGGACCTTGAAAAACGATTGTTCCAGCCAGTATAGTTCGATTGGTTCATTAGGATAGGCATGCCCCACCACCACGTCAAGGTAATAACAACGGTCGGGTTTTTTCCCTAATCAGTTCAATTGTATACGTCTTGATTTTAAAGAAAACATTGAAATTCATAGAAATTAAACTGTGTCAATTGTGTCATGACTTATGGCTAATAGTATGTGATAAAACCACTCCTGAGTTAACCAATGACACATTAACCAGTACTAGTGTCCTTGATTCCCTTCTAAGTCATCCCCTTGCTATAATCGTCGAGTCCAGAATAGAGTAATCAGTCTCCACTATACGAATATTATATTCCAGACCATACGTGGTTTATGTATGGACATACCTGACCACATCATTATGGTAAAATGAAAAACAATAATTTTACAAGATCAAACTGAAAGTGGCTATGAATAGGGGAATTTGTAACTTGTAGTGGCTCTGCTTCGTTAACCAATCACCCTTGTAACCGTTATTATATAAACCTCAACGGTGTTTGAAATCAGTAGGCAAAGAACAAAGGCAACTACAATTTATTAGCGGATATCTCAGACCACAAAACTATGAGCACATAGAACGGATTTGAAGCAGAGCGGCGAATATGTGTGTGTGTGATCAAATACAGAGGTGAATTTCTAGTTAAATCGAACAAGGTGCAGCTTGGCAAGGCGAAGGCTAATAATAGGATTTGAGATCATATATACATAAGGAAGAGAATGAATCATGGAGTGATATTTAAGCATTCATCATTTTAGCTAGAGTCTGTCATGTGATCTAGTGATCATAACGGTACAAAGACATACGTGAATTGTCTGTTAAATAAGTTAATAAAAGGTCTTAACTAAAATTAGCCATAATCGAAATTGGTTGTAAGATAGTTGCTATAAGCTAATAGATGGGGAATATAATAATAATGATAATTAATGGGTGAAATGAAAGCAGCTTATGATAAATAGGGTTATGAAAATATGATAATCTGGTTGCTGAATAATTATGAATAAGAATATATATCAGAATAGTCCATAAAATAGTTCCAGAAGTGACAATTTCTTTAGTTTTTGTTTGGTGTAGTTTCACGCTTTGAGTTGGATAGTTTGGTTGTGGAGCTTATATTGCTCGTCTGAACAAAACAATCATCAGCATAAACTCCAGATCAAAGAACGAAACTTTATTTAATGAGTTAGTTTACTACGAGATGGTATGGTTAACCTCATGCTCAACCGTCCTCCTTTATCCAGGCTTGGGACCAGCAGTAACCCCAGAGGGTCTCCAAGAGTTGTTAGGTTACATTATTAATGATAACAAATTTTCCATTAGATTTGATCATATTAACCTAATTCACTTTATTCATTAACAATGTTTTTAATTATAAATAACAATCAAAATTAATTGATAAACTTGATTATTCTTGCTCTCCCTATTGTCCACCATTTCGAAACACTTCAAGATTATTATTATTACGAAAACGTATAGAAAGCTTCGCTGAATCGCATACTCAATGTGTACGTCATGCATTGAAAGAGTTTCGTCAAAATTTTGAAAATCAAATACAAACTTTAAACAATTCCAATTTAAAATTGATTGAATCATTAGAGTAAGATTTAATGAATGAACTATTGAATCAATATAACTTATTATTATTATTATTATTATTATTATTATTATATTATTATTATTAATGGTTGAGATCATGAGTCAATTGAAACTAGACCACCATGGAAAACCTGGAAGCACTAGACGATCGTTTCATCCTACTGTGGAACTACTCAGCAGTGCGCATCTATGATCTCAACTATTAAAATTACTATAACATCCATAAAACCCCTTCTGATATTATTATTATTTAAAGCATGTTTATCTGAAAATGTTTATATATATATTAGATGGTGGTTGAACGTAGTTGACAGGAAAACCTGGACCAGGGTTTCGGGCTACTTGGTACTCGTCAGCAAGGTGTACCTGTAATCTTGAGGGAACTGGTGCTCCCTGACGGATTGCAACCCGTGTCACCTAGCTTCACAGTCAGAGACGTTACCACTGAGCTATCCTGGCCGGGTCCAGAGTTCCCTGTCGACTACCTCCAACCACCATTTAATCTCACAGTAATGCACGCAGTGTCGAGTCACCTAGGCTGGTGGCCACATTGCAACATGGTCGATAGCATTCGATCTGCAATAAATAAGGACTTGAAACACATGACATTGGTCATATATATATATCGCGATTAGATTTTAGCAGGATAATCTCAAAAAAATCAAGAAGGAAAGTACAGCTGTGTCAAAATATTTTAAGACTTCTTAATAATGGACTTATAAAAACTTGAAAGAAATCTAACTAAGAACATTTCGGCCTCGAAGTTACTACTTTTAGACCTATAAAGTTGAATTCTGAAGTTGTCTGAATTTAATCTATTGTGTATTTGTTATGTAATCTCATTGGTCATACGTCTACTCTAGTTGGTCTCCGACAGTGATGGTTTCTCTCTAGAATTTCATAAATTCTCAAGCCTAGAGCGTATAACTTGAGCACTCGAACGCTAGAACCCTCCCAAGTCGCAAATGAGAAAACAGAAGACAACTGAAAGGAATTTTATTCCATATAGTGTCAATTATGATACAAAAAAATGTCAGCTATTTATAATTTTTAGTAAAAAGGAAATCATTATTATAGTCCTCCAATCTGCATACATGGGGTTATTAACATTTTTTCATTAAGGAAGCTATACGAAGTGATGCTGGAATATTCTTCCAAAAGATGATTGGATGGGATATCTTCAACTCTTTTTGAGCTTCTTAGAGCTTCATCGAGTTCACCCGTGGACTTTCCTCACAGATACTAATTGAAATCGAACTTAACCGATGGGGCCGCATTACGATTGTATGATATCATGAATTGATTTTGGTTGGGAATACGAACAATCAATTTCTGTCTACATAGTACAGAGGTAACTCTCGCACTGTGAAATGTGAGAATTCTAGATCAGATGCCTGACGAGATTGTAGATGAATACTGATAAGAAGTTTTAAAATAGAACGAAACATTTATCATTTTTAATGATTGTTTAGGTGAAATTAATGATTTGTGATATGAATCCTATCCAAATTGAACAATTGATATAAATATCTCATCTAGTTTTTTGTTGAGATCATGAACCGAGTCTAACTAAGATGAGTTCATGATGTTATTTATGAAAATTTTACAATCTCCACAAATCGCCAAGATAAAGACGCCTTGTTCTTCTTCTTCTTCTTCTTCTTCTTATATAATAAATAGACTTTTTATTGATGGAGGCAATTTTTCAACTATTGAAGCCAAAAAATACACAATCACATTAAATCAATTAAGTAAAACAATTCAATTATTTGAAGAAGAAATTATTGGTCATATAGAATCTATTGAAAAAGAACGTCAATTAATAACCGATAATAAATTGAAACAATTTGACATTTATTTAAAACCATATTTAGCTGATGTTATTTATATGGAGAATATGATACGTTGTATAACCAATACACAAGTAAGTTAAAATTTTTTATGATGATTCTCTTTTATTTTATACAATCCAACATGGATGACATCTAAACACCATTTTGAGATCCCATGATGCGTGTACCATTGGAGACTTTTTGATGAACACAGTATCGAAGGTCAATTCTCTTGGTGTCACCTTTTCCTCTGATCTCTCTTGGTCTTCTCATGTTTTACTGTTATCGAAGAAAGTTTTCCGTCTGACTTACTACATAATGCGATTGCATGCTCTTGGAATTACTCGTCATTTACTCTTACAGTTTGTCAATTCTTGCATATTACCTATTATTCTTTACTGTTCTCCATTATTCTTTCCCGGGCTTTTTGAGAAAACATTTTGCTGTATTGCGGAGAGTGTTGAAGGCAGTTAGCAAGGTGTGTGGTGAATCTTTCGAGGTCATAATCAATATGGTTATCGATAGACATCTAAAGTCATGGAAACTCCCGGCAGGTGTTATCTTATCAGATACTAATCATCCCCTTCATTCATATCTCCCTCCTTGTATATCTTCTAATAGAAAGAGACGTCAATACACTAAAATCCATGCACGCAAGCAAAAGTATAAATGTTCCATAATACCTTACCTATCAAATATACTGTGACGAACCGGTTGTTAGAGTTAACCTAGTCAATAAACTGCATTCCTAACATGTCTCTAATTTGAAAAGTTGTACAGTTTTTTCGGGATTTTTTTTAAAACCTTTTTTCCCCTTTTTTCTTCTTTGTTTTTTTTTGTGTGTAAGAAACTTGTTGAAATACTCTGTGCTGAGAATTTCTATATTGTACTAAAATATAATATTGAATAAAGTCATTAATAATAATAATAATAATCTTATTGATTAGCATCTTGGAAACCAATTTCACTCGACAATTGCCCAATTCAGAACACAGTTGAACAGGAACGAAATCACATCCCAAATAATAAGGTTAAATGGAAGTAAGGAGCACAGTAGGAAAACGTTAGTATATTTATAGTTTTTCACATGAGAAGATTCTAGAGTGTTCTCTATGTATCGACTAGCACTGATTGGTTAAGAATTAGCCAATCAGCGTGCATCAACTCAATCGTACATCAAGCATGGATCGTGAAAAGGATTTCACAGTGTTGTTATTTTAGCTAGAAAAATTTTCCGATTTATGAATAAAAGTAGAGTCTAAGATTCAAATTTCCTTCTATTTGGGACTTATCAGTTATATGTATCTTCATTCTACTGTTTATGTATACAATGAAACTCGGATGGCGTTCAAAATGTTACTTACTTCCTTACATACTTACGCCTGTTACTCCACGTGAAGCATAGGCCGCCCACCAGCACTCTCCATCCAACCCTGTCCTGGGCAATCCTTTCCAGCTCTTTCTGGTTGTTATTTATGTATAGGTAAGTTAGTGGTTATATGTACTCAGCAACATAGTGGATAACGCGACTGAATTTGAAATTGGATCAAGTTTCAGTATGAAACACAACACATGGAAACATCGACATTAATGTAATTAATTCAAATTAAGACGAAATGAACGAACTCCGCCTGGAGCCCCTCCGGGGGCTACTGCCGGTCCCAAATCCGGGCAAAGGAGGAGGGTTGGAAATGGGGTTAACGACCCCGTCCCGTAGAAAACTAACTCTCCAAAAAACGCTAGCCAGAAAATAATATTCAAACTATTTGAACTCTGCCCCGGGAGTCAGAAGGTCTTCATTTAGAAGAGTTATGACACCTCATGATGAAAGCCGAGTTTCTTCGGAAGTCATGAGGCCAATTCCCCTTCTGACAACCAGAGCAACTATTTATTTAGGTACATGGAATGCTCGTACAGTGTGGGAGACCGGGAGAGTCTTCCAAATTGCTGCGGAAATGAAGCGATACAACCTGGAGGTGCTTGGGATCAGTGAAACACATTGGATGCAAGTTGGAACAACAACGACTAGCTTCAAAAGAGCTTCTGTTATACTCCGGCAATGAAGAAGAAAATGCCCACATACACAAGGATTTGCATTGATGCTGTCCAAACAAGCACAAAATGCACTTATAGGATGGAATCTCATGGATCAAGGATTATCAAAGCCTCCTTAAAAACAAAGAAAGAGGGCACTTCAGTGAACATCATCCAATGCTATTGCTTACCAACGACTACAATGAAGACGTTAAAGATCAATTCTACAATAGGCTACAATCAATTGTTGAGAAGTGCCCAACAAAGGATTTGATCATTTTGATAGGAGATCTAGATGTTAAGGTTGCAATGGACAACACCGGATATGATGACATCATGGGACGACACAGACTGGTAGAAAGGAACGAAGATGGTGAGAGATTTGCAAACCTATGTACCTCCAATGAACTGGTCATAAGCGACACTATATTCCCACATAAACACATACACAAAACCACATGGATTTCGCCGGAACACACTAAGCAGAATCAAATCGACCATATCTGCATCAACAAAAAGTTCAGGAGCATAATGGAGGATGTGAGAACCAAGAGAGGAGCTGATATAGCATCAGATCACCAAGATGAAACTGAAACTAAAGAAGCACTGCACAACGGGGCGGACAATATCACAAAAGTTCAATACGGCCTTTCTTCGGGATACTGACAAACTCAACGAATTCAAGATAGTTCTCAGCAACAAGTTCCAGGCCTTTCATGATCTACTCAATGGAGAAGGAACTACTATAGAGAGCAGCTAGAAGGGGATCAAAGAGGCAATCACTTCAACTTGTCATGAGGTTCTGGGCCACAAGAAGCACCATCACAGGGAATGGATCACTGTTGATACACTGGATTAGATTCAAGAAAGGAGGAACAAGAAAACAGCGGTCAATACCAACTGAACAAGAGCAGAAAAAGCCAAGGCACAAGCTGAATACACAGAAGTAAACAAGCAAGTGAAGAGGAGCATTAGAACTGACAAACGTAAATATGTGGAAGACTTAGAAATGACGACAGAAAAGGCTGAAAGAGAAGGAAACATGAGACAACTGTATGACACAACAAAGAAACTGTCTGGAAATCACCAAAATTGAAGAACAACGAAACAGGTTAAGAATACTTCAAAGAACTCTTGAATCGACCATCCCCATTGAACCCACCCAACATCGAAGCAGCACCCATGGACCTTCCAGTCGATGTTGGCCCACTAACAATTGAAGAAATCAGCACGGCCATCAGACAAATCAAGAGTGGCAAAGCAGCAGGACCAGACAACATTAAAGCAGAGGCCCTGAGAGAAGGCGTAGCGGCAAGTGCAAGGATACTCCACATTCTCTTCAGCAAGATTTGGGATGAAGAACAAGTATTAACAGACTGGAAAGAAGGACTTCTGATCAAAATACCGAGGAAAAGCGACCTCAGAAACTGTGATAACTACAGGGGCATCACTCTCTCTCAATACCGGGAAAAGTACCTGCGAAGATAGTCACTATCATACGGAATTCCTATGATGGATTAAACTGCAAAATCGTGCATGGAGGACAGCAAACAGACTCGTTCGAGGCAAAGACCGGTTTCAGGAAAGATTGCCTACTCTCACCCTTTCTCTTTACATTAAAACTTAATAATTGAGATGCACAAAACTTATTATATTCTGCGTTTGTGGACATTCGAGAATACAACACAAAATCACTGGTAGTGACGCTGTTACGTACAATTTTATGATCTCTACCATTTCATGATCTGCAGTTTATCGCGATTCTGTCCTTTGGATTCTTTAATCTCGTCCGTCTTCTTTAAGATATATTTCTTGTGTTCAGCTTCCCATTAAAGTGATCACTACTATCGTTATTTTCACTTGTCTATCTTACATCTGATCAGTTTCCTCCTTCATCTTTTTTGATATGTACAATGTATGATAACTTTGATCAACATATATTCATGTTCGGTCTTATGTTTTGATGCTATTCGGTTAGAAGCAGTCGGCAGGAAACTATGGAACGAGATGCCCTGGTGTCTTACATTTACCATTAAGGTACTTTTAGAATCTCAAAGGAAGTGATTCTCCGAGTGTTATGATTTCTCTTATTGCGACCTAGCTACTCTTATTACTTAATATTCTTGGAAACTACTTCACTCAAAAAGGCCCCAAATTAGAACACGGTTGAACAGGAACGTAATTATATTCTTAATAATAAAGGTGAATGGAAGTAGGAATTACAATAAGAAAAATGTAAGCATATTTGTAATTTTTTAGATAAGGAGATTCTAGAATCTTCTCCAAGGATCGACCCTAACACAATTCTTCACGGAACATGCTTTAACCCAATCTGTATCGCGGTAACACACAGTGAAATTTGTACCCTTGTCAACGTACTTTACAGATTAAGATGTTAACACTAAGATTATAGGGCACTAACTGACTTCCAGTAGGAGAGGTATGTCGATATATTGTTTGTGACTGATTGTTTTTAGTTCAAGTTTTGTCATACACTACAAATGTATATATGTTTATATTAGGAAGAAATGCTTGCTATGTATTCATAACAGTTCTCTCCTCTAAACTTTTCTCCTCTCTACGGCTTTGAAATATTATAAGATCTCCCATATGTAACTACTCAGCACATTCATCCAAGAATTGGTAACTTCATTTAGACTTTTTTCTTAGCGTACTGTTTCGTTCGGTGTTATATTTCAATCAGTAAGTCAATCAGCTACAACGTAGGAACAGGCATATATATGCATTCGTACAAGTTGCCATACCTCACTCATTAGCACAACAAGATAAACACTAAATTCATAGAAGTAGTTAATTCAGTGGTGGTAATATATAAAAGAAAGATTGCATTTAAAAATATAGTACAGAAAGAAAGAATTAGTTCGTAGAAAGAAAGATATGAAATGATTTTAATCTTATAGTTTAAAGGAAGACAAAGAGTGTATACACCTATGCCATTGTGATCGATTTTAAGCCATGTCACCAAGAGTCTCCAACCATTGGTTACGATAGTCACGCGGACCCCAACCAAGTAGTCTGCATCTACCAACATGCCTCAGACTAGAAGTTAGTAACTTCAATGACTGATGCCACATTCTGGTTTGACCACCCCTAACTTTCTTCCAACCATCTCTAACACTTGTCAGTATTACGCGTCACGCTGATCGATGTTCATGCATACGTAACACGACCTAATCATCTTAGTCGATCAAGATATATATGTATCTAAACATTATAATTGATTTTATTCATGTTTTCAACAAAAAGATGTAACTCTCTCTCTCTCCTTTCCTTCTTCTCTCCATTTGTGTATATATATTAACTAGGTACAAATCAAAGCACAAACTGAAGATAGTTCAAGTCAATCAAAATTATTAATCGGTCAAATTGAACAATTTCAATGTTTATTAAAATCACTTAATGAAACAAATCAAATTCTATCAAATACATTATTGAATATAACATTAGCTACTACTACTACTACTACCAATACTACTACTACTACTACTACTACTACTACTACTAATAATAATAATAATAATAATAATAATAATATTAATACATTACAACAATTAAATATGGAGGAGAGAATCATGCAAAAAGATTTAAGTAATAAAGCAATTGAATTACTGACTAGAATTTGTATCAATGCATCAGATCGTTGTGTATTTTTAAATTGTCTACGTAGTCAATATGTCAATGATGATTATGTTGGAACAACTGATCCAAATGAATTATCCTATGAGAATATAATTGGAAATAATAAAGATAATTTAGTAAGTAGTATATAGTATTGTATAGAAATAAGTTATTGAATGTATATGTGAACGAATTACTTTGACTGGGAGAAAACATTCAACAACGTGGATAGCAGAACCATATAGAACCTTCTTTGATACTATGGTGTAGCAGAGAAAATCGTCATTCTTACGGGATTCATATGAAGGACTACAGTTTAAAGTGTTGCATGGAGGACAGCTGACAGATGCATTCCAAGTGAAGTCATGTGTTAGGCAAGGTTATTTACTCTCCCCCTTTGTCTTTCTTATGATGGTTGAATGGATTATGAAGATATGAACATTTGAGGGAAAGTACGGAATACAATGGACAGTCTGAACAACTCTGTTCAAGTAAATCAAGGATTTCAGTTAGAATCGTAAAAGCTGCTATGATAAGACAAAAATCAAGAAGGCCGTTGACTAATTACAAAATTTCCTTTACTTTCTAATCACGGAATCACTATCTATGTAACTATTGATAAAGTGATCATGCTAAGATTAAGTACACACACAAAACTTTATAAAATATGAAATGACTTTGTCACAGCTAAAGTAGTTGACTTCTGAAATGACTTCTTAAAATGTAAAGAATGGTAAAAAATGTAACTGATCGAGTTTATTACTTCTATCACCTCTCCTGGAGGAGCATAGACCTCCCACCAACATTCTCCATCAAACTCTGTCCTCAGCAATCCTTTCCAGTTGTTTACAGGTGCTATTTATTCTTTTGATGTGTGCTCCTAACTCCCAAAGTAATGAATTACTTAGTCTTCCTCTTTTCCATTTCCCTTCAGGATTCCATTTCGGTGCTTTTCTCATGATATCAGTTTGATAGTTTCCGAAGTGTATGATCTATCCATTTCCAACGTCTTTTCCTAATTTCCTCTTTATCTGAAAGTTGGTTTATTCTCTCCTACCATAGGATGTTGATGATGGTATCCGGTTAAAGGATATTGAGTATCTTGTGTGGACAACTATTTATAAATACTTGCACCTTCTTGATGAGGGTTGTGGTAGTTCTCGAAGTTTCAGCTCCATACAGTAGAACCAACTGTCTTGATGTTCATATTAAAGATTTTGACTTTATTAGTAGATAGACAGTTGTTTTGAGTTTTATATATTGTTCAACTTTAGGAATGCTGTCTTTGTTTTGCCAATCCTTACCTTTAAATCTGTATCAGATTCTCCTTGATCATTGATGATGCTGTCCACATAAGTGAAATTTTCCACCCCTTCCAGAGTTTCTCCATCAAGTGTGATTGGATTAGCATTATTCATGTTTTTATTTGAGGATGTAGGGTTTTCCTTTGTGTACACTACACTGGTTGGTTATCTTGACCCTCATTGATTACTACTATATTTCCTATAATTTTCTTACTTTTTCATTTCATTACCAGACAGTGAATAAACAAAACTACAATCGGTATCACAAAATCCTTCCATAAATATTCATTCCATTAAAACTGAACAAATCAAACAACCAACTAATCAATCATCATCATCATCGTTATTAAGTAATATGAATATACAAAATGCATTACAAATTAGTCGACCAGGACGATTATTCACTGATGATTCATCTATTCAACTTATACAAAATATATTCAATGAACATAATTCAATTGATGAGAATAATATGGAGAAAATGAAAAATATTACACCAAATCAATTGATTGACAATACGTCTAAACGTAATGATAATAAATCATGTAAGTGATTTGATGTTGTCAAGATATGATCGTTTCTAGGCGAGACTCTAATTTTAAGGACGAGCCAATCAGAAGCGATTTAGAGATTTCAAGGTTACGGCGCCAACTTCAGTGCTTCATGCTAATGTACGATCGGTTCACAGGGAATTTTGTACAAAACGTGATAATTAAGGGGCTATAACAAATAAAACGGTGAGACTATAATATGTGGACGAATCAATCAGGTATAAGATAATAGATCTCGGATTTGGGTGCAAAGGCGTTTCATCTATTTGACTAAATAGATTTCTGGCATTAGAGCTGATGTCAGTTCGTCATGAAAACCCCATATATAATTCCTAACTGAGGTAAATTATGACAATTATTGCGAACTGGATAATAAAAGCACCAGTAACACTGGCTGCAGCCGGGTACTACAATATATACGGATATTTGGAGAGCGTACAGACTCCTACATAGGCTTGGTTATGTGAATCATGTCGTTATCCACAAGTTTATTATTTATTTATTTCAACACATAAATATTAGTACAAGAGGGCACCAGATATATATGCGCCACACCATATTTGTGTGTGTGGGCTGTGATACTGTACGGGTGCCCAGACCGAAGCAGGTGGTTTTCTTAGGGGGCCACACCCCGAGCCCTTGACCTAAAGGTCTGACCCACAAGGCAGTGGAGCATCGTAAAGAGATGCAGTCCCATGGAAGCCGGTGACCAACAATTGGTTCGTACGCCATTTGTTCCTGAGGATACTGGAGCCCATGTGCACCATTGGTTTGGGATCCGGTTAAAGCGCCGGACATTTGCTTTTCGTCCTCTCATTTTCGTAAACAACACCCCCGCCACGAGAAGGCAATGAGTAGGACTTCCCTGTCAGAGGCTGTGTACGCGTGGTCGTGTGAGAGCATTTCAGGAGGGAGGGAGGGCTCACCCCACTCTCGGCCATACCAGGGCATTTGGGGGCCAAATAGGAACAATAACGGGGCGGATTCGCATGCATATAGCATAAAATTGTCTTTGAACCTAGCACACAACAATAGCATCATGCACTGTCCCATCGCCCTTGGCAGATCAGGCAACTCGAAAGTCACGAGAACACCATCAGGGCATACGACAATCCACAAGTAGCATTTTGTGTACTCAACAATCGGATTGCACATAAACAATATGTAGTCGGGGTTGAAAGAGTATTTGAGACTTTATCATGACTCCAAAGGTCGACTATTCTGTAGCCGTATGGATGAGTTCCTCTGTTATTTGCGTTACGAATTTGGAGCCTCTGAGCCTCTTTCTAACCTTGACAACTTTTTGAACCACGTATAAGAAGTGTATCCACTTTCTTTCTTTGGTTTTGTATAATATATTTTTACTCTATACTGACCGTTTGCTAATTGACTAATATTTCCCAAGGTCACTTAAGATTCGTTCAAGGTCATCCATAAATTAGAGTCTCGCCCATTCCTAGCATCAAACATAATTGTCATGAAGTCTGGTATGTAAGTTAATGTATTAACTCAAGTCAGTTTACTAAATAAAGCATGAGGAGATGAAATGCTCTGATACGGCCGAGAGTGGGGAGAGTCAGCTCTCTCCCTATCCATATGCTCTTATATGAACACATACAACCACTCCAAGGGAAGTCCTATTCACTGTCTTCTCGCACAATGGTTGTTGTTTACGAAATTGAGAGGAAGAAAAGCGAATATCCGGCGCTCTAATCAGGTCAGTGAATATGGAGGGTACACTTAGAGGAGTTGGGAAACTCTCATTCCAAACCAATAGTGCACATGGGTTAAAGGATCCTGAAGGAACAAATGGTGTATGAACCTATTGTTAGTCACTGGCTACTGTGGGACTGCATCTCCTGACGTTGCTCTACTGCCTTGTGGATTAGACCTCTAGGTCAAAGGCTTCGAGCGTGCCTCCCTACAAAAACCACCTGCTTCGGTTTGAGCACCCGGACAGTATCCCAGCCCTCACATAAAATCTAATGATTTATTGCCTCCTTGTATCAATGTTTATGTGTTTAGATAGAATAAATTAAAATCACGAACTTATCTAAGTTGGACAACGATTGAGAACCTGTTAGAACTGAACAAGTTTCTTGTTCTAGTATGGGACTCCTCAGAAATAAACCGCCCAGTACTTCGATGCTTCGAATGGTAATCTAGCTTGGATAGGCTTGTGGTTTCAATAAACTTCAACAATCTCTAGAACTCCATAGATGTAGTACTGAAGAAGATCAAACACTGAATAATACAGTTCGAAAAGAAGGAATTAGTTTGGAATGAATAAAAAGTGTACAATATAATGAAGCTCAAAAATAAGAAAGAAACAAAGTGTCATTCCGTTTACTTTAATGAGACTAAGTCTAAACTATATTACCCAAAATATTTAACCATTATCATTTGAAGAATCGTACCCTTAAATTCATATGTATTGGCCATTTAAATTTTCCGAACGATGATTAGAACTATAACTGATCAATCTCTTTTGGCATATATACAACCTGCTCGGATTGCTTTGATATTTCCATCAAGTCACAAGCATTTTAAGCAAAAATGGATGATGACTAGCTGTAAAATGCAAGATGTGTGTTTTATCCTTTTTGGTACTGAATTTATGTTAGATATACCTGTATTCCAGAGTGAGTTGATGTTCACTCGAACCCGGTAGAGTTCATTTCAAACGCCATCGTCGGTGACACTATAATTTATGGACGACCTTTGAATGACGCTAAAGTGACCTTGAGAGTGTTCACATAATAACTAGGATCAGAAGAGTGTTATGAACCGGTGTGAGGAATTAGAATTATGATTTACAGTTAATGGTTAGGATGAGGAATTACATTTAGGGATTTCATCATGAACTGACATCATCTTAAAACAGAAGGGGTTTTGTGGAGATTGTAGTAATTTCAACAGTTGAGATCATGAGTCAATTGAAGCTCGACCACCATGGAAAACCTGGGTGCACTGAACGGCCGTTTCGTCCTATTGTTGGACTCCTCAGCAGTGCACATCCACGACCTCAACTCGCGGGATTCGAAGTCAGGACCTATTAGTCTCGCCGTCCAGTGCTTTCAGATTTTCCGTGGTGGTCTAGCTTCAGTTGACTCATAATCTCAACTGTTGAAATCATCTGAAATGCCAAAATTCTATTTCTCTAAATGGATGAGTGAATTTCGCACCAAAATCCGAAACCTGTTATTTTATACGTGATTATTCGTTCATTAAAATTATAGTTTCGCTTCATCGTGTTATTCACCTAACAATTGCGTCTAACTAGTCACTGACTTGTGCAATCGGGAGAATTTTGATTCGTATATAATATTAGTTATTTTAGTCTTCCCATCGATTTTCAGGATTGTAGTTGATCATTGTGTACAGTTGATACTGTGTTGAATTCAATTTAGATATAATGAGATAGTAAGACAATTAGCTTTTGTTATACACAGTTCAAACAGTGAGACCTCTTAAATTTTCTGAAGAATTTTGATCTATTAAAATGTAATCATTGCTTATGATGAAAAATATTAGTCCTTACAATGTCCTACTGTTCGGCTGATATTCTGTAGGATATTTTAGGTTTCCAGGTCATATTCTAGGTATATTTCCTTGAAGTTCTCCAGACAGTTAGTTGGTTCATTCCTTCTGATGTTTGTCGAGAAACGTTTTCCAGCTTGCATCGCTTATAGTGCAAGCGAGATGTCTGTCTGTCAACCGAAAAACGACTGAACTGCTCAAAATTCAGCTCTGGTACTAGTATTTAATCATCGATTTTTCCGAAAGATTTTTTGCGAACCACGGTACATCCGAAGAAGTATTCACCATGTTTGAGGGATTAAGATATCACCTAGATCCGGTGAACGGGTCGAAAGTTAGAAACATAACAGAACAAGCTAAGCTATTTTCTCTACGCTCCAACCTTGATAACCAGAGGAAGAAGACAAGATTCAGCCGGGAAAATATATAATCTGACAAACAGATAGGAGAATCAAGAAAAAGCATACAACTCATGCGTATATATATACATAATACAAAAATGTCCTTGAAAATCGTCACAAGAAAGCGTACTATGGGAGAAAACTAACCAATGATGTTTGAGGTCCTTCCAGGTGGGTAGCACAAACCGAAGGTAAAAGTGAACGCTTTTTTCGCAAAGATAAGAAATATAAATTTCCATAAACAGGTTACAAAAATAAGAAGTTTGCCAAGGGATATTTGAGGATCTAGCATCCGCGACAGTTGTGTTGAGATGAGGTTTAAGGTATTAAGCAGCGATAACAAGTCAGTTGGTAGGATAATGAATCTTCATTGAATAAAGCGGTTGGAACTTATTTCATGTATGCATAACCCTCTTCCTGCTTCGACTAATAACTCTGGTTAGTGTAAAAGTAAGTACTATGAAAACAAACCAAAATGTGGCATTATTCCATTAGGTCGTTGACCGTTAGTCTAAGTCGTGTAGGTAGATCCAGACTATTAACTTGGGGAGAAGCCAAACCAAAACGTGGAATTAGTGCTTGAAGTCACTAAATTGTAGTCTGAGCCATGTTGGTAGATGCACACTACTTGGCTGAGGTCTGCGTGACCATCTTGACCAATGGTTGGAGACTCTTGGTGACATGGTTCAGAATCGGTCACAATGGTATAGGTGTATACACTCTCTGTCTTCCCTTAAACTATAAGATTAAAATCACTTCATATCTTTCTTTCTACGAACTAATTCTTTCTCCCTGTACTATATCCATCCTTATGTTCAATCCTTCTTTTATACATTACTACCATTGAATTAACTACTTCTATGAATTTAGTGTTTATCTTGTTGTGCTAATGAGTGAGGTATGTCAACTTGTACCGATGCATATATATGCCTGTTCCTACGTTGTAACTAACTGACTGACTGACTAATTAACTTGGAGTCTGTACAATAACTAAAACTAGTGCATAAAGATACTGATTGGAATAGTTCAAAATCTGTTATATTGTCTCAGATGCATTCACTGAATATTTCACATTAGATTTGCTTTCATGTATGACATTTTTGTTTTTGTACTATCGAACCATATTTTTTTTAAACTTTTAGACCTTCTCATTATCTTTATTATTGAATCTTATTGATTCCATCATGTTGTTACCCTAATATGGTGTGCTATTATTAAACTAATGCATATTTTCACCAATCTGTTCATTGATTAATCACTAACTGATTTGAGTTTTATGAATATTTCTGGAACTTGTAAATAATGTTTGCTTGTTTGTTTGTTTGTTCTTTTAATTATCGATTTAAGTCTATCATGAGAGAAATTTCCTTGAAAATCCAGTTAGTTGATCATTAATTATGAGATGATAGAGTATATTTGTAGTTCAGGATAAAAATGTCTTAAGCGTTACGATAATTGTGAACTGGATGGTTTCGTTATGAAGCAGTCAGTCAGTCAATCAGCTACAACGTAGGATCAGGCACATTTATATGCATCGGTCAAAGTTCTCACACCTCATTAGCGCAACAAGATGAACACCGGATTCATAGAAGTAATTAATTCAGTAGTGTTAATATATAAAAGAAAAATTGTGTATGAGGAAGTAGTGTGTGCTACTTATATTGACATAAGTAGCATATGATGTTAGTCGTGAACAGAAGGTCTGGCAGCAGAGAAACAAGAGGATCGAATAGTAAAGAATGGAGACATGATGCAATTTGTATGAAAATACAAGAACAATGAAGTGTGAGTCATTTTAAGACAATTGGTGGGCATTTTGCAAATTAAGCATTTACTTTATGATTGTTAGATTTTATGAACAAGTCCTGTAATTTCGTGTTAAATACACTCGATTGTCCAAGCTGGTGTTCTTGTTCACTACAATAGTACAGGAAGAAGGCATTAGTTAGTAGAAAGAAAAGTGTAAAGCGATTTTAATCTCTTAGTTTAAGAGAAGACAGGGAGTGTATACACCGACGCCATTGTGATCGATTCTGAGCCATGTCACCAAGAGTCTCCAACTATTGGTTACGACAGTCGCGTGGACCCCAACCAAGTAGTCTGCATCTACCATGACTCAGGTGAGAAGTTAGTAACTTCAATGACTGATGCCATTTTATGTTTTAGCCGCCCCTAACTTTCTCCCAACATTGCAAACACTAATCAGCATTGCACGTCGTGGTAATTGGTGTTCAGGCATACGTAACATGTGGCCCAACCATCTCAGTTGATGAAGATTCACAACCTCATCAACTGATTTACCATCATCATCCCCTAATACTCTGCGTCTAACCTCACTATTATTTACTTGGTGATCCCAGCAGATGCGAGCAATATTTCTAAGACATCTTTGATCAATTACCAGTAGCTTACAAGTGAAGCTTTTATTGTTTGTATGTTCAATTGGTTTATTTTCTTTCCTGATTTGATTTTTGACATTGCGGTTGGTAATCCTTTTACTTAATGACTAATAGATCTGGTTGATTTTTATGTATTGACTAATTGATGCTTGATTGGAGTAAACAGAACAAGATGTTAGTTAGTTATGAAGAAAGATTAGTAATTCACTTCTCTTTGAAGTACATACTGATGATATTGTTCAGAAGAACAATGAAAACTTCAGAACCAAACTATCCAGCTCCCCACAACATTTCGATTAGTCTCATCCTGAGCTATAAATATTCTCCATCACAGAAAAATTGACGGATTCTGTGTCATATTATGATTGGATGATTGCTTACTACACTGCTTAATGTAGCATGATTCCAAAAGTTTCCAGAGTACAACATTTATCAATAGATCCACAAATTTATTATTTGAATTCATGAGTCGATTAAAGCTAAACCACCTAGGAAAACCTGAAAGCACTGAACGGCCGTCTCGAACTAAAAACCATAAGCCTTGCGCGCGAACGCCTAACCTCTAGACTACTGAACCGGTATTCGATGGTGTTAATGTTGTACTTCAACCGATCCATGAGACAGGTATCTACCTCACACAATAAATGAATGGTTGCGCAAGATGATCTTCAATCTTTCTTTCAGTTTTTAATTTTTAATATACAGATGAACTGTAGACAACCTTGAAAAATTCTTAGTCAGGTTTTAATTAGTCTGAATAAAGCTTTTGTAAATAGAAGAGAAAACAATAATGTTACAAAGCGTTAACAGATTTTATTTAATTAATGAATCATCTCAAGTTTTCTACAAGTTATTCTACCTGTATATCGTAAAAATAGTTATCTAGATTCATTTCAATGAATAAAGATTTCCAAATTTCACGAACGCTTTTAAGGATCTGACTAGATTTCTAAGACTCCCGCACAATGTTCTCAGTTAGGATTCTGTATTTAAGGTAAAAATCAAAAGTATAAGGTAGGAGTTTACATCACTCAGTCAGTCAGTTACTCAGCAAGAACGTAGAACTTCGTACGTACGTACATCAGTTCGAGTTGCCACACCACATTATCACAGAGATGCAGTTGTCGATTCAAATCCTATAGTCGTAGAAGTAGTAAAAGTATAAACAGTCATCGAAAACATTAGGTCTTGAAGATGTTACTCAAGGAGTATAATAAATTTAGAAAGAGAAAAAAAGAAACAAGCGGAATTCAGGAGATTAGAATTTGGGAGGACACAAAGAGTAGATGCGCCTGCGCCATTGCGAATGCTTTTGAGCCATGTCATTCAGGGTCTCTAACCATCGGTTGCTATCGTCTCTCAGTCCCCAACCAGATAGTTTACACCTACCAACATGGCTCAGTTCACTTGTCAGTGACTTCATGGACTTGTGCCATGTTTTAGTCTGGCCGCCCCTAGCTTTCTTCCAACCTACTCTTATGCCACTGAACATCGCACGTCGAGGCAGTCGGTCGTTGGGCATACGTAACACGTGTCCCAGCCATCTCAACTAATGAAGTTTCACCACTTCGTCAATTGATTTGCCATCCTTACCTAGTACCCGTTTCCTAACAACTGTGTTACTTACTCGATAGTCCCAGGATATACGAGCAATATTTCGAAGACACCTATGATTGAATACTAGTAACCTACGAATATCCTCTACTCTTACCAGCCATGTTTCACTGCCATAAAGTAGGACGGAACGAACTGCTATGCAGTAAACACGTCCTTTGGTTGATAGACGGATATCTCGCCTACGCCATAAATGACGCAAGTTGGCAAAAGCTAGTCGAGCCTTCTGTATCCATACTGAGATTTCGTCACACGCCAGACCACAAAGTCACTGAGACTCCCAAGATGAGTGAAGCGGTTGACACGCTCAACTACTTCACTCCCTATCATTAGTACGGGTGTCGATGCAACCCAATCCTCAAGCATTATTTTGCATTTCGAGGGGAAGAATCGCATCCCGAACATGCTTGCATTGTTGCTTAGAGTTGTCAAAAGATTCTGCATTTTGTCACTAACAGACCTTAGCCGCTACACAAAAATTTATATAACCATAAGAATGAATGGTTTTAGATCAAAAACCTAACAGGAATTGAGAAATACATAAAGGTATTTTTACAGCTCATTCTATGTAAGTTTTTAATTTTGCGCAATAATGTAAAAGTCCTTTTCACGACTCTGATTTGCTCAACCCTATGCTATACATTTACATATATATACATATACTTATTTTGTTTTACCGGGCTAGATGAATCGACTAATTTGAATAGTAATAACAACAATAAACAAGTATTATTGGATGATAATCAAAAATTAGAAACACTCCCAGTTAATACATCAATAAAAAGTCATCGAGTAAACGTGAGATGAATAGTTCAACCACAAATGGAATTGTACTTAAAACTAATAGACGGAAGAAAAAGTAAGCTTTATTGTTGTTATTATTATAGTATTACATAGAATGATATTTGGAATAAACTAAGATGAATTCCAAGATTTCCATTACATCTGTGTTATAATCCCGATGAGAATCATGACTGTCGGAATCTATTTATGGACCATTACGATACTTATATTTTTTATTGTATAGTTGTTATGTAACTAAGCTATGTATATTCATTTTCCTCTTATTATGAGCTTCATTTGACTTATAGGCTGTTATTATACGATTTACTATTCTTGAGTTATGCTCAGTCTATTAATTACAGTCTCCCACATTCACAGCCGCATTTGACTAAATCTTGTACAAATATGTACTTTCTATTTTATGGTACGATGTGGTCTGTCTGGTCGGTACATAAACCCAGTTTGTTTAAAATAAACGGCTCATATCACAGAGGCTGAGATTAGTGTTCTGGACTCAACAAGACGGGAAGAAGGACTGATAATGACTGTCGACTGCTCATAGAGGTTTATGCGCATTGGTCCGGTCGATGAGTTACTGTTCTCTAATTGGCAGTATCATTATGTCATATATCAATAGGGCAGGAGGCCACAAGTTATATCAGTCTCCTTAACTTTCCAATAAACTTATTGAATACAACTTTGTAGGTGATTCATAATTTTCTGTAAATCAATTTACGATCATGAAAACGATCTGTATGATGCTGTACTGACATATTGATTAAAGTTGAAAGACTGATATGATTTTTTATAAAACAATCAATAAGGTGGACTGGTTGAAGTTGGACATTAACATCGTTGAATGCCGGCTCAATGATCTAGTGGTTAACCTCTCGCCCGCCAAACCCGTAGGTCCTGGTTCGAATCTCGCAGGGAGAGATCGTGGATGCACACTGCTGAGGAGTCCCACAGCAGGACGAAACGGCCGTCCAGTGCTTCCAAATCTTCCATAGTTGCCTATCTCTAATTGACTCATGAATCTAACTATTAAATTAATAAGTTATCTAAATCACTGTAGTCTTACAGGTTTCATTAATTTTAAACTGAAATACACTTGTACAGATTTCCTTCTCATTTTCTGGATAGTGGTTTTAACATTATAAGGTCATTCTCAGCATCACCTATGGTCGAAGGTAAAATGCCGTTACATTGTAGAAGAGTAGTATGGTGTATTTGTTGGGAAGATCCAGTAAATTCCTCGAAAAAAGCCAAAAAGTCTCTGGAAATGTTGAGAAGCACCTTATCCAATCAGCATTCAACAAAAGTTTTGCCAGAAACATCTAGAAAGTGGAAAGTGATATGTCGAATTTCTGAATGGATGATTACCTATGTTGCTACTGTGTTTAATAGAGTTCTAGAAACTTCCGGAAGCTCAAGACTATTTAAAATGCTATAAATACCCTGGATTTTCTGCACATAAACGTACTTTGGAGTAAAGCTTTCTTTTCATATTTCGCACCTTTTCTCTCGTATTTAAGTCGTTGTGTAGATTTAGCCTGAGAGTTACTAAAGAGCTTAGGAAACCGAATCTAGAGTTCAATTAGAAGACTTATCAATACTGAACAAGGTTTAGACTACTCTTACATGAAAAATTTGAGTAGAGTCTTATCTCCTCATCTTAATACAGTCAAAGGATTTAGCCATAGATGTTTGTTTGAACCCATTACGTCAAGTTAAGTCAGTAGGACCACATGCAGTTTCAACTCAACGGAGTAAGCAAGATATAAATATGAGGCAGACTACTTTGAATAAGTAAATTATTCACCTTTAGTGAAAATCACTGTTCAGTTTTTCTCTTTTTGTCAGTTTATAAACCTATGAACATGCATTAGCTGTAAAACATTGTTATTGGGCATTTATCAATGAAATTTCTCGTATGTGATGGTTTGTCTTCTGATAACACAAATGATTCAAAATAATTTTCTCTTTCTCTCTCTCTGCGGTATACTGTACTAATATTGGTGATATCATAATAAAACTGTACTGGCTGACCGAGTTTATAATACCGCTAGATTGAATACTCGAACAGTACATAATACAGAGACTAGAACCCGTCATATCAGATACACGATTCACGATCAAGAATAGAGAAACCACAGTAACTCTTGACAATTCTTTATTCTACATAACTACAAGAAGTCACTGCTAATGAGTCCGGAGTAGAAATCAATGAAAGGATATGATACTTTACTAATATAATAACTGAATTAGTTGTAAAAATTACCGACATGAATTTATGCTTAGACTTGGTATTCTCTTACATACATGATGTCCCCAGACATAACCGACTACTTCCTGACTAATTATGTGAAACTGTATCAAGGAAGTAGTTGTATCATTTATACAAAAAATATCCAACCGAAATAATGGTATATAAAGGTAGAATAAAAACATTTTCTGTTTGCCACAATATATCACTATCATACGACCGGTGATCGGAATCATACGGTTACTAGACTAGATACTCGATCAAAACATTATACCCAAACTGGATCACGTTATAACAAACACACGATTCTTGAATAAAATGGGAAACCAGAGTATAGGACAGATAACAGGTGACCTTTGAGCGACGTTAAAGTAATGTTGAGAATGTCCACCTACTTACTGGGGTTAAATGAGAGTTAGAAACCTGTGTGAATAATAAAGATTATGATTTACAGTTGATGGTTAAGGTGAGGAATTAGATTTAGAGTTTTCATCACGAACTGATATCAGCTAAAATGCTATTTAACCAAATGGATAAATGAATTTTGCGCCGAAATCCAAGACCTGTCATCTTATATCCGATTGGTTCATCCATAAATTATAGTGTCAAATACATAATACTTGACTCATCATTTGATTTATGTAAGGGCTAGGATACTGCCGAGGAGCTCAAACCAAATTAAATCAAGTGATGAAGTGTGGCACATATACATTTGGTACCCCTTTGCACTAATGTCTATGTACTTAAATAAATAAATACTTTACTCAGGATGATTACAAGCAATTCAGAGTAGGAAGCAATAACTCGAAGGTAATCACTTATTCAATAATTAATAAGCAAAGTGTCTGTTTGTTCACGCTTACTGTTCATTCACATTTTAATTTTCCTTACCATAGATCAATATGATAAAACGAAAATTCCTGAAAGTAACCCAATACTACTTTAAATAGAGCAAGAACAAACATTGATGCAGAATAGTATGAATTCATATTATTTCGAGGTTTCTCGTCAGCTGCTTACAAACCAAAATTGTGATAGAATTTTTACATGGAGATAGTGTGAAACAATTGACATAAATGAGTGTAAATAACTTGATTACAATAATAACTATATATATATATATGCTAGAAACAGGTCAGAGGTCAAAAGAGGGGGGTTAATCCAGGGTGGGTGGTGTAATAATTTAGTGAAGTTCATAAATTGTGTGATAATTGTAGAGATTAATGGAATTAAATAATGATAAGGTAGATTACGTAATAATAATTAAATAGGGTTTGGAAAGTTAAGATGATTTAAGAGGATCAGGTGATGGAAATGTGTGAATAAAATTTATTTTAAAAATTAGGTAATAGGGGGTATAAATTATCTCAGAATAAGTAAAGGAATAAAATAACCAAAACACAAAACAAACAGAAACAAAAAGATTACCAGGGTAGTGATAAGTTTATTAAAGTCTCTTTTTGGATGCATAAGTCCGGTTTCAGTTTCTTAATTGCAATGGCTTCAGCAAAGCGGAGAGTGGTAGTAGTTTTTTGTCTATTGATGATTTTAAACGCGCGCATAATATCGACGGTATGCCCGGTGTCAAGTAGATGCCGAGCTATTGCACTGTTAAAAGCTTTAGTCCCTCGCAGCGTCAAGTTCTTCGGAATATGCTCAGAAATGCGAACCTGTACTCTTCTCTCAGTTCTTCCAATGTATGTGCTACGGCACGTACATGTGAATTGGTAAATGCAGTTGGAGCAACTGAGGGGAGAGGACTTGTCGATTTTCGTTTGTTTCAGTGAGCAGTATGTTTTCCATAACGTAGTTAGTTTGGCTGCCGGGTAGGTCACTTTTAAGGCGGAATTAATTCTGTGATTGATAATTCCGGCGACTTCATCTCCTTTAAAGCGTAAGGATAGGAAGCAGGTTTTCTTTTCAACTGTATCATGCTTAATCGGAGGGTTTGTATTAGCATATTTGTGGATGAATTTATCCGGATATGCATTTTCACGTAAGCATTTGGTGATTGTAGTAATTTCTTCTTCGAGGCATTCTTTTGAGCAGATTTTTCGTGCGCGGTCAAAAAGGTTTCGCACAATACCCTTTTTATAACTCAATGGACAGAAGCTATTAAAGTTGAGATAAACTCCGCTCCAAGTATTTTTGCGGTGAATGTGTCTTTGTAGTGTGCCATCTGGTGTTCGCCTAATTCCAATATCTAGGAAATGGAATTTATCATCAACTTCATGTTCCATGGTAAATTCTATATCTTTGTGGACTTTATTGAACAGACTAAGTAGGTACATGGAGTGTTGGTGATTTTTGCAGACAAGGAACGTGTCATCCATATATCTGCAGTAGAGTGTGGTACTGTCGATTGCGTGCTTCAATTTCTTTTGTTCCAGATGTCCCATAAATATGTCGGCAAGAATTGGGCCTAGAGGGCTGCCCATTGCTATTCCATCAATCTGTCGGTACAGAACATTGTTAAATTTAAATTGTATGTTTTTTGTACACAAAAACAGGAGCTGTTTAAATTCCTGGGGTGGTAAAGGCAGGAGTTCTGGATATTCACATATGATCTCTGCCGTTTCTTCCAAAGGGATATTTGTGAAAAGCGAAGAGACATCAAATGAAACCATGAATTTGTCAGAGACATTAAGGTTATCAAGTTTTTGTACAAATTCAAAGCTGTCTTTCAAACTGTAAGCTGCTAGTTTTTTGCGAATTGGTTCCAAGCATCTAGTAAGCCAGCGGGCAAGTTTATGGAAGGGTGATTTGGCCATCGATAATATTGGTCTTATAGGGATGTCGGTTTTATGTGTGACCTGGATATTCATGACTGTCTGACCTGTTTCTAGCATATATATATATAGTTATTATTGTAATCAAGTTATTTACACTCATTTATGTCAATTGTTTCACACTATCTCCATGTAGCAGAAAATTCTATCACAATTTTGGTTTGTAAGCAGCTGACGAGAAACCTCGAAATAATATGAATTCATACTATTCTGCATCAATGTTTGTTCTTGCTCTATTTAAATTCATAAAGGGAACCAATTGCATGCAATACTACTTTATTAGTTTCAAGCATATCTATCATAATGATTACACTTTAACTGTATTGTCACTAGAACAAACTATTGAATAGAATATATATATATATATATATATATATATATATATATATATATATATATATATATATATATATATATATATATATATATAATGAATTTAAAGAATTTCAAGGGTCGGTTAGATTAAGATTCTCTGAAATTCTTAAATGAAGGGAATAAAAGACGTGACAAACTTGAACCGATGCATAATATAGAATTCTCTGTACAGAGTACTTCAACAAGTTTCCATTTCTTATTTCTTGATTGATTCTGACGAGAAATATTGAGTAATCTCCAGTTAGAAGTTAGCGGTCCAGTCAATTGACATCAGAATAATGTACATTCTTTTCGTTGCAATTACGATAACTCTGATCGGGCCCTTTTGTAACTTATACGACGACAAGACGTACATTTTTCCGAAACACACCTGAATAGGTTATGCTATTAATAGCCATAATGATATATTAAAACTGTTATATCCGAGTGAAGATTACATTACGAGTAACGTCTGAGACCTATTAATGGACTAATATTATCTATACATTCTTATGGTATGAGTATTCAATAATTAGATTATGTATATTTATATTCCTCTTATTATAAGCTTCATTTTACGATTGTACGATTTACTGTTCTTAAGCTATGTTCAGTTTATTAACTACTGCCTCTCACGTTTACAGCCACTTTTTGGCTTTATTATGTACGAATATTATTTCCTATTTTATGGTGCGTTGCGATCTGTTTGGTTGATATATAAACCCAGGATGCCTGAAATAAATGATTCGATTCGCATAGTGGAAGCTGGTATTGGTCACAAGTGATTGATCACTGGGTGGTGATCAGTGTCAGGTGTGTCAAGCCCTTATTTAGTGCAGATCGAATGCTATCGACCATGTTGCAATGTGGCCACCAGCCTAGGTGACTCGACACTGCGTGCACTATATATTGAGATTAGATGGTGGTTGGAGGTAGTCAACAGGAAACCCTGGACCCGGGTTTCTTGCTACTAGGCACTCATCAGCAAGGTGCACCTGTAATCTTGAGGGAACTGGTGCTCCCTGGCGGATTCGATCCTGTGTAGGTCACGGCCCGGATAGCTCATTGGTAACTTTTCTGACTATGAAGCTGGGTGACACGGGATCCAATCCGCCAGGGAGCATCATTTCCCTCAAGATTACAGGTACACCTTGCTGACAAGTGCCAAGTAGCACGAAATCTGGGTCCAGGGTTTCCTGTCGACTACCTCCAACCACCATCTAAGCTGGTATTGGTGTTCTGGACTCAAGTGGACGGGTTAGGCGGACATAGGATCAATAAAGACGCTAAGCTGCCCATACCGGTCGAACGTCATTGGTTTGTCAAAGTGATAAGATTGTATAACAAACAACATTAGATAACTTGTCAAAATATCTAGATGGCAAAGATGTTCAAGCAGCCCACTATGGTCTTCTAGATTTTCAATGATGATCTAACTTGGATTAATTCATGAATTCAAATATTAAGATTACTGCAATCTTCAACCCCCTCCCCCATTTGTTTTAAAACTTTGGTATTTCCCAGTTATTAAAGCAATTAATCCCTTTCATAAATTTCAATAGAGTAATTAGAAGACAGAGTTGATCTAGAAACAGATATGAGATGTTTATGTTATATATTTCAAACAATCTGGTCACATATATACTTACATGGAAATTAATGAAGGTCAATTAAAATGACTTAAGTATTACCAAGGTAAATTCAAAGTTACAACAAACTGTTTTTGTACATCTAAGGGGGGGGGGTTGATTGGTTTAGATTTACAAATGGCTAAGGCTTCAATATAAACCTCAGAATTCGTCCTTGACAATTTCTGTGTAACATTTTAAACGATGTATTGATATTAATTTTTTTACTCCGTTTCAATGATATGTCTCGCTATTGATGAACATGATTTTCTACGTCCCACATTGATCGAAACACTTGACACTAACTGATTTTGGAGACATCTAGGGATATGTTCAATGACCTTTGATTGTATTGTTGGATTATTCCCTCCTATGTATATGTGTCCACACAAACATGTAAAATCGTTATGATGGCGATATTCACTGAGGTTACCATGTAAGTGGTAGCTCATTAGGAATAGATGTGAATGGGTAACAAAATGTTTATAATGAAGAACAGATTGATGATTGTATGTAAGTCTCTAGAGTCATTTACATCCACCAGAATCATTTATGTACACAGTTATTCCAGGTATAATGTATTCACTAATTAGAAGTGTAATTATATACTTTCTAAAAGTAACCATTTGACAATGATCTATCTCAAATATCAAACATGATAATTAGAAAGCATACTACTTAACCATTCTTCCTTAATACTTCTTTCTTTATTAGATTTTTACTTTTTGAAGATAGTTTCACTTATTTCTAAAACTTTTCAATACATTCAAACCTAAAGAAATCAATGCGTACTCTTCAACAGTAATGGTATCATTGCACAGAAATCACTTTAGTTACATTCATATAAACTACTGATTGAAAATCCAAAAGACAAACTGTAGCATCTTTTTATCTTAAATTAAGCCTAGAAGAATACAAACATAAACCTGTTCTAATGGATTATTTTTAACTAGCAAGAATGGCATCTTAAATCGTACTCATCTCGTTCCTTCTCACAAGCATTCATATTCACCTGTTTACTTGTTATAAATTGTAACCGCCGATTAGAGGGCAGTGAATTATCGATCGGACCAAGGACGCGTAAAACACGTGCGAGCAGCCTAGAGTCCTGATTACTCCTGCTTTCCGTCTAGCCCAGCCAGTTAAGTCCAGAACACCAATCTCAACCTCTGCAATATGAATCATTTATTTCAAACATACTGGGTTTATATACCAATCAAACAGACCACATCGCACCAATAAAATACAGAAAATACACATTCGTACAAGATTTAGCCAAATGTGGCTGTGAATGTGGGAAGTAGTGATTATTAGACAGGGAATAATTCAGGAACTGTAAATCGTATAATGACAGTTCATAGGTTAAAATAAAGCTTATGATAAGAGAGACATGAATATGAATAGTTTAGTTAATAAATAATCATACGATAAAAATATACGTATGGTATTTGGTTCACAAATGAATCCATAAAATTACCACTCATTATTCTTACGCGACACAACATTATTATGCACATCGTATGAATGCTTTTAGTAATCCATAGCGTTGTCGGTGCCAAATAATGACATCGTCATTAAAATAACGAATTAGTTTGTTAATCGTCAGGACTTTCAAAGAAAAAACAACAATCGGACATAAACTGAAATTCATTTCCTCTATTTTAATTGGTTCGTCTGTATACTATACTTTCATTGTATTCATATAAACGTATCCGTTTCATTGCCCCCAAATGATCTGGTATGGCCGAGAGTGGGGACAGTCCGCTCTCCCGCTCGAAATGCTCTCACATGGCCACGCGTATATAGCCTCTGCCGGGGAAGTTCTACTCACTACCTTCTCGCACCACGGATGCTGTTTACGAAATTGAGAAAACGAAAAGCGAATGTCCGGCGATTTAACCGGGTTAGTGGACATGAAGAGTTCACCTAGGGGAGTTGTAAAACCCTTATTTCAAACATATGATTCACATGGATTCCAGTACCTTGAAGGAACAATTGGCGTATGAACCAATCGTTGATCACCGGCTACCATAGGACTGCATCTCCTGACATTGCTCCACTGCCTTGTGAATCAGACCTTTAGGTTGAAGGCTCCGGGTGTGGCCCCTTGAGAAAACCACCTGCTTCAATGTGAGCTCCCGGGCAGTATCACAACCCTCACACAAATCAAATGAGACTTATATAGTGCATATGTATTTGGCGCCTCCTTGCACCAATATCTATGTGTTCAAATAAATAAATCCGTTTCATTCATGTTACTTTATATTGATTGTTGAGTTGTTTTTTGTCTTTTCTATTCATTTGTTCAAGTATACCACATGCAACTACAAATAAGACAGTTGTAAAACATAATCGACCTCAAGCATATTATGATGTATTCGGTAAAGATGTAACATCTTTAGAAGATTCTGTTGAAATTTTTAATTCAAATATGAAACAAATCAATATTGAACAAGTAACATATGTTGGTCGTATTCAAAAAATATGCCGTGAAAATCTTCATAATGCATTACATTTATCTGAAGTAATAATCATATTAATTGTTTATTTCATTAAAACTTTGAATAAGTTGCATTACAAAATAAATAGTATAGTTGAATTCATAAGTCAGTTGAATCTAGGCCACCATTGAAAACCTTAAGGCAATGAACAGCTGTTTTGTCCTAGTACAGGACTCCTCAGAAGTGCGCATCTGTGATCCCAACTCGCGGGATTCAAACCCAGGACCTATTGGTCTCGTGCACGAACGCTTAACTTCTAGACCATTGAGCCGGTATCCAACCGTGGTAATGTCTAACTTCAAACAATCCACGAAATCGCACCACCGCCCACCATTGTCGTGGTTGCGCACTGCTGAGGAGTTCCATACTGGGACGAAATAATCATCCAATTCTTCTAGGTTTTCCATAGTGGTCTAGCTTCAATCGACTGATGAATTCGACCATTAAATTACTATAATATCCACAAAGACCTCTTTCTGATTATAAATGATTTTATAAATACAAAAAACGACAAAACTATCATTTAACGATATTGAATTAACAGATGATAATTTGAAGTTAGAAAGAAGATAGAAAGTTTACGGTAGATATTGTTGTGAATTAAGTCTATTGACCAGTATGACATGGTAAAGTCATAAATCAGAATTCTAATTCTCATTTTGTCTATTTCGTATTTATTATTTCTTCTATAGTCTTGTGTTCCAACTTAATTAATGATATACCTGACTAGTATCGTTGACTTTAAGTAGACTTTGATAAATTCCTATCGATCCGCTTTCCTCAGTGCCTTGATTTGAGTCTGGAAAGTCAAAGTCCAATTTCTATTGTCATTATATTTCAAACACACATCTGTTTCTATACAAGCATACTGGATCACATTACACAATACCGTGAAAAATAACAATTATAAATAAACGAGCCAAAAGTGACTATGAATAAAGCAAACAGTAAATGATCGATTGACAAATAAATAGAAATAATAAGTAGTTCAAGAATAGCTAATATGCTAAATAAAAGCTTATGATGATCTAAATAAATGTGCAGAACAATCCAGTGACTGAGTAGCTATACAGTAACCACATATATAAGCATATATATAGACATTAACACCGTTGGATGCCGACTCAGTGGTATAGAGATTAAGCACTCGCGCGCAACACCGATAGGTCCTGGGTGCGAATCTCGCGAGGAAGGGTTGTGGATTCGCACTGCTGAGGAGTCCCATATTAGGACGAAACGGCCATCCAATGCTTCTAAGTTTTCCATTATGGTCTAGCTTCAATTGACTCATAATCTCAACTAGTAAAATTACTAGGATATCGACAACACCCCTTCTGATATATATGTATAATAGTTATCCAAAAATTAGTTCAAGAAGTTACCATTTCTTCAGTCTTCTTTATGATCTATCAGATATAAAGTCAGTCCATCACTGTAACCAACTAGTTTTAAGTACTATAAAATAACTTTTTCATTAGAATTACTCATTAGATTATTTGCAGTAAGCAGTTTTAGTTCAAATATGCTTTATGACCTTAAAATCTCCAACTTGACAACTAATAATCAATTACTACAATGTTGTTTAAAACAACTTTACAGTAAGATTTAGTTGGAATGTGTTTTTGTCCAAAGAAATCTTAACTTCTTTTTTATATTTTTGTATATACATAATGTTCAAACTGATTTTTCATGGTTGTGTTAATCTCCCGTTCATACCAATGATTATTAATGGATTAGAATAAACCATTTTGCATAAGACAGTGGTTACCTGGACTCATTCTTGCGCATCCATCTGAAGAGTTCAAAACAAAGAAAAACGACGCTTATTCTGATGGAGTTTTTGTTCTCTGATCTGGATGGTTTGATTGTAGGGTTTTCATTATTCTTGTGAACGACATTAACAGCACAAACGATGAAAGCTCCATAACTAAACAATTCAGCTCAGAGAACAAAACTCCACCAAAATTAACCATCTGAGCAACAAATCTTCTCCACCAACGTACATTCTGGATTCCCTTGTTCACTACCACGTAACTGCTCAAAATAGTCTACATACATTATACATTTACATATGTATATTTTCTTTTGCTCAATCACTACTACTTATTAGATTATTGTACTTGTTTATTTGTTAATCCAGAATTATTATCGACAAAAAGGTATTCGACAGCCAACACATCCAGATTTTATCAAGTCCACATTTGATGATGCTGCTAATACTATTGTTACAAATTTAAAAACACTATTCACTGAAGCAGAATTATATCGTAATTCATGTGTAAAAGGTATGTACAAATGATTTGAATTTATGAAATATTTTACTGTTAGTTATAGTAATGTTTTAATAGTTGAATTCATCAGTCAATTAAAGTTAGATCACCATAGAAAATTTGAAAGCAATGAACTGCCATCTCGTCCTAGTATGGAACTCCTCAGCAATGCGCAACCACGACAATGAAGGGCGGTGGTGCGATTTCGTGGATTGTTTGAAGTTAGACATTAATACGATTGAATGCCGCCTCAATGGTCTAGAGGTTAAGCGTTCATGTACAAGACCGAAGGTCTTGAGTTCGAATCCCTCATGCGGGGATCGTGAATGCCCACTGCTGAGGAGTCCCATACTACAAGGCGAAACTGTTGTCCATTGCTTCCAGGTTTTCCATAATGGTCTAGCTTTAATTGACTCCTGAATTGAACTATTAAATAAAACTCCTAACTGAATTAAAAATTTTACATCATATACTGACACTTGTTAGACAATCAATGAAAATCATGAGTAACTAAGTAGCTTTTTCATCCTAGTATGATACTCCGAGACAATCTTCATTCATGATCCCACCAGAGACGGAAACCAGGAAGTTGAGCTTCACGTTAAGTACTCAGTCTTCAAATGACTGAGTTAGTATTTCATGGTTTATATTCGTAACTTCAGTTGACTGGCTATACTTCAAGACCGTCATTCATCATCATCGTCTAATGCCCAATATGGTTGAATTCCACTGGTTAAAACTGTTGTAACGCGTAGTGACTGCAGGTTATGCTATTATTTATTTATTTATTTATTTATTTGAACACATAAATATTGGTACAAGAGAGCGCCAATATATATGCGCCACACAAAACAATGAAAATTCGAAGAGAAATAGAAAGAGAAAAAAAAAAACTAGGGAACGCAAAAGAAAAAGAGAACAATGACGAAGAGATTGGAGTAAGGTAGTGTGGTAGTAACGACGGAACGAAAAGGTACAATCAGAAGAAATCTTTCAGGTAAAGGAGACACAACCACTTTTTATGAAGAAAGTAAAAGAAGGTTACAGCAGGATCGCCACTGGCTTCTATTCTGAGCCATATCTGATAACGTCTCTAGCCACTGTGTAGCACCATCTCTCGGACCCCAACCAGGGAGTCGTGAAGGACCAACACAAGCCAGTCCTTTGCAGCTTTCTTTCATGCCACGACACCATGTCATGCACTGACCACCTCTCCGCTTCTTCCAACCAGTCCCAGAGTCGGCAAATAATGCACGACGTGGAATTCTCTGGGACGACATTCGGAGAACATGTCCAAGCCACCGAAGTCGGTGTTTCAAGATGGTGACACCAATTGAGTTATCATCTCTGTGCCCGAACACACGATGCCGAACCTCTGCATTACTGACATGGTGTTGCCACTGAATGTCAGCAATCCTTCGGAGACAGCGATGATCGAACACAGAGAGTCGTCTAACGTCCTCAACTCGGAGAGGCCAGGTTTCACAAGCATAGAGCAAAACTGCTCTCACCGACGCGTTGTAGATCCGACCTTTTACAGCCAGACTAACATCACGAAGGCGCCAAAGGTGGCCCAGATTGGCATAAGCCGCTCTGGCTTTCACTATTCGTGCATTGATCTCATCACTCACACCCCCACCAGCACTTATGCAGCTACCCAGATACACGAACTTCTCAACTACGTCTATCTGCTCACCGTCCAGGGTGAGTACAGGATTAGAATCCTGCCAGTCTTGTAGAAGTACTTTGCACTTCGAAGGTGCAAAGCACATACCATACCTACGGACACTGATTGCCAACTGATTAAGTGCGGATTGCATGCCTTGGGCATTATCGCACAGTAAGACAATATCGTCCGCATACTCAAGGTCGAGAAGTCTTTCTCCAGGCAACAGATCCACACCACCATTACTTACATTCATCAGAGCTGTTTCCAGAATGTCATCGATGGCAAAGTTGAAGAGGAATGGTGAGATTGGGCAACCCTGCCTAACCCCACTGCTCGAATGGAACAATGGAGAGAGGTGGTTGTATGCCCTCACTCTGCCTGAGGTGTTTTTATACAGGGCTTTCAGGATGTTAATAAACTTCTCAGGCACACCCTTCTTCAATAGACAATCCCAGAGAACAGTCCTGTCCAACGAATCGAAGGCAGCCCTGATGTCAAGAAACACTACGATTGTTGGCCTTTGAAAAGTATGGCGGTGTTCTAACATTTGGCGGAGGGTGAAGATATGATCAATACATCCTCGACCAGAACGAAACCCAGCCTGCTCCTCGCGAGTCAATCTTTCTCGGGTTTTGAACAACCTACGAAGAATGACGGAAGCCAATAGCTTGGACGCAATCGGAAGTAAACTTATCCCCCGATAGTTGTTACAAGAACGACGTGAACCCTTTTTAAAGATAGGGACAACTATCGACTCATTCCATGACGTTGGTACACACTCTAGTTCCCAAACCTTTGTAAACAACGTCGTCAATTCCTTAGTCAAAAAGTCACCACCATCTTTAAAAAGAGCCGGAGGTAAGTCATCTGGGCCAGGTGATTTGTAACGCTTCAAGAGTTGGAGTTCCTTGCGGACTTCCTCCTCATTTGGTGGATCAGTCGTCACCGGCCATGGAGGGCAGGACAGTCTGACCGATGTTGCCGGAGCAGCAGGCCAGTTGAACTGCCCTTCGAAAAATTCTGCCCATCGTCCAAGACGTCGATGGATGTTAGTGATTGGCATCCCATCATCCTCGCAGATTGTTTCACTCACACCAGACTTCTTGCTGCCAGTGGCTCGGATGAGCTGGAAGAGCTTCCGGTAGTTACCAGATGCAGCTGCTGCTTCCAGCTCATTAGCACGCATCGACCACCAGGCTTCTCGGTCCTTACGCAAGCTTTGCCCAATTTCCTTACGTAACATCCTTCGTTTATGGTCAAACTCACGGTCACCCGGAGTAGACCGACGGGCTTCAATGAGTTGTAAGGAACCAGAAGAAACCCAGTGCTTAAAGGCGGGACGTTTCGCAAACCCACAACTGACTGTTCCCGCCATTTTCATGGCGTCATGCAATTGCAACCAATGCTCATCTATACTTTTCGGTGGAGTGGTAGCTAGCCTAGAGGCTAGCTCGGTTCGATACTTACTTGCAACAGAAGTTGCAACCAGCTTGCTAACATCAATCCGTTGATGGCGTTCACTTCGTTGTCCACTGAAAAGTAAGGTAAGATTGGCGCAGACCAAGGCATGGTCAGAGTCCAGATAGGTACTCCAAAAGGAGCGGCAGTCTTGTACACAACCACGCCAGCGGTAGCTGATCGCGATGTGATCAATCTGAGTCCAGGCTTGAGATGCAGAGGGAGGACGCCAGGTGGCACATCGGCGATGACTGTGCCGAAAGTTAGTGCTAGCCAGAAACAGGTTGTGGTCTGTGCAAAGTTGCAGTAGACGGTCCCCGTTATCTGACCTGCGACCAACGAGTCCCCATCGGCCACCTAAACGACTCTCTTCTGTGCCTAGACGCCCGACCTGAGCATTCAAGTCTCCGGCTAGTACTACAATATCTGTCGAACGCACTTTCTGGAGAAGAACTGATAACTGGTGGTAAAACTCATCCTTGATTGCATCCGGGCTGCAATCTGTCGGGGCATAGGCGGAGATGACGAAAAGACATCGTTTCTCACGCCGATTTCTTCTCACTTTGATGGAACTTTCTAATCTAACAGCACATAACCGACTGTTAATGGGGATCCAATCGACTAGTGCTGCCTCAGCTCTAGCGCTTAGTGCGACACCAACGCCAGCAAGACCAGACGAAGATGCCACAGGGTCCCCGGATAAGCGCACGTAAAACAAGCTTTTCGAAGCGACAGATGGAGATCGAATTTGTAGTACTTCGCCAGAGTCTTGAATACGGGTCTCGGATAGACAACAAACGTCGATATTAAGACTTTCCAAAGACATAGCCAGCCCTATCTGTTGTCCGACCTGCATAAATGTGCGAACGTTGAAGGCAGCCAGTTTGAATGGTGCACGTGGTTTCAGAAAATCTGCTTCAGTCCTCGTATTCGGTGGTAACATACAATTTTCAACCGGACAGTGACTCGAGAACGTTTAGATACAGTCGGATTTCCACCAAAGACGAGCCGCTGTATAAGTATAAAAGAGGGTGAATAATGTGGAAAATAATAATAATAATATTAATAATAATAATAATGACAATAATAGTAGTAATAATAATATAGTATTAATAATGACAATAATTGTAATGATAATAATCTGAATCAATTGTTTGTTTTTCAAAGCGAGAAAGGTAATTTCCATAGTCATAAAGAGTTCATCAATTTGTGTGTGGGCTGTGATACTGCCCGGGTGCCCAAACCGAAGCAGGTGGTTATCTTAGGGGGCCACTCCCCGAGCCTTTGACCTAAAGGTCTAACCCACAAGGCAGTGGAGCATCGTAAGGAGATGCAGTCCCATGGTAGCCGGTGACCAACGATTGGTTCATACGCCATTCGTTCCCGCAGGATACTGGAGCCCATGTGCACCATTGATTTGGAATCCGGTTAAAGCGCCGGACATTCGCTTTTCGTCCTCTCATTTTCGTAGACAACACCCCCGCCACGAGAAGGCAATGAGTAGGACTTCCCTGGCAGAGGCTGTATACGCGTGGCCGTGTGAGAGTATTTCGAGAGGGAGAGCGGACTCTCCCCACTCTCGGCCGTACCAGGGCATTCAGGGGGGCGTTTATATCGATCGGAGTACAGTGGACACGGAAAACACGTACGAACGACCTAGTGCCCTGATTGGTCCCGCTCCGCTGTCTGTCCCAGCCAGTTGAGTGAAGAACGCAAGTCACAGCCTCTGAGTTATGAATCATTGTATTTCAAACATACTCTATTTATATACCAAGCAAACAACCCACATCGTACCATAAAATAGGAAACAACATTTGTACAATATTTAACAAGTGAAATAAACATCGACCAATAAGAAATGTACATTTAAGGTTCAAGGACACCATTGAACTTAACATGGTAATTATTGGTCTCTTTTTCCGACTATCCCAACACCTCCCCTTTTTCGAACGATGCGGAGTTCATATCTGCGTTTTAAAATTTTCTGCGTCCGTCCTCCCCCGCGAAATAACGTTGGGTCCTCATATACCCAAGCAACAGTTAGTCTGACTCTATTTAAAGCATATTTCGCGCATTGAGTAGAGGGTTCACTAAAACTGACTAGATGATAAGGATTAGCGACACCAGACATGACGTCATTAAGGTTTGATTTTTGTGCAACATATCCTTCAGACCTCTTCAAAATGCGATCACTGGATAATAGGTCACTAAAACAAACAGCATCTTGGAAATTTATATCAGATTTCTGACCATCATTTGATGCACGGGAAACATTTTCTGGCACGAGAGGTTCTTCTTGTAAGCTGGATACCTCACATGTTTCAGGCACAGTGGGATTTGAACCCACAACAGGGCATACTTCTGAATTGGACAATTCTGGATCTCTGGATGGATCATGAGCGACTGCCTCGTTTGCATTACTGATCGTAAGGGATTCATAGAGGCTTTTGTTTTCATCTTCATATGTCCTGCAGTCATTCTCGAGTTCAGTATGCAGGTGAGAAATTAATTCGTCAACCTCTTTCACATCTCCGAAACACGGGAGATTTAGCAGTCGCGTGCGCATATAGTCCAAAACATTCAACTGGCTCTCTCTGTAACGATCTAGTAGTATCTGCAATTGATCGGAGGGGATAGTCATTTTCTCGTTACAACAAAAACTACTCACGAGAACAACGGTAAATTCTCTCCTAAAATCAATCACTAGTAAATATTTGGTAATCATATTTATAGAGTGTCGTGAAGATTGTTGAATTTTGAATTTCACATCCCTGATTGTCTTTGGTTAAATAACCATTTAAAATATTTATGAACTACTTATAACAAGTAGGCTAAGACTAAGGGTATGTAGTTCAAGTGATATCAGTTTGTGATGAGGACCTTAATCTTAACTCCAAATCCTCATTCCCAACGTTGATTCCGAATACTAATCTAATAAATGAGCCGTGACCTTTAAACCATTTGCACGTTCACCATCAGCTCATCGGTAGAGCTCAGATTTAGTGAATAGTTTAGAAGAGAAGATAGTCCTTATGAAATGTCTCCAGAAACTTAATATTTTTTGAATGAATGACGGTGTCTATTATTATTTGGTTCATTTGCTTAGTTCTTTGGAGTTACATCTTCCATTTACAGAGTTGACATTTGCTCATAATGAGTATGGTATTTTTAAATGTTCCTTTGTAGGTTTTGAATTAGTCCACAAGTGAATATTTGTATTCGTTCAGATTTACAATTTGATCCCAATAACTTCAACAAAGTGATATGCATTTAGGTTCATTGTTTATTGATTATTCTGAAAGATTTTGAAATGTTAACTGTAATTTCATGGCGTCGAGAATGATGAGTGATGATATGTTGATAATATGTTGCTTTTTAAATCTTCGTTTATGTGGAATATTTGGGACTCGTCAGCTGGATATACCTGCATCCCAGAATTGATTTTCAGTTCAGGACTCGAACCCAGTACCGTTCGCTCCAAATACCATCTCATTATCCATTTAGCTATCGAGTCAACTCTAGGATGCAGGTACATTCAGCTGACGAGTCCCAAATAGGACGAAGCTCGCGTCCTGTATTCCACTGCTAGTCACTACTCATCTTCGATGAAGAATTATTTCTATAAATATGATATAAAGTATGCACGATTGTTTATATAGAAAACGTTTTTCGACAAGTCAGTACACACAATTCTTTAGCTTTGCATCCAGTCATTATTACAGAAACTAGTTAGATGTTTTGCAAGTAGACGTAGGAAGATATGTTCAGACGACACTATCAACAAGGAACTAGAGTTTATTCATAATATATTGGTGGAAATGAGTTATCCACAAGGTTTTCTGAAAAAGCATTCTCATACAATGAACAGGAAAATAGCGACATCGATGGTTAGTAAGAAGCCTTTCTTCTGGAAGCTACAATCCAGCGGAGATATAGCTAGTAATGTATTACGGTATAGCCTGACCAAAGCAATGAAGAGAACACTTATCGCAGCTACCCTCTGTTTGTCGTTCTTCAGCCGATTTATAGTGATTTCTCAACCGAAGAATAAGTTACCTGGTTGTGCCACTTCCATGTGTATCTACAAATTCAGTTGTTGATGTGGAGGAAGCTATATCAGATGTACTGTTAGACAACTGAGTCAATGAATTAGTGAACAGCTCTCATCGTGGTTAGGAAGGAGTATCGTTAAAACAATATGCAGCTCTGTTCTACCATACCTGATCGATAGCGATCATGTAGTAGAAGGAAATATGTCATTTAAAGTGATTTATCATATTCCTACTAACTTCCCTAATGGGGTTCGATTTCGTCTATTATACATAGCAGAAGCTATTGGGATTCGAGCTAACAATCTAAATCTTTATATTCATAAGACATTTATGACACCCTTATCTATTTCTTGCTCAATTATGCCTTAATGAATGGTTTTGTTCATGATTATTACGCATACTCTGTATTCGTTTGCTTTGATTCACTTCACTTTTTTAAAATATACTCTGTACAGTTCCTTCTGTCTGAACACATATTATTACGTAATCGTTTTAATTTTTAGTGAATGTTATCTCAATGTCTTATGTTCCGAATCGTTGACCTATCTGCTATTGTGAAATACTGATTCAAGCTTTTATTATTCTTATCACAACTAATAAACCTGTCATTACACTATCGATTTGTAACGTTTACTTATTATATTGCGTAATCTATTCGATAGATGTTACGGACTCATAGTAACTTGGTTAGTTTAATAGTTTAATATATTCGTACAAATATGTATTTTTGAAAGTGAAACTTATCGAGGATCAAATTGAATTGAATGCTAGACCGCCGTTGAAAAGATGGAAGCATTGGACGGCCATTTCGTCCTAGTATATATATATATATATATATATATATATATATATATATATATTCTCTATTGTTTAGAATTTTCTGAACAATTGGATAACATTGAACAATTAGCAAGTCAATTACCAAGTTTATTATTTGAACAAATAGTTAATGAAATTAAATTGTATATATTACAAGAGATGAATATCCATCAGAATAGAATACAATTTGATTTAAATCAATTAAATGAATTACGTGTAAGTTAATAAATGGTTTTTTCATTTAATATTCAATGTGATTATTAATCTGTCTTGTAACTCTTCAAAGAGTTACTGACATAAAAATGTCAGTGAATGAGAAAAGTTGATACGCTCACGATTTGTTGAAAGGATTTTACCGGGTGTATTTTGACAACACCTTCTTTGTATGTATGCCATCAATTAATACGCGAGATCTAATAATAATGATACCTCAGATGATGGCCACCGACAAATTTCCAAGTCCTTCATGTGAACACCGACCCCTCCAACAGCTCTTCTACAGTTTCCGCCTGGTTCAAGCCTAGGTAAAGAAGGATGGTTGGGTATGTTTTCAACAACCCTATCCAGTGGAAAACAATCTTTGTACCAGCTTTTGTGTTCTTACTTTCGCGTGGTGGTAATTACAGTGGTTCGTCGTTTTCGAGTATAAATAATAAACAATTCCGACATAATATTCAGTGACCAACCAGATATAACAAATAACGTTCAATTAGAAGACTTCTCATATACAAAGTTTAACAAATCGCATAGATTTTTATAGTTTTCAATTTATTCTATAATTCTAATTGAAATAACGTAATGATATGTCTCATATGCAAAAAACTTAGATATCGACAGCTTAACTGCATGAACATCAATTAGTGGTCAAACACCATGACATGTCCTCACTTATATCAATACACGTGGACAACTGCGGACATGCATTCGACTGGAAAAAATGTGCAAATCTTGGATAGAGGAAATTCTAAAAACATCAGAAAATTTTTAGAAGCTTGGCACTCAGGTCAATCAGCAGTCAACAAGCACATTGAAATCCAATTTATCAACCAATCAGGAAAATTATGCACAAACATAGGAACAAAATCAAACCAATGGAAAATATAACCAAAACAAAGAAGTGGATAACGATAGGTTAAAGGTCGACAATAACCATTGAACATACAGGTCTATAGGACAAGCTGTGAGTCATATATGTGGAGAAATTCGAACATCTTACTTCTACCTGAAGTTTGTGCTGATGATGTCGTTTAGAATAACTATGAAAGCTCCACGACCCAACCATCCAGTTCATAGAACGAAACTCCATCAAAAACAAAAATGGTTTTTTATCTTCTATAATTTTCAACCCTTGAACTTTGAACAAAAAAACTAAGTGGGAAAAATCTTAGATGTGTTTTACTTCAAAGGTTATTTGAATACGATGTAACGTTGAGGTTGTACAAACTTTCAACAAAAAAACAACTAAAACTTGAAACAAATTCGGTTATTATCTAATCATGATAAAAAGTACACCTAATCAGTAATTACCTAGATTTCTCTTAAAAGATTTCGAAAGAATGCTGATATATGAAATTATTTCCAGTAATTTTCTGGTTTCTGAAGTGTTATAACTTGTGGGTCATGTGTCCATATCAATATATAAATAACGTAATGATACTGCCAATTAGAGAACAGTAATTTATCGACCGGAACAATGACGGATAAAACTGTACCAGCAGTCTAGAGTCCTTATCGGTCTTGCTTCCCGCCTAGCCCTAACTGTTAAGTTCAGAACACCAATCTCAGCCTCTACGATCTTAATCATGTATTTCAAACATACTGGGTTTATATTTGAAACAAACAGACCATATAGTACCACAAATAGAAAATACACATGTGTACAAGATTTAGCCAAAAGTGGCTGTGAATGAGAGAGGTAGTACTTGATAGACTAGGTATAACTCAAGAATGGTAAATCATATAATCATAGTGTATAGGTCGATATAAAGCTTATAATAAGAAGAACAAGTATATGAATAGTTTAGCTACCTAACAATTATACAATAAGAATGTATGTATAGTATTAGTCTAGAAATGGATCCCAACAGTGACCATTCATTATTCTCGTTGGGATATAACATGAAGAATTATGGATGATTTCCGACGGACGATATTTTTTTTCTTCATTACATTATATTTTCCAATTCTATTTTAACACATCTCATTTGTAGCTATTCAAATAAGAATCTACAAACTTATATTTCAATATTGTTTATCTGACATTTAGCTTTAACTGTAAACGTTATTGACCATACAGTACGTAAAATATTCAATGCATGAAACCTGCGGTATTCATCTATTGTTTCTCAATAGAATAGACAAGAAAAATAACCTGATTATTATGGCGTTTCGGTGAGACTATAATTTATGGACAAACCAATCAGATTTAGGATAAAAAGACTTAGATTTTGGCGCGAAATTCACACAACCATTTAGGTAAATAGAGTCTTGGCATTATAGCTGATGTCAATTCGTGATGGAAAACCACAAATCTAATTCTAAACATCTAACCATCAACTGTAAATCATAATATTTATTCTTCATACAGGTTTATAACTCTTATCTAATCGTAGTTAATAGATGGACATTCTCAAGGACACTCAGCGTCGCTCAAAGGTCGTCCACAAATTATAGCTTCTTGATTGAGATCATGAACCGATTGATGTTAGACCACCTTTGGAAACCTGGAAGCACTGGACGGCCGTTTCGTCCTATTGTGGGACTCCTCAGCAGTGCGCATCCACGATCCCGCTCGCGGGATTCGATTCGGTTCATGATCTCAATCAAGAACTTAATAATCTTCACAACCCCTATACTAGTAATTATAGTTTCACCGGTGTTCCCACTTATATTCTATAGTATTCAGCATCATGATGAATTGTGAGCTTTTAAAAAAACGTGTGAATATTTTATACAAAATGCATACATAATTACTCTGTTAAAACAAAGATAAAATATTGAACATTTATAACTGTAACACCAGTTGTCGATGGTCCAGAGAATCTCACAAGAGAATTGGTTCTCTCTTAATTCTTAACTGCCTTCGACTAACTAACATTGAATCATTTAAACTAATTCCGATATTATAGTTTACTCTATAGAAATTGATTTACACTATTCATTACTGAGTGATAAATGATGATAAACATGTTTTTTCTTTCATCTATTTGTTTGAACACATAAATATTGGTACAAAATGGCACCGAATACATATGCGCTACATAAGTCACTTGATTCATGTGTGGGTTGTGATACTGCCCGATACTGCCCAGACCGAGGGTCACACCTGGAGCCTTCAACCTAAAGGTCTGATCCACAAGGCAGTGAACAACGATTGGTTTATACACTATTTGTTCCTTCAAGATCCTGGAGCTCATGTACACCATTGATTTGGAATGATAATTTTCCAACTCTTAGATGGTGTTTGGAGATAGTTCACAGGAAACCCTGGACCAGGGTTTGAGGGAACTGATGCTCGCTGACGGATTTGATCCCATGTCACCCAGCTTCATAGTCAAAGACGTTACCACTGAGTTATCCTGGCCGTGACTGACCTCCTTTAGAACTGAGATGTAATCACAATTAATTGATTATTGGATGATGATCAATGTCATCAATGTATCAAATCCTTCTTAGTGCAGAATGAATTCCATCGATCAAGTTGCAATATGGCCATCAGTCTAGGTGATTCGATACTGGCATGCATTATATGATCAATCAATTGGGAGTTTCCCAACTCACTTAGATGTTATAAATATAGAGGTATTATTATTATTATTATTATTATTATTATTATTATTATTATTATTATTTATCATTCAATGATATCCACCTTTAATTTATCTGATATTTTCATTATAGATGAAATATAATAATCAACTTCAATTAGAACTTTGTCATTTAAAAAATCAATATCAATTAATGATTTTATTAAAACAAGAAAATGAACGTCAATTAAATTTTATTAAATTAATTAATAAATTAAAAATAATTAAATTACAAATTATTCATAAAGGTAGACAATTATTTAATCAACGTTTATCTCATTTAACGGATTATTTATTTATTCGATTAGATAGTTTAATTGGATCAGATCAAATTGATCATCCAGGTAATTTTGAATCATTAAAAAATAAAAAAAAATTTTTTTTTCTAAATAGAATTTTATTTTTATAGCCCAACTAGTTACCATGTCATTTATTAGCCAATCAAAATACAACTTATTCATTCATGTTTGACCGGTCTGATCAGCCTAGTATCTTATTGGTCGGTTGCTTGTCTAGCCTATTCAGTTGAGTCAAGAATGTTAATCACAGCCTTCACTATGCAAATCATTTACGTCAGATATAATGAGTTTATATATTAATCAAATAGACCGCAACGTACCATAAAACAGAGAATAACATTTGTACAAGATATAGCCAAAAGTGGCTGTGAATGTATTTACTTATTTACGCCTGTTACTCCTCGTGAAGGAGCATAAACCGCTCACCAGCATTCTCCATCCAACCATGCTCTTTCCAGTTGTTATTCATCCTTTTCATATCTGCTTCTATTTCCCGACGTAATGTGTTCTTTGGCCTTCCTCTTTTCCGTTTCCCTTCATGATTAGAAGTTAGGGCTTGTCTCATCATGCAGTTTGGTGATTTCCGTAATGTAAGTGAATGTGGGAGATAGTAATTGAAAGACTGGACATAACTCAAGAATGGTAAATCGTATAATAATAATAATAATAATCTATAAGTCAAAACGAAGTTTATAATAAGGGGAACATAGATATGCATAATCTAATTACTGGATAGTTATATCATAAGAATATATAATAATATTAGTCCATTAATAGGTCTCAAAAGTTACTCGTAATTTAATCTTCACTAGGATATAACAATCATCATCATCATGAACTTCTGTTTGGTTAGACAACTAAGTGGGAACTGGGAATCATTGGATAATTGTTTTGTTCTAATATAGAACCGATTGATGTTAGACTACCGTTGGAAACCTGGAAGCACTGGAAGGCCGTTTCGTCCTATTTTTGGACTACTCAGCAATGCTCATCCACGATCCCGCTCACGGGATTCCAACCCAGGGCCTTCACTGAGCCAGCATCCGCTGGTGTTAGTGTCTAACATCAACCAATGCACGAAATTGCACGATGATCTCCTATTGTACTGGGGTAGATACCTATCTCTACCCGCTCCACTGGTCACGGCTTCTTACTAGAACTCTGAGAATTCCATCACGAAACTAGTCACTAGTGTGGAGTCCCGAAATAAGACGAAACAGCCTTTCAGTGCTTCCAGGTCCCCAACGGTGGTCTAACATCAATCGGTTCATGATCTCAATCAAAAACTTAATAATTTGCACAACCCCTATACTGATAATCGATTATTGTTTTCTATTTCACTGTTCATAAACTATAAATCAGTTAATGATGAATGTTTTATACAGCTTTATATGAACAATGTGTTGGTTGTATATCTATTGAGGTTTACAGATGGTGTCATGGTGTGGTCTTGTGATCACATGAGTTACAAAGATATTTTTGATCATTCATCTAGAATCCGGTTATTCTTATCAGAAGGTTACAAATGTAAGTATTTGTGTAGTGTAAACATGTGCGACAAATCCAGATAATAACAGAATTAGGATGATTTCTTATTAATAGGGTAGGTAAGAGTATAGCGATTCATTTATTAATACCACTCTACTATGCTGAAGTTATACAATAGTTTGGATGAGGAATGCTTTACCTGTCGATTGCTGTTAGAGGTATGAGGGCGGTTCAGTCAGTCAGTCAGTCAGTCAGCTACAACGTAGGACCAGGCACATATGTGCATCGGTCCAGGTTGCCATACCGCATCAGCACAACAAGATGAACACCGGATTCATAGCAGTGGTTATGTCAAAGGTGGTAATATATAAGAGGAAGATTGCATATAGAGATATAATACAAGAAGAAAGAATTGGTTCGTAGAAAGAAAGATATGAAGCGATTTTAATCTCTTAGTTTAAGGGAAGACAGGGAGTGTATACACCGACGCCATTGTGATCGATTCTGAGCCATGTCACCAAGAGTCTCCAACCATTGGTTACGATAGTCACGCGGACCCCAACCAAGTAGTCTGCATCTACCAACATGGCTCAGACTACAAGTTAGTGTCTTCAAGCACTGATGCCACGTTTTGGTTTGGCCGCCCCTAACTTTCTTCCAACCATCTCCAATACCGGATAGCATTGCACGTCGTGGTAATCGGTGTTCAGGCATACGTAACACGTGGCCCAACCATCTCAGTCGATGAAGATTCATAACCTCATCAACTGATTTACCATCATTCCCTAATACCCTGCGTCTAACCTCACTATTACTTACCCGGTGATCCCAGCAGACGCCAGCAATATTTCTAAGGCATCTGTGGTCAAATACTAGTAGCTTACGAGTGTCTTCTACTCTTAATGGCCATGTTTCGCTGCCGTAAATTAAAACAGAACGGACTGCCGCGCAGTATACTCGTCCTTTTATTGATAGACGGATATCTCGCCTTCGCCAAAGGTGACGTAAGTTGGCAAAAGCCAAACGAGCTTTTCGAATCCGTGCTGAGATTTCGTCAGACACCAACCCATTAGGGCTGATCAGACTTCCAAGATAAGTGAAGTTGTCAACGCGTTCGACTACTTCACTCCCTATCCTTAGTTCAGGTGTTGACGCAGACCAGTCCTGAAGCAACAACTTGCATTTAGAGGGAGAGAAGCGCATTCCAAACATTCTGGCATTGTTGCTTAGTGCTACCAGAAGACTCTGCATTTTGTCAGCGTCTTCACCAAACAGGACTATGTCATCTGCGTATTCTAAGTCGATAAGTGGACCTCCTGGATGGAGATCAATACCCGAGAACTCAGTCGACGAGAAAGTTATTTCCATCAGTAGATCTATGATGAAGTTAAACAAAAATGGGGAAAGTGGACAGCCTTGACGGACACCACTTGAGGTTGCAAAAGTAGATGACAGTTCGCCATAAGCTCTGACTCGACTAGTAGTGTTCGAGTAAAGAGCCTTTACAAGGTTTATGTACTTCTGGGTACGCCTTTCAATGACAGACACTGCCACAGAATCTCGCGGTCTACCGAGTCAAATGCTGCTTTTAAGTCGAGAAAGACCACCATTGTCGGACGCCGATAAGTATGCCTGTGTTCTAGAATCTGACGAATGGTGAATATGTGGTCGATGCAGCCACGACCAGGTCTAAAGCCAGCTTGGTTCTCTCGTGTTTGCAGTTCACGAGTCTTAGTTAGGCGTCTGATAATTATCGAGGCTAGTATTTTAGATATTATATTAGTTAAACTAATCCCTCTGTGGTTGTCACAGGATGATTTTGACCCTTTCTTATATATTGGGACGATAAGTGATTGTGACCAGTCAGATGGGATAACGTCTAACTCCCAGATCTTAGCTAAAATATTAGTCAACCTAATCGCTAAAATTGGACCACCATCCTTAAAGACCTCTGGAGCCAATCCATCTGGACCAGCTGCCCTTCCTCGTTTCAGATTAACTATAGCCTTTTGAACTTCAGCGAGAGTTGGGGGACCTACTTCAATGTTCCATTCACACTGTCTGGGAATGGAGGGTAGTTGTAGAGTAGCTGAAGGCCAGCTGAACTGTTCTCTGAAATGTTCCGCCCATCGTTCTAAACGTCTGGACTGAGAGCAAATGAGGGTGTCGTCTTTTTCCGAAATAAATGAGGGCGGTTATCACCTCCCGGTTACCCACACCGTGGGAGGGTCCTTATGGAGGTACCTGAAAAGGTAATTCTGTTAGAGATGGTCTTAGTGACTCAGAGCTCAAGGGACAACTGCTTGAGGTCGGTCACACACGGCCTTTTTATGAGTGATTTTCGTGTTAGCTCCGTACTTGTTGAGACCTTACCGCCGGAGACGGATATCCGTGAGATAAGGTGAATTGTGCATTTTCAGGGTCGACCTTTTCTAATCCCACCCCTCCTCAAGAGAAGGCAGCATCGCTGTCATGATGGTTGTCCGAAAGAAACACCTTACTGCCATCACATCTCTGTACAGTCAGCAGTACGACTTCGCCTTCGGACCTTAGGTTTGTTGCTTTTAGACTTACAGCTCTTCAAACGACTTGTCTAGCATGGTAGGACGTTGAGAAACGACTGTTCCAGCCAGTATAGTTCGATTGCTTCATCACGATAGGCAAGCCCGACTACCACGTCAAGGTGGTAACAACGGTCAGGAATGCTTTTTCTGGAGGAATACACTAACAAAGACCTGTGAAGAATTACTGGTTGAGTGAAATAGTCACAGTCAAAAGTATCCATATATTTATTAATGTAAGTCTTCAGAAATGTCGATAATTGGAGATATATGTCAAAGATTGTTCTATCTTCTATAATTGATCGCAGTAGTTCAGACCTATTCTCCCCCGCTGTAGCTGCCACATTGACTTCGTGATAGATATTGCCTATCATGATGATCTAATTGAGCTTTATTGGCTGGAGTACCTATCCCTATACATCCTACTACTTCCAATAAGTCTGTTGAAAGGCAATAAAACTAAAAAGCAATAAGCCTAAATCCTAATATTGAATTCTTACTATCAAATCTATCTGTTCTTTTTTTCTTAGACAATGATCATGATCCTCCTAAACCAAAGAAATTAATGATTCATATATTAGATAAATCATTAACTCATTTAAATGATAATCAAATATCTTCAAATACTAAAGAAGATCTAGATCGTGGTAAACGAACATGGGAAGGTGTCAAATTCTCTGAACTTATGATACAAACAAATGATCATTTGGAATCAATCAACAATTTAACAAAATCCAATTTAAACAAACCATTAAAACATGAAAAACAATCCATGTTAAAAAGTTCACGTAACACTTTCAATAATAATTCTACAGAATTACATAATACTAATCAAGATGATAATTATTGTATAGTTAGTGCTAAAACTACAAAAGCTCATATGTCCACATTAAAATATCGTGATATTGCTGTTGTGGTAAGTGTTATAATTGGTGGGTCGTGTGCCCCTATCAATATATATATCACAATTGATTGATCACTGGGTGGTGACCAATGTCATGTTTGTCAAGTCCTTGTAACGTCTCTGACCGTGAAGCTAAGTGAGACGGGATCGAATCCGTCAGGGTGCATCAGTTCCCTCAAGATCACAGGTACACTTTGCTGACGAGTGCCAAGTAGCACGAAACCCGGGTTCAGGGTTTCCTGTCAACTACCTCCAACCACCATCTAATATATATAACGTAATGATAACGCCAATTAGAGAATAATGGACTTATCGACCGGAATAATGACGCATAAAACCCGTACGAGTAGTCTAAAGTGTTTATCGGTTCTTTGTTTTTCCAGCCGATCTAGTTGAGTTGAGAACATCATTAACAGCTTCCATTATGTGAATCATTTATTTCAGATATAGTTGGTTTATATACCAGCCAAATAGACCGCATCACACCATAAAATAGAAAATAACATTTGTACAAGATCTAGCCAAAAATGGCTGTGAATATGGAAGACTGTAATTAATAGACTTGGCATAACTCAAGAATGGTAAATCGTATAATAATAAATTATAGGTCAAAATGAAGCCTATAATAAGATGAATGTAAATATGCATAATCTAGTTACTCAGTAGTTATACAATAAGAAATATATATATAGTATTAGTGTTGCTCACCTCGAGGCAGCGTGGAATGACATCCGAAAAGCTATGGAAACAGCAGTGATATCTGGTAGTAAGGTAAAGTACAAGGTTAAGCAAAAACACTGGATCTCAGTAGCATGTACCGCATTGATAGATGATCGAAAACCCATCCCATCTGGCTCTGAACATGACGAAGAGCGGAGTCAACTTAAGCACAAGCTGATAAGAAGTCCACGCAATGATCGTGAACAGTGGTGGGTAGCGAAAGCGAGAGAGATGGAAAAGGCAGAGGCAATAGGCAACAACAGACAACTGTTCAGACTAGTTAAGGAAATTGGTATTCGGGACCCAACTGTTAGCGAAACTATCTCGGAAAAAGATGGACATATTATACATTCCAATCTAGAAGATTGGATCGATGGGCAGAACACTTTAGGGATCAGTTCAACTGCCCTTCAGCCACACTTCGGTTTCCCACGATCTCCAGTCGAATTGAATGGCAAGTTGATGTAAGTCCTCCAACTCTTTACGAAGTTGAAAAAGCTATAGGAAATCTGAAGCGAGGGAGAGCAGCAGGCCCTGACAGGTTTACTCCTGAGATTTTTAAGGATGGTGGTCTAGTATTAGCAGTGAGATTGACTGAGGCTTAGGTAGAACCTCGGAACTGGACGTAATCCCATCTGACTGGTCACAATCACTGATTGTGCCAGTCTATAAGAAAGGACAAAAGTCCTCTTGTGACAATCAAAGAGGAATCAGTTTGACTAATATAGTGTCTAAAATATTAGCTTCAGTAATACTTCGACTTACGTACGAAGTTCTAGGTTGTTGGTGACTGACTGATATGCATAGTACTAATCCAGAAATGGATCCCAATAGTTACGATTCATTATGCTCCTCGAGATGCAACAACATTCACCATACAATACATGTATACCAATACACTTGAATGATAGAATAATCTTTCTTATTCACATTACAAATCTTGTACATAATTAAAAATGTATTTCGCTTTACGGTTTTCATTTAAAGAAGAAAAAACTAGGCTAAAGACCATCTATTCTTGTTACCCAGTGTTTATACCTCTAATCTCCAAATAGAACACAAACGGACATATATATATGCAAAGAAGTATGAAAGATTGCATAGGTGTTATGCTGTTTCAGACCACAGAGTATGAAATGAGACAAAAAAAACAGAGATGATCTTTAATGAATACCATTTCTTATTAAATATAAAAATCAGATTGAAATAAAATTACTTATAGAAATTTAAATAACTCTAAGCCTTCAAATGCCTTAGTACGGCCGAGAGTGGGGAGAGTCAGCCCTCCCTTTCGAAATGCTCTCACATGGCCACGTACATACAACCACTGCCGGGATAATCCTATTCAATGCCTTCTCGCAGCACGGGTGTTGTTTACGAAATTGACAGGTCAAAAGGCGAATGTCCGGTACTTTAACAGGGCTTTTGAGTACGGTGAATCCACTTAGAGGAGTTAGGAAACCATCATTACAAACCAATAGTACACCTGGGTTATAAGTCTTGCTAATTGAACGCTATATTCGGTCCTTAGCTATTCTTGTAACCCCCCAAGCTAGAACTACACAGCGACCTGGACACGAGAGAAAAGGCGCAAAATATGTAAGAAGTACTTTACCCCAAAGGTTCGTTTTAGTACACAAAATATAGGGTTTTTACAATATTTTAGATGTCCTTGGGTTTCCCGAAAATTCTGGAATGCTACTGAACATAGTAAATCAGCCAATCAGAAACTATACATGTGACTTTTAACTTTCTTGATGTTTCTGGCTAAACTTCAAGTGAACACTGATGGATAAAATGCTTCTTAGTGTTTCCTGAGCCTTACTTGGCTTTTGCGAGTTTTCTGGATCACTCCAACAATGAGCTCCAAGATCCTGAGGGAACAAATGGCGTATGAACCTATCGTTGATCATCGACTGCCGTGGAATTGCATCTCCGAACGTTGTTCCACTGGCCTTGTGGACCGGATCTTTAGATCAAAGTTTCGGGGAGTAGCCACCTGTTTCGGTTTGAGCACCCGAGCAGTATCCAAACAGTCACACAAATCATTTGACTTGTGTGGCGCATATATATTTCATGCCTTCTTGTACCAATCTTTTTATGTTTAAATAGAATAAATATCAAGTGATATCATTAAGACTAGATAATCGTACGTGTGTGCGTACATACTGTTCTGAAGAATCTAGAACACGAATAAGAGACCCACTCATCTGATGATTGCTGAGTTGTTGTTGTTTTGTTTTTTTTTTCTTTAATACTTTGTATCATACAAATTGTCTCTATGTAAAATGTCTTACTGTTTTCTTTTATTTCATTATTGTTGATGTCATAATACAGGAGTTTCGTTTATTTACTCAAAATTTATTAGAATTAATAGAAATGGAATTTACTCATGCAATGAAAGATAATGATAAACATAAACAACAATGGATAGAAAGTGTAATCTTTTTAATAAAACTTAATTGAATCATATAAAATAGTGATTATACATTGTTCACATATTCTTGTATACCATTATATATATATATATATATATACTCAGTATATTTTCGACTTGGAAAGTTCTTTTTCTTATAAAGTTAAAAAGAGATCAATTAGAACATAGTTAAATTCTGCACTGGTTATGTTCTGCAATTCGATTCAACTATAATATATGATTCAGTCAGCTATAACATAGGATTAGGTACATACAGATATGCATCGGTACAAATTGTCATACGTCATTAGCACAACAAAATGAACATCGGATGCATAGAATTAGTTAATTCAGTGGTGGTAATATATAAAAGAAAGATTGTGTATACGGATATAATGCAGGAAGAAAGAAAGGTATAAATCAATTTTAATCTCACAGTTTAAGGGAAGAAAAAGAGTGCATACACCTACTATAATATACACTTATGTCCCCCAAATGCCCTGGTATGGTCAAGAGTGGGGAGAGTCAGCTCTCCCTCACGAAATGCTCTCATATAGCCATGTGCATACAACCACTCCAAGGGAAGTCCTACTCATTGCCTTCTCACGGTAGGGGTGCTGTTTACGAAACTGAGAGGACAAAAAGCGAATATCCGGCGCTTTAACCGGGTTGGTGGATATGGAACATCCACCTAAGGGAGTTGGAAAACCCTCATTCCAAACAAATGGTGCACATGGGCTACACGATCCTGAGTGAATAAATGGCATATGAACCAACCGTTGGTCACCGGCTATCATAGTATTACATCTCCTTACGTTGCTTCACTACCTTGTGGATCAGACCTTTAGGTCAAAGGCTCCAGGTGTGGCCCCCTAAGAAAACCACCTGTTTCGGTTCACGCACCCGGAGAGAATCCCAGCCCTCACACAAATCCGATGATTTATGTGGCGCATGTATATTTGGTGCCTCCTTGTACCAATGTTTATGTATTTAAATAAAAGAAAAACACTTATTACGGTTTGTGCCAAATCCATTATAAAATGAGAAGACTGAAATGAGTAGGAAGATTTAATCGGAAAAATTGTAATGTGAGTAAATCATAGCATATATACATTTTTTGGCTCGTACACGTTACGGATACTCAGCGACTGTGTTCTGTCATCAGTATCCCCGAAGGACTGACCATAGTTACTGGTGATACCATGAAAGTAATGCAATATGTGTTCGAGGATCTTGAAAAGCCATAAACACCTTATGCTAATTGTTCATTGTTTACCATAGTTTTTTTTAAAAAAAATAATTAAACCGAACACTTTTGATACATTTATTTCACAAACACATTAAGTCAGTTCATTAAATTGGTTGATCAGTTAGTAAGTCAAAATTACGGGGTAGACAAAAAAAAGAAGCCTTCATATACATACAATAGATATATACAGTATTATCACATATGCACACACACACACAATTAGTTCAAAACAAGACAATATGATAAATATAGACTCGACTAAGGATAAATCGTTGAAGAAGAGATAAAACAGGATAGAAAAACCAAGTCAGATTGTCAAAATCTATTCAACATTGTAAAATACATAAATATCACTTCCTCAAACTTTTGTCAGTTATAATCTGCGTCTTTCAACTTTCTGAGCTTTTCTGTTTGCTGTCTGACGACGTTGTTCAGCTTTTTCTAGTTGATGTTTACGTTGTTCAAGGTTCTCCTGACGTTGTTTAGCAGCATTTAGAGAGGCTGCCTTTCGAAAATTCACTTCACATTCTATAACACGTTCACGATTACGTCCACCTTCAGGTAGAACAATATCTTGTTTGAGAAAGCGTGAAACAGAAAACAACGATGTTAAGGTTATGGACACATCATACCCGATATAACAAATGAAGTTTGTAATTAGAAAAAAAAGCATTTTCGAAGCATTCGAAAAAACGTTTCATCCAATTTTATGTCTCAAAAATCAGAAACCTGAAAATGACAGAACCCAGGACCTAAGAGCTTCATGAAAAATGAACCTATAATCTAAGGAAACTCAGAACAAGTTTATCGTCTCATATGGGACCCACTTGGATGTGTCTGCGCTTCAGTAATGACGTCCACATTTATATTTGGACCCAGTATTTATCGATACAAAAGACAATGACTTATCGAGACACTTGCTTAGGACACACATATCCCAAAGAAAGAATTCGGCCTTAAACGTCAACAACAAAATAATTCTAACTCTCGCAAAAAAACTGCACTCGTGAAGCAAGTCAGTAGCAATATAGATTCAGTAGTTCAGTGGACAATATGTTGGTATTTAAAATGAAAGATATTGTTCTTGGCTTGAGTCTCTGTATGGAAATCAACTCTGGAATGAGAATGCTTCCGCCCGACGAGTCCCAAATACAACGAAATCTGTATTTTAAATTATGCTGTTAGCTACAATCCAAATATACTATAACTGTGTGGTACAATGACTTAAGCACTGAGTTTCACTCATTAAGGGTCGCAGATCAAAACTTAGGAAAAATATGTTACTTTGCAACGCCCTTCAATATCTCTAGTGTTTGTATTATCTTCGTCTGAGAGATATAATCTTGATACTACCTTTTACTGAAAAACTGCTTAGACAGTTACTTTTAACAAAGTTAACAAAATTACTCCGCAAATCACATACATGTGTATACATATACCCATATTTTAAGAGTTTACTTTGGAAGTCAATCAAGAACACTGTATATGGCTGATCAAACTGAAGAAGTGGAATGGTATTCCGTAATCGTTGAAACACAGTAATAGAAATTTAAATATGACAACCATTAAGTTGAAGAAGACATGAGATCAACTAATTTTATACTCATACATAACATAGATGTGCACTAAAATACACTTGTGTTTACACTGGTAACATTCAAAAGCTATAAGTAATGATAGAAAGCATTCTTCCTTCATTATCAATCACACAACAAATTACTGACATTGTTCTCATGAATCGAAAAGGTCACTGAAAGGTCTCTTAACTGAATGACTGACCTTCATTCATAGGTTCTGGGTGAATATCCGAATCTGTGAATAAAAATGCCTCCATATCTTCACGTTGACGAGACACCTTAGGATCTGCGTTATCCAAACTTGAAATGAGTGAAGCTTTCGAATTGGAATTGTGTTTTTGTTTGGCTTCAGCTTGTGCACCAATTCTTGCAATATGTTTGGATGGAGGAGGGCACTTTTTAGACTGTTTTTGACGTGTTGAAGAGATTCTCTGAGACTGACTAGTTGATTTATCGACTAGATGTGATGAATGAGAATTACGTATGCTCATTGATGATGATCGAGATGATGTCTCCTTGACTAGGATGGGATTTTGAGAAGTGTTGGATATACTCAGCCCACATGACTGTGATGATGTGAGTGAAGTTAAGATAGACAGAGCACCTTCAACTGTACCAGGTTTCACATCATCCCTGAAAAAAAAAAACAGAAGAAAAAAAACACAACACTATGTTGAATCACCTTATAAAATACCAAGCTCGTGAACAATTCCATACCATGGTGGTGTTTTGCTACTATGGAAAACGAATGTTGGACCATTTTGAATTGGCACAAACTACCATAGTCATTAATTTACCCCCCGTGTGTACGCGTTTTTGTTTAACTGTATGCACAAAACTTGAGTAACGTATTTGAACTCAATCTACCTCATATTGTTGGGCATGCATGTAAATGACAATAAATGAGACATATTATCTTTCAGAAATTATCCACTGAGAGAAAAGTCACTACGATATGTCATAATTATTTACTTATTATTACTGCTCTTGTTTTCATCAATTGCGGTGTTGAGAACATATACATTATGCACCTTTGATCATCACCATCATCCATTAGGATACTCAATTTTAGTTGATGTATGAAATAGGCTAGAAGCTAGGGATGATCAAATCAAGACATAGCCGTATTCGTAAGTGCAAACTATCTGGTTGTGGCCTATGTAATGATTCTGGTTAGGAGAAATTAGGTACTATGTTCTAAAGTTGGTCACAGTGATACAGATATGATTAATACTTTGCTTTCTTTTAGACTTGTCCTATGAATTCATTCTGTCATTTTTGAATCATTTTAACTGCATTTAACTATTTCTCACTATCACTGATACCGCTAGTATTTCCAGTTCTTAACCATTTATCATGTTAATTTTATCTTCTTATGCTGACGTAGTGTGGTAACTTGAACTGATGTACATATGTACATACAAACCAGATCCTAAATCGACTATGATTGATTGAATAACTACTATTCTTGCCATTATTATTACTATTATCATTATTATTCTGAACTGATTTACTGATTGTGATAAACCAATCGATTGTCAAAACGAAAATATTATTGAATGAAAATGTTTCCTCAATGTCAAATATATTTTATTTAATTGACTCAATAGGAAAGACAGAAGAAAAAAGGGTTAGTAGTAATATCCCATAAAACAATATAATATCAGTCAGAGACAACGAGGAACCTGGTATATATGTCTATACTTTATTCAGTTCATTCGCCAAGTAGTATATAAGTTAGAGTAACTGACTTTGGGCTATAATTTAAACGTGAAGGCTAATGATACTACTCAGTTGCTCAAACCAAAGTAGGTAAAGTGAGATTTGAACTTGTAACTTTGTGGTTGAAAGTTAAATGTCTCAACTATTGGCTTACTGCTCTTACATATGCATCAGTTTAAGTTGTTACACCACATTAGCATAACAAGATGAAATTATCAGAAAGAATCTTGGAGCAGTAGTAGTAGAATCAGTGATAGTAAAAGAAGACTAGGGATGAAAATGACTTGATCTAGAAATTGTTCACGAAATAAAATGTATGACAGAGTTTTGAAACTCAGGATCTACGGAAGGATACAATATGTTATCATGAAATTCTAACAGTACATTATGAGTAATATCACTTCAGGTAAACAAAAGTGACTAACAAGAAAACAACTTACTTTCTTCCATATTCACAGAAACTTTCAATATCTTCCAAATCAGTGTCGGATTCACCCTCACTATCATCGCCGATGCCAACTTCAACAAATCCATTTGAACTGGAACCAGTTGTCAATGCACCAACAGTTGGATTTGAACGATTTTTATTGATAAATTCCGAATTAGCCATTGCCACTTCCAATTCACGTTCTTCATCTGAATTCTTTTGATAAGCCGATACACCAGTCGAACGTAAAATTGCTTGAGTGTATGGATCTCGATCAGAATGATGATCTGATTTCTTAGTTTCAACGATACGCATACAATCAGCTTGCATTAAATTACGCATTTGATCTTCAACAGATTGAATATCATTTGTAGATGACAATGATGATTCAACTTTATCTTTGCCCAATACGATTCCATCTTTAAGGATATAAAAGAAACTTAGTCTCAAGACTACAGATCATACAAAGAATGGAAGCTTTAAAATTATTAAGTGATTTAAGCAACTTCACAGTCTCATTGATAGAAATAAAAATTCTCCCACATGCAATCTGTATGGTTGTGAAACATGGGTTTGAAAGCAGAGGACATGAGTAAGCTACTAGCTTTTGATCATAGGTGCCCTAAAGGCATTGATTGGGTTTCGTGGAATGACTAAGTGGGCAGTGTTGAGGTAAAGCATAGGGTACCTAATAAAGGTGGTACAGTAGTTGATGAAGTTGTAAAATCAACCGAGATGGCTAGAAAGTGTATTACATACTGTTACCATTGACAAACTGTAAGATTTGATGAATATTGAAAAAGCAACTACTACTTACAGAAATCCATTGATAAGTAATAAAAAAATAAAGACAAAAAGTCAGATGTAGATACAGTGAATAAAAAACAAATGTCTAGCCATCTGAACTTCAAAAGGGATAAGGTCACAAGCATAATCAACAGGATGCTTTACTTTGCACTAACCAACACCTACTCTACATCCAAACTATTAACCCTGCATGAAACGTGTTCAATAATTCAACAAGTTGGCAAGTACCTCTTTCATGTTACCAACAACTTTGTCTGTAAATGTAAATGTAAGCACTAAAGTAGCCATATTAGCCGAACATAAAGGAGGGCACGTGTCAGGTTTTTTTAAATATATTCCAAAAAGGCTCTGAACAAGAGAAAAAAATATATATATAATGCAACTACTAAAGATCTCTTAGACATAGAGTATCAGGTCGATACGCTGAAGTCTTCCATGGAAATTTATCAGCAGTGAAGCTCCAGTCGTTTGAATTTTCCTAAACCCATTATTATCAGGCGTCAGAAACCTAATTTATGTGTTAAGGAGAAGGTTGTTCACTTACACAGTGACACAAACATTTCTTCATCAGTCAGTCAACTACAACGTAGGACCAGGCACATATATGCATCGGCCCAGGTTGCCATACCGCATCAGCACAACAAGATGAACACCGGATTCATAGAAGTAATTAATTCAATGGTGGTAATATATAAACGAAAGATTGCATATAAGGATATAGTACAAAAAGAAAGACATACAACAATTTTAATTTCACGGTTTACGGGAAGACAAAGAGTGTGTACACCTACACCTAGCCGTCATGCAGAGTCTCCAAGCATTTTCTAAGATAGTCACAAGGACCCCTACCAAGTAATCTGCATCTTCCAACATCGTTCAGACCAGAAGTTGGTGACTATGGACTGATGCCACGTTTTGGTTTGACCACCCCTAACTTTCTTCCAACCATCCCCAACACTAATCAGCATTGAGCGTCGTGGTAATCGGTATTCAGGCATACGAAACACGAGGCCCAACCATCTCAATCGATGAAGATTCACAACTTCATCAACCGATTTACCATCATCATTCCCTAATACCCTGTGTCTAACCTTACTATTACATACCCGGTGATCCCAATAGACCCTGGCAATATTTCTAAGACATCTGTGATCAAATACTAGTAATTCAAGAGTATCTCCTACACTTAATGGACACGTTTCGCAGCCTTAAAGTAAAACATAACGAACTGCAGCACAATATACTTGTTCTTTTATTGATAGACAGATATCTCACCTTCGTCATAGGTCACGTAGATAGGCAAAAATTAAACAAGCTTTCTGAATCTGTGCAGAAATTTCTTCAATATATCACAAAAAATTATTTAACAACTTTCAACTAATTATATTATTACATCCTTTTTTATTTCGATTACCTTCGATATTAATAATCTTATTTGAACTAAATCAACTTTCACAGATTGAAATCATGAGTCAATTGAAGCTAGACCACCATGGAAAACCTGGAAACACTGGACGGCCGTCTTGTACTACTGTGGGACTCCTCAGAAGTGCGCATCCATGATCCCGCACCCCGCGAGATTCGTACCCATGACCTATCAGTCTCGCGCCAAGCGCTTAACCAACTAGACCACTGAGCCGGCCGGTATCCAATGGTTTTAATGTCTAACTTCAACCAATCCACGAAGTTGCGCTACCACATACCATTGTCTTCAGTGAGCTGATATCTCACAACAGACCTGGTTCAACTCCACTGGTAACGACTTCTCACTTTTGAAGTCAGTCACTAGTGAGCAGATATTATTATCAGAAGGTTTATGGAGACTTCAGAAATTTCACAGATTGAAATCATGAGTCAATTGAAGCTAGGCCACTATGGAAAACCTGGAAGCACTGGATGAGCACTGCTGAGGAGTCCCACACTAGGACGAAACGGCTGTCCAGTGCTTCCAGGTTTTCCATGGTGGTCTAGCTTCAATTGACTCATGATTTCAACCAGTGAAATTTGTAAAATCTTCACAAACCCCTTCTGATAAATGAACTTTGTTTATTCTTACTTATAATTATTGTTCTTCATTACGTAACTACTTGTGTTTTTATTATTATTATTAACGTTGTAGAATGGTTTTTTATCACATAGATACAGATATATAATATCTGAGCTAAGAAAAATCTTCCCAACCATCTTACGATACTTATTTAATCTATTAAATTGATTTATGTATTACTCTATTGATGATATGTGATCATAAAAGCTTTCAAATGAACTCATTTGTATCATTAATTTTAATCCATTTTCTAAGTATGATCTTTTCTTAAATAATACAAGTTGTAAGTAGCTGATGAAAATCAAGGAAAACCAAATGAATTTATGTTATTCTGCTTAAATCTTAGTTCTTACTTTCTTTGATAAATATACAATGTGTGGATACTCTTATTTTGATTATTCCTGGTAGAATCAGTATGTTTAGATACTAAGCACTGTTCAGTCAGTCAGCTACAACGTAGGACCAGGCACATATATGCATCGGCCCAGGTTGCCATACCGCATCAGCACAACAAGATGAACACCGGATTCATAGAAGTAATTAATTCAATGGTGGTAATATATAAACGAAAGATTGCATATAAGGATATAGTACAAAAAGAAAGAATTGGTTCGTAAAAAGAAGGATATGAAGCAATTTTAATCTCTTAGTTTAAGGGAAGACAAAGAGTGTATACACCGACGCCATTGTGATCGATTCTGAGCCATGTCACCAAGAGTCTCCAACCATTGGTTACGATAGTCACGCGGACCCCAACCAAGTAGTGTCTTCAAGCATTGATGCCACGTTTTGGTTACTAAGCACTGTTACTGTACAACAATTACATTCGTGAGCATTATTCTTTTAACTTGTTACGCCTTTATCAATTTGCAACTCATTGAAGTTAGACTTACACCCGAATGCCCTGGTATGGCCGAAGGTGGAGAGAGTCAGCTCAACCTCTCGAAATGCTCTCATATGGCCACGCGTATACAGCTACTCAAAGGGAAGTCCTACTCATTGCCTTCTCGAGCCAAGGGTGTTGCATCAGAAATTAATAGGGCGGAAAGCAAATATTCGACGCTTTAACAGTGTTGGTGGACACGGACGGTCCACCTAGAGGAGCTGGAAAACCTTGATTCCAAACCAGTGGTGCACATGAGCTCCATGATCCTGAGGGAACAAGTGGCGTATGAACCAATTGTCGGTTATTGGCTACCATGGGACTACACGTCCTGACGTTGCTACACTGACTTGTGGATCAGGCCTCTAGGTGCAAGGTTCCGGGTGTGACCCTAATAAAAACCACCTGCTTCGATCTGCGCACTTGGGCAGTATCACAGCCCACACACAAATCAAGTGACTTGTGTGGCGCATATGTATTCGGTGCCCCTTTGTACCAATATTTATGTGTTCAAATAAATAATAATAAATACACCACTGGACACCGGCTCTGTAGTGTATAGGTTAAGTGTTTGTGCGTGAAACCGAACGTCCTGGACTCGATGCTCAGTTGCAAGGTCGTGGACGCGCAGTGCTGAGTAGTCTCGTACTAGAATGAAACAGCCGTTCAATGTTTCCAGTGGTTTTCTAACTTAGATCGGTCCATGATTTCAATAAGATTCAGCAATCTTTACAATCCCATATTGACAATATAATTCTATTTGATCCGACAAAGAAATAAGGACAAGACAATCTATATGTTTTCGAAAGAATAGAGAGTATATAAACGTTTAAATATAAGTCGTATGAAAAACATCTATGTTGTATACAATCAACTGATGAGTGTTTATGAGGATTAACTTACATGAAGAGGATTAAATACTTGTCTAAAATAATTCCCTATCATTTATAACAATTAAGAGTAAAACTGTATGAGACTTATCTACCTATTTATTTAAACACATAAATATTGGTATAAAATGGCACCAAAATATGTAAGCATTACGCGATAATTAAATTAAACTGTAAAACGATAAAAGAAAAGCCAGTAAAGTAAATGCTTTTTTAAATAAAATAAATGGATAAAAATAAGTGAATCAGACTAATGATAATAATATAAATGGAAAAAGCAGTTCAGTTAGGAAAAATACAACCAGAGGTTACTATCACCTATATGAATTGAAGAAAAATCACAGCACGACCACCACTGACTATCTCTGACATTTCAAGACTCTATGTTAAACTGAGAGCTTATGGCGAACTGTCATCAGAATTGATTACCTCAAGTGGTGTTCGTCAGGGCTGCCCACTCTCCCCATTCTTGTTCAACTTTGTCGTCGACGTACTTTTAGAGATAACACTTTCCTCGTCTAGATTTCCAGGGGTTGAACTCCTACAGGGAGGTTCACTTGTTGACTTAGAATATGCGATAACACAGTTCTATTTGGTGAAGACGCTGACAAAATGCAGAGTCTTCTGACCACTCTAAGCAACAATGCAAGCATGTTCGGGATGCGATCCTCCCCCTCGAAATGTAAAATGGTGCTTCAGGATTGGATTGCGTTGACACTCGAACTAATGATAGTGAGTGAAGTAATTGAGCGCGTCGACCGCTTCACTTATCATTAGCCCTTGTGGTCTGGCGTGTGACGAAATCTCAGTATGGATACAGAAGGCTCGACTAGCATTTGCCAACTTGCGTCATTTATGGCGTAGGCGAGATATCCGTCTATCAACCGAAGGACGGGTTTACTGCGCAGCAGTTCGTTCCGTCCTACTTTATGGCAGTGAAACATGGCCGGTAAGAGTAGAGGATATTCGTAGGTTACTAGTATTCGATCATAGGTGTCTTCGAAATATTGCTCGTATATCCTGGGACTATCGAGTAAGTAACACAGTTGTTAGGAAACGGGTACTAGGTAAGGATGGCAAATCAATTGATGAAGTAGTGGAACTTCATTAGTTGAGATGGCTGGGACACGTGTTACGTATGCCCAACGACCGACTGCCTCGACGTGTGATGTTCAGTGGTATAAGAGTAGGTTGGAAGAAAGCTAGGGGCGGCCAGACTAAAACATGGCACAAGTCCATGAAGTCACTGACAAGTGAACTGAGCCATGTTGGTAGGTGTAGTCTACCTGGTTGGGGACCGCAAGATGATAGCAACCGATGGTTAGAGACCCTGAATGACATGGCTCAAAATCGTTTGCAATGGGGCAGGTGCATTCACTCTTTGTGTTCCCTCAAATTCTAATCTTCTGAATTCTTCATGTCCCTTTATTTTCTTCTCTCTTATTTTTTTATTTTTATTTCACTGGATTATACTCCTTGAATAACATCTTCAAGCCCTAGTGTTTCCGATTACTGCTTATACTCTTACCGCCTCTACCACTATGGGATTTGAATCGACCACTGCATCTCTGTGCTAATGTGGTGTGGCAGCTCGAACTGATGATTTCTAGTGTCTCCCTATTAATATTCACAAGCGACTATTGTTAGAGTCCCATCAGTTACACAATAAACCACCATCGACGTAGGACCTAGTCTGAATGTGCCACTATTTCGAATTAGCGCATATCACATCCCATCGGCACAATCAATTAATCATGCGAAAGATAGAACCTGGCAGGTCAGTACACATAAAAGTAACAAAATTCGAAGCAAAGGAAATGCAATCTACACAAAAGAAATACACAGTCCAAGAGGAACAGATGAGAGATTGAAAGATGGGAAGTTAATTATAACACTTAGCTGGAGATTTGAAAGATAGTGAATAAATGAAAATGTGCCACTTCTATCAGTTTTGTGATATGACACCTGTGAATTTCATTCAACACAAATTATTTTGAAAAGGGACAATTTTGTACTGTTTTAATACAAAAACTATACTGACTCGCATCTACATAAACGATGATGACGATGAACATACGCACACAAAAATAAAACATACCATATTTTGATATAATCTCAGTAGCAGCATACTTTGATTTTTCAGAAGGCTGTAAAGTAATACAAAACACTGTTAACACAAATAATTTATACCATAGACAAGCTACATATATTATGATATTACAGCACCAGCCAACAAATATGAAATGATAGCAGTGAGAATTATTAATTAAAGAATTATTAGTTTAACACTGAGCTGGATACTATGTGAACACCTAAATAAGCAAGACTAACATGTAGCATATACTACCAAAGTATTCGCTACTTAAAAGCACGATTCGCTATATTGGCTAATATAAGAATATGTAAAAAGGCTAAAGGTGGTTAGACTAAAGCATGAAGCAACGGACTATTGGTTCAACCTATATTATTAATTACGAATCCTTTAATTAGAATTTGAGAAATATCTGCTAGTCCAAAGTTGAAAACTTTTGGTTCATAGTTTTAAACCTGTCATTTACAAGATGTTATTGGATCTAATGATAGATGTTATAGTCAACAAATAGTACTGTAGAAACGGAAAATTATGACTCAAAATAGCTAAAGTAAGAGTGCTCTAAAATATGAGCGTCAGAATCAGACAAGGAACATCTTTATACAGGAAACGAAAGGAATAAAAGTGTGGTGTCCCGGTGACTTCAAGTACAATTTTAAGCCATTTGTCTCTTCTTTGCAACTCCAACCATAGTAATTAGCTATCGAGTTTAGTATGCTTATGAATTTTTGCGTGAGAAAAATGTTATGATAAGTTACAGATGGACTAGTGTTTGGGAACCGATCACAAAAGAATGATAGCGGTGTAAGTCACTACGATTATCTGGAAAAATTGTAAAACAGTCTTAGAATAATAACAAACCGTAGGACAATAGTCGCTACAATTCTCCAATGTGATTTTTTGATGAGGCTAAAACGATGTCCAGTAGGTGCCAGTCATAATAAAAGTTTATCAACCTGGAATAACCATAATGTCTTTAAGCTAATTTACCGTAATTTGGGGCTAGCTCTCTAATAGTATCACATACCAGTAATATTTAGGCAGTAATATGTTTCCTAGATTTGATCAAATGTCAGAATACTTTGGCGAAAATCATCTAGTCAGGTATTTTTATTAAGATTTAAAACGACGAATTTTGCGAAAGTGCAGAGATAACCGTTATTTACATCGAGTTGTAGCAAAACCACTGAAAGAGATGAAAGCTAGGCATTAACTTAGTGAAATTCGGTGCGAATTATGGTGCCTAACAGGATTCCATGTTTACATCCCGAAAAATCAGATACTGGTCAAGTGAAAATGATTTAACAAATGACCACTTAACCAAGTTGGAGTCGACACTTAACTATAGGCCCTTGCAAAGTTGAGAGTGGGAAGTCAGCTTTACCTCTCCAAATGCTCTCATATGGCCACACGTACACGAAATTGAAAGGACGAAAAGCGAATGTCCGGTGCTTTAATAGTTGGTGGATACGGAGGATTCCTCTAAGGGAGTTGGAAAACCCTGATTCCAAACCATGGGCGCATATGAGCTCCAGGACCATGGAAGACCAAATGGTGTATGAACCTATTGTTGGTCACCAGCTACCATAGGACTGCATCTCCTGACGTTGCTTCACTTTCTTATGGATTAGACCTCTTATTAAAAGGCTTGAGGAGTGGCTTCAAGAAAATCAACTGGGTCGGTTTTGGGCACCCGAACAGTATCCCAGACGACACAAATCCGATGATTTGTGTGACACACGTATTTTATTACACCTTTGTACCAACGTGTCTAAATAAGTAAATAAAATATTTTTTCCTGCAGAAAACCATATCTTAAACACTTTTAGTTCATATTAGACACTAATGAGATTATGATATTAATAGATATAGGCCTATTCAGTGGTTGACAAAGTTCTTACTACAAACCCGCATAAACACAAAAATGTCTGGCTGAAACCCACATCTGTAAGTTCATCTACAGGAATTTTGTAACTCACAAGGTATGCTGACAGTAGCTCCGCTATTTCAGAACGTGATTCTGACGAACCATGAGAAACATTTAATATGCCACAAATATATTCACCAACAACCTCAGCATCAATATCCTTTGACAAATCTGTGAGGAAAGTAGCAACCCAATCAAATTGTAATTCATTTGAAGACATACAGCATGCGGATAGATTACTTGTAACAGTGGTAAATACCAATATTTAAAAGTTAGAAGTTCGAACAACAGAGTATTACGGTCTAAAATATAAGAAACAGAAGTAACAATGCAAATCAATGGTTAGCTGATATACAAGAATGTAGCAGGCCATTAAGGTAGTATATTTGTTTCGAGTGACTGACTCCTACTTGAGAAAATACTCATCCGTCTGGTCTGAAGGTTTTATTTCACTGAAGGCGATAAACAACTGGAAGGAGCTGCACAGTGCACAAGATGTGAGGTAAAACAAATATCAATAAGAACTCATCCTTTTGAACATTAAATGTAGATGACCAGTTACTTACAGGTCGTGGATATAAGCTCCGATAAATAATAGAGGAAAAAACAATGTTACATAAGGAGTGAGACAATATTTTACTGAAATTCTGAATAAGTCATATATTACCGAGTATGTGTAAGTACGAACTTACACCTGATCGGAGAACTATTATTGGTTGAGAGAGCGCGGGAACTTTATGTTTGAACCGGCTGTGTCGAAACACGTGTTATAGAGTTTATTTGGAAACAGGAGAGATCTAAAACAACAGCATACAAATCAGGGTCAGTGAACGTCTGGGAGGAGGTGCAATAACACGATGTGCTAACACAACCTATATATTTTCTCAGAATGGTGTTTGTGGTGATTGTATAGTCGTAACAGCTGTGTAACACGTGTAATCAGCAGTCACTGGAAGACGGGAAGACCTAAAGCCACAACACACACAATGTTAACTGAACACTCTACACCACAGAGAGAACGAGGAATGGAGGCCAATAGACGTTTATTTAAAAATTAAAATCCGCGGGTTTTGTACAGAAAGAGAGCTAGTTTACAAAACGGTCTTATGAGTCATCCTGTAAGTTCAGTGCGTGTAGGGCTTGCTCTTCTTCTTCTAAAGCGTTTATTCTTGCTTGCCCTGCAATAGAAGGAAAACAAAATCTATTAACAACATCATACATGATGATTTTAATCCCGTTACATCGCCCCCTCTCCTAATGAGGCACTGTCCTCAGTGCCTGATCTTGGGCATGGGTATGCTGTCCCTCCTTCAGATGGTACTTCGTAAAATCTAGTGGCCGGCGGTGGATCAGCGAGTTGAGCATCGAAGGGAAATGTCGTCCGATCGGGTTTTATCTGGTTGTAGTGCACCGTTATCACATCGTCTTTAGGTCGTTGTATGTTACGCAATACAAACGTGGTGGGCGATCGGATGAGGACAATTTCAAAGGGGCCTTGCCAGGGTTGATGGAATTTACTGCAACCCCCTAGCGACGTCATTGGGCGGCGTAACCAGACGCGATCTCCAACCGTATACCTAGGTCCTTGTGCTTGACGATCATATATATCTTTTTGGTGTCCACTAGCCTTGCCTAAGTTAATGTTGACCAGACGGTAGGCATCAGCTAGTCGGTTGCGAAGAGTACGTATGTACGGAACATGCTCTTGTTCTTCGTAGGGCAGCAGGGGTGACTGTATCTCTACTGGTAGGCGTAGTTCGTGCCCGAACAGCAAAATAGCAGGCGAGAATCCCGTGGACCCATGTACCGACGTACGATATGCTAAAAGGCATTGGGGAGCACCTCATCCCATAACTCCGGTGACGATCTGCTGACAAACGACTGCAAGATGGCTTTAATAGTTCTGTTTGTTCTTTCTACGAGGCCGTTACCTTCTGGGTGATAGGCAGTGGTGTGTGTCTTCTTGATTCCTAATAGCCGGCATATCTCAGTAATGAGGTGGCTTTCAAAGGATGGACCTTGGTCGGAGTGGAGTGAGACAGGGGCACCATAACGGGAGACCCAGTGATCGATGAAAGCTCGGGCAACAGTAAGGGCGTCTTGCTGTGGAAGGGGTACAGCTTCGCACCATTTAGTGAAATAATCCACCATAACCAGTATGTAGCGGTTCCCGTTTTTTGTCGTAGTTAGTGGTCCCATGATGTCTATACCAACTCGCTGGTGTGGTCCTGTCGTCACCATCGGCGTCATTGGTGCACGGGGTGTCTGCTGAGGCGATTTAAAACGGCAGCACGTGTTACAATTCTTGCAAAACTGAGCTACATCTTCGTGTATGGAAGGCCACCAAAAGCGTTGACGGACAGCGTGTTCAGTTCTCCGTTCTCCCGCATGACCAAGTTCGCGGTGTACCTGTTCCACAATACTCTCAACTTTCACTCGCGGTACTATCAGTAGGGGTTGTTTTGATTCATTCATTAGGAATAATGTGTCACCATATAGCTTGAAGTTACCCCATTTGGTGCAGATACGACGAGTTGTTACGGATTGATCTTTAAGCTCCCTCATGGATGGCTTACTATTTCCATGTAGCTGTCTTTGATAAACAATCTGTAAGTCTGGATCTGTTGCTTGTAGGAGGGCCAGTCTGTCTCTGGAGCTGTACTAAGAATTGCGTTAATAATATCTGTGGTCTGGGGTATTCGGGAGAGGGCATCCGCGTTTGCATGTCGATTTCCCGGTCGATACTCGCATGTGAAATCGAACTCTTGTAGTCGTTCCTGCCAGCGTGCCACTTGCCCTTCTGGTTCGCGGAAAGAGCGGAGCCACTGCAGTGCACGGTGATCCGTGCGCACACGAAAGGGTTTGCCCAGCAGATAATGGCGAAAATGTTGTAAGAATTTTACTAGTGCTAACATCTCCCGACGTGTTGTAGAATATCGTGCTTCACTCTTATCTAGTCGTCGACTAGCATACGCAATGACCCTTTCGTGTCCATCTCGAGCTACTTGTGATAAAACTGCTCCAATAGCCGAGGAACTAGCATCCGTATCAAGTATAAATTCGCCTCCGTCTGCTGAAGTATCTGGGAAGGCTAATATAGGTGGAGAAGTTAACCGAGCCTTCAAAGCATCGAACGCCTGTTGACACTCGCTGGTCCATAAAAATTTTCGTCCTTTGTGGGTTAATCGGTGTAAAGGTGCTGCTAATGATGCGAAATCACGTACGAAGCGTCTATAGTAAGAAGCTAGTCCAAGGAAGCTACGAACGTCTTCAGGTGATTTTGGTTGCGGCCAATTAACAATCACACGTGTCTTTTCTTTATCTGTTGCCACTCCATCTTCTGTAATGCGGTGCCCTAAGAAAAGCACTTCTTTTTGCAATAGTCGACATTTAGATGGTTTCACTTTTAGGTTATGCTGCCTAATACGTTGTAGGACTGCCTTCAAATTGGCATTATGTTGTTCTGGCGTGCTGCCATATACAATAATATCGTCAAGGTAGATTAAGCACTGGTGCGGTACGAGACCTTGCAGAACTGTCTGCATCAATCGTTGGAAGGTAGCTGGGGCATTAGTTAGCCCGAAAGGCATTACTTGAAATTCATATAAGCCATTAGGCACTACAAATGCAGTTTTTTTCTATCTTGGGGTCGGACTTCCACTTGCCAATACCCTGATGCTAAGTCTAGCGTTGAGAACCAGCGAGCACCTTTCATGGCATCTAAGGTAGCGTCTATCCGTGGAAGTGGAAAAGAATCACGCTTAGTTATAGCATTAAGGCGCCGGTAATCTACACACAGTCGTAGAGAGGAATCCTTCTTTTTTACTAAGACAATTGGCGATGCCCAGGGTGACGAAGATGGTACAATAATCTTTTTTTCTAACATATCTTTTATCATTGATTCTAAATGAGGCTGATAATGCACCGGGACTCTGCGAGGTGGTTGGCGTAATGGCATGTGGTCACCTGTGACAATGGAATGTTGCACAATGGTTGTCCGATTTCCAGAGATATTCTCCGAGAAAACAGTGCTAAATCGTTGGAGTACGTCAATGGTAGCCCGACGGTCCTTTTCACATATTAATTGGTTATCTTGTACCTGACGTACAATCTCTGCAGTTCCCACCTGGGCTACGGACTTAGTTGGTATTTCATGGTGTTGTATTTGCACGACAACTCCACCAATACTCGCTTCTGACTTATTCATGTGTATAGAGACCTGGTATTTTAACATGAAGTCGACCCCGAGAATCATGTCCCAAGTCAGTGTGGGGCAAACCCAGAATTCATGTTGAAAAGGCTTCTTGTCAATCGTCAACTCTAACCCTATCTTAGAACACGCTTTCAAGGGTTCTCCGCTCGCGGTAATTAAGGTAGAAGAGCGTTGTTTACGCTGAGTGCTGGGGTTAAGTTTCTGCAAGAGGTCTTCCTTGATCAAGGATACTGAAGCTCCTGTATCTAATAGTATATTAATCTCAGTACTTTGCACTCTACCCTTAATAGTAACAGGGCACAAATGTTTAACATAGCAAGACGATATATGTAAACGACACTGCTTACCTCTGTTTTTCGCGCGGTTATGCCCGCATTTCTTGGCATTTTTGCCGAAACGTCTGCAATAGAAGCATTCTGTTTGCTGGCCTCGATAGTTGTCCCTTGACGACCGTCCATTCCATGTGGGAGTCGGCTGCCCTCGTCTACTATTCCGGTCAGGGAACCCTCTAACAGCCGCGGCGCTTTGAAAGCTATCTTGTAGATTAGGTTCGGTGGCTTCATCGATAGTCATCACGGTTGGTCGATAGGTCGCCAATGGAACTGACAGTCTTTCAGCAGTCAACAACCGAAGTGCCGTTCGTTTCAAGTCGGCTGTGTCAGCCGGTGGCACTCGAAGTAGATGTTCTCGCAGTGCACCTGGCAGCAGTCCTTCAATAAAACGGGAGCGTGTAATTTCTTCTCGCCCCAAGATGTCCAGGCTAGGGAATGCCTGGGTTGCTAGCTGCTGTAATGAGTGAAAATAGTCGATGGGGCTTTCCTGAGGTTTCTGGTGGCGAGACAAAAACTGAATTGTCATCTGTTGGGTGTCTACAGGCAGGGAAAAACAGTCGTCTAAAATCCTCCAGTTTTGTGGGAGCGTGTTACTGGCCGCAAAACCGTTCGCTATGGCCCTGCGTACTGCTTCATCGCTCAGATAGGAAACAAGGTAGTTGAAGTGCTCGGTCAATGGAACTCTCTGCAGGTACGCTGTGACTTTAAACTTCCAAACGGAGTAATCTGATGATATTTCGAGCAGTGGTGGTTGGTGTGGGGTTGAACTGGGAGTAGCCCTGATTGGAATCAGAGGGGGTTCGTCTAGGTTCTCATCGCGTTTTTCCATCTCACCTCCGACACCAGTTGTAACACGTGTAATCAGCAGTCACTGGAAGACGGGAAGACCTAAAGCCACAACACACACAATGTTAACTGAACACTCTACACCACAGAGAGAACGAGGAATGGAGGCCAATAGACGTTTATTTAAAAATTAAAATCCGCGGTTTTTTGTACAGAAAGAGAGCTAGTTTACCAAACGGTCTTATGAGTCATCCTGTAAGTTCAGTGCGTGTAGGGCTTGCTCTTCTTCTTCTAAAGCGTTTATTCTTGCTTGCCCTGCAATAGAAGGAAAACAAAATCTATTAACAACATCATACATGATGATTTTAATCCCGTTACTGCTGAATATATTTAAAAAACCGCGTAACGTGGTTCGGTTGCAAAAAGAAACGCTGATATACAAAATAGTTCCATCCATCATTTTGCAAGTCCAGTTTACTCAGAACTTGTTCCTCTAGCAGTGCGTTAACTCTTTGTTACCCTTCTATAAGGAAAACCGATTCATAATAATATCGTTTTTATTTACTGTTGCACTACTACCTCACTCCTTGAGACACTGTCTCAAATGCTTACTGGTGGACATGTGTATACCGTACCTTTTTCTGATGGTAGTTCCTAATAGCTGGTGGCGGGCGAGTGTTAAAACAGTAGGTATCTAAAGTGGCCGTTGTTCTGTTTGGCTTCAACTGGTTATGGTGTATTGTTATAACGTCACCTTGTGGTCGCTGGAGGTTACGTTGCACAAAAGTAGTGGGAGACCTTGCCAAGAATGGTGGAACTTGCTGCATGTTACTTGGAGCCACATGGCAATGTAGCCAAACTCGATCTTCAGATCTATACACTGGCCCTTTAACTTGTCAGTCGTATGCGTCCCCTTGGTGTTTGCTGGCATTCTCTAGACTACTTTCGAACAGGCGATACGCGTCAGATAGATGGCTAAGAAGATTGAGAATTTATGGTACGTGCTCCTGAGACTCACGTGGTAACAGCGATATGTATCTGAACAGGAAGATGTAATTTATGCCCAGAAAGCAGGTGAGGATCCTGTGAACCCATGCACTGATGCACTATATATATATATATATATATATATATATATATAGTGGTTTCCGCTCTTCGTTGTTGTAAGCGGCATCATAATATCAATGCCAACTCGCTGATGTGGCCCTTCTCTCATCATTGAGGTTAACAGTGCACGGAGTATTTGTTAGGAAGCTTAATGGTGTGACACGCTATGATTTTTGCAAAATTCCGTTCTATCTTTGTGGATGGATGGCCACCTAAATCTCTGGCGAATTACATGTTGGGTCTTTCGTTTTTCCGAGTGGCCAAGATCCCAATGCACCTGCTTCATACACGATACTGTAAACAGGGGTTGTTTCAACTCATTGACTAGCAATAACATGTCACCATATAAATGGTAGCATAAGAATGAGGTATACGGGGTAGAGAATCTGCATTTATATGTCGCCTTCAAGGTCAGTGACCGCACGTAAAACCGAACTATTTCAACCTCTCCTGCAATCACGCCACTTGACCTTCTGGCTCGCGAAACAAACGAAGCAACTGAGGTGCACGATGTCCTGTGTCTTCACGAAAGGGATGTTCCAGGAGATGGCAAAGAAAATGATGCAGAAATTTTACCGGTTTCATGATCTTTCAGCACATTGTAGGATATCTCGTTTCCCTCTTGTCTAACCACCAACCAGTATACACGATGGCCCGCTCATGTCCATCTTGTACTGTTGAGACAGGACTTCCCCGATAGAACGCGAGCTAACGTTCGTGCCAAGTTTAGACTCACACATATTGGACGAAATGTCCGGAAAAGCTAGTATGTGTCGGGTAGTAAGGCATGACTTCAAAGTTTTAAATACCTATCGACAATCTATGGCCAACAAAAACTTTCGTCCTTATACGTCAGGAGATGTGAAGGTGCTGTCGAAGATGCGAAACTCTGTACAAAACGTCTATAGTTGGAAAAGAGCCCTAGAAAGCTGCGGACATCTTTGGCAATCTTCGGCTGTTTCCAGCCAACGATGTTGCTAATCCTTCTCTCTTTTATTGATCTTTTTGCCGCGATCCGGCGTCCCGAGAAAAGCACCCCTTTCTGCGAAAATCGACACTACGATGGTTTCGTCTTTCGAATCACAGTGCCTAAGATCATGGCGAACTGCCCTAAAGTTGGTATTATGATGTATAGAAGCGCCACCATACACATTAATATCATCAACGTATTTTAAGCACTTGTATGGTACCAGGTCGTGCAAAACCGTTCGCAATAACCTCTGGAAGGCTGCTGGGAGGCTAATTGATCCAGAGGTATCGCTTTAAATTCATAGAGCACAGTCAGAACGACAAATGCAGTTTTCTTTCTGTCCTGAGATCGTTTACCTGCTTGTCAATGCCCGGATGATAGATCAAAGTCGAAATCCAACAAGCGCCTTTCATGATGTCTGACGCAGCATCAATCTGAGGAAGCGGAACTGGGTCACATTTCGTTATGGCATTAAGACGACGGTAATCTGCACATAATTGAATGAAGGTATCTTTTTCTACTAAAACGATGAACGAAGCCCAGGGTGATGACGGAACTACAACAATCTTCTTTTCTAACATCTCTTTTGTCATCGAGTCCAGCTGTGGCTGGTAATGTACTAACACTGCAAAGTGGTTGGAGTAGTGGCATGTGGTCACCTGTATTAGTAAAGTGCTATATATTATTCGTTCGGTTTTCAGAGACGTTCTCCCTGAAAACAGGGATAAATTGTCGGATTAAAGAAACAGTTGACAGACGAGAGCTCCCCATTATTTGTCCATTATTCTGTTCTGAATGTAGAATTTCTAGCACCCCTATGTGAGCCACAGATCTGATTGCCTCTTCAGAGTGGTGGGCCTGCACCAATTTGTGCTTCTGCCATAGCCACGTGCATAACATATTTGTGTTTTACATAAAATCAGCCTCGAGTATCAAGTCCCTAGTCAATGTAACACAGACCAGAAAGTAATTCGTAAATGGATGTTTT